GCAGAGCCCTGGCTCTGTGTCCTCTGATGGGTTAATATTCCAGGTCCTGGATGTAATTCCGTGGCTACAGCTCCTGTCACATAGCTCTGTGCTGGGTCTGACAGTGGAATTCTATCCAGCTCTTCCTGCAGAAAACCCCCTTTGCTTTAAGGCACGTGTAGGAGCGATGGATACGAAGGTGCCGGTTCACAAAGCAGCAGCTCCCGTGGGACGTGGGCTTGGTGAGCAGGACCAGCTCCAAGCCACCCTGCCCAAGGACACCGTCATTCCAGCTTCCCATCTGGAGCATGAAGCTGGAAACAAGCCCTTGGAGCTGCGCCAGCGAGAGGCTGAGCCATAACCTGGAAGGAAACGGCCGTCATCGGGATAAACTTCCTGGGTCGCTGTGGGGCCGGCGCAGCGCGGAAGAGGAGCGGCAGCAGTGGAGAGATGGGATTGAGCAGCAGGTACCTGGCTTTATCCATGTCCTGGGGTAGGGGATGCAGCTTGGAGGGGGGTCTCAGCTGTGATGGGAGCTTCCTGCTCAGCAGCAGGAAACCATTCTGGGGCTGGAGGAGGAGTCGGGTGTTCCAGTGCGAGTTTTGAGGTCTGAAAGGGTGAGAAATGACATCTCCTTCCTTCCTTCCTTATTCCTGGGTGAGAAAAAGAGGGCTCTTACTTAGACCATAGCACGTAGTGTTAGAGCTACAATCCTGATTCACCCTTATTCTCCTCTTAAAGCACACAGCAGCGAGCTTGTTTCTGGTGTTGAGCTGGTGTAGAGCACGAGGGGAGTGGAGCTCAGTGGACTTGGACCTGGTTCTTAAACGTAAGGTCTGAGAAAGGTTTGGTTTCTTGCCTTCATCTTTAATATCCTCTTTCTTGTTGGCAAACAATAATGGGAAGGGCAGGGCAATTTGTGCAAGTGTAGATTGGAAAGAATTCCTAGGAAGCCATGAGGAATAGGCTGGGAAGTAATGGGACAGTCCCAGCCTCGTGGTCCTTGGGAGTAAAATGGGTATGAATTGGGAAATTTGACCCATTAGATGTGCTGATTTCTTTTGGCTTACTTCCCCCCCTGCATGTGAACTCCTGGGCAGGCAGGAGGCCGGGGTGGGGGGGGTATTTGAGTTCTGTGACCTGATGTGTGTGGATCAGAGGATGCCAGTGCTACTCCATTGTGCTATTTCCCCTACTGATGGGGCTAAAAGGGTTTTGTCTGTGCTTGGGTTTTCCTACAAAAAAAAAGGGGCAAAAAAAAATCCAGTTAAAGGTACAACTGTGGGCTTCAAGCTCAGAGCGTGTTGGGGTTTTATAAGTAGCATACTTAACTGGAGGAGGACCAAACCTGGTGGCAGGGGATGTGACAGCCATCAGCAAGAGGCAGACAAATTACTTCAGTTCAAGTGCAGACTGAATGTTTTGAGGAGATGCTGTTACCTCAGATGCCAAACAGTGGCTAGGAATAAATTGGCTTTGTCCCTTCCCATTGGGACAGTTGGGATCTGCACTTGTGGTTCCTTTCTCAGCAAATGCTATTTGCTGGATAAGAAGCTGGAAAGCTGATTTCCCATCTCCATTGTGAGACCTGCAGCACTGGGATGCGGAGCAGGTCAGAGCAGACCCCAGCAGTGCACAGGCCCTGCTGTAACAGGGCTCTGTGCTGGCTTTGGGGTGTATCCACAGGCCAGATCCAGGCCTGGAGCCTGGATGGATGCAGTGAAACCACAGGGTTGGCTCCACAGCCAGGGCAGATGGCAGGGTACAGCGTGGCTGGATGAAGCTCTGCCCTGATGTTCCCTCCTGTGTGACCTTGGACTTCAGTTCCTGGCTGGTTACCTCATCCCCTCATCACGCTCCCGTGGAGTCAGGGCAATGACAGCCCTGTTTCGTCCTCGTTTCCAGAGGTTTTTCTTTCCCAAAATGGATCTGTTGCAAAACATCCGCCTGCTTGAAAAGCTGCTTTGTTCACTTCTGCTTTGGGCTCATTTCCTTGGGTCCCTGTTTAGAAATAGCTGGAGCTCAGCCGCCTCCCTGCTGGAAGCGCCAGATGAGAGCTGCTTTAGACACTGCACTGCTCTGGAATGTTCTGTCTTGCTTTAAACACCTTAGGTTGACTTTGCTTTCACACCCTCTTGCTGTGCTTTTGTATGTTAGAATCCCAGCCTGGTTTGGGATGAAGGGAGCTTAAAGCTCCTCCAGTTCCAATCCCTTCCACGTTCAGGGACACCTTCCACTAGAGCAGCTTGCTCCAAGCCCCTGTGTCCTTGAACACTGCCAGGGATGGGGCAGCCACAGCTTCTCTGGGCACCCTGTGCCAGCGCCTCAGCACCCATTTAGGCTTAACTACAAGGCTTTGTTTTAAATGATTTAATTTATGAACAAGGACAACGATGCTGTTTGGTCAGTCCAGGCTTGTTTCTCTTAGGCTCGATCCACGTCTCTCAGACTCTGTCATCCAGTTTGATCTGATGTTATTTCTCTATTTCCCTTTGTTTCCAGGCTCTAGCTGAGGCCCCTGCTTCCTTGGAATGATGCCATCACGTACAAACCTGACTGCTGGGATTCCCAGTAGCAAAGTCAAATATTCCAAGCTCTCCAGCACCGATGATGGATATATTGACCTGCAGGTAAGAAGTGGGGACAGAAACCTCTTCCTGCTGCTCCTCTGACTGTAAACTACAAGGAGAGGCTGCTCCGGCTTTGCACAGGCACGGAGGCTGTGGCTTTGTCTCCAGCTGAGCAGCCTCAGCTCGGGTTGGAACTGGATGATCTTAAGGTCCTTTCCAAACCAAACCATTCTATGAAGCAAGCTGCATGACACTGCTTCAGCCCTTCTGCTCCAGGAAGCCCCATAGAGCTCAACTGGAAAGATGGGTACTGCTTTAATGGGGTCAAATGGGTCCCATGTCACTCTGCTTCCTCTGGGCTCACACCTCTGCCATATTGGGAGGGGGCTGTGCTGAGTTAAGCTCCTTCACATTTGTGATTCATTCCATGCAGTTCAAGAAGAGCCCACCAAAAATCCCCTACAAGGCTATTGCATTGGCGGTCGTGCTCTTCATGATCGGGACCTTCCTCATTATCATAGGAGCCCTCCTCCTGGCTGGATACATCAGCAAAGGCGTAAGTGATGCCCCTTCTGATGCGAGTTTTGCATCACCCATTCCTCAAAGCCTGCCATGACCCATTATTCATTGTATTCAGAGCAAAAGGCAGACATTCCCTCCACCACCCTGCTCATGTTTGCTGGCTGCAGCCCCATGTCTCTGGCCGCAGAGCCCTCTGATGCCTTCAGTTAGGAAGTCTGGAGCACGTCCAGAGCTGGGTTGAGGCTGTGCCAGGGAGGGCAGGGTTTCTCTGTCCTCCCTGGGGTACAGTTTCATTTCCATGCTGCATCCCTGCAGAGGTCAACTTTGTGCTGGGATCAGCACTTTTGTGTAGGAGGTACCAGACTTCTACACAGGCCACAGCACCGCTCTTGTCTCGGTGTTCAGGACCCATCAGAGGGGCTCTGTTCTGGGTGTTCCATGGGACACTTCTTTTACCTTGTGCCTCTGGAGTTGCTTTACAGTTGGCAGCTGCTGCTTATCACTGTGGGTGCAGCAGCATTTGGGCTGTATCAGACGCAGTCCAGAGCTGGTTTGTTCCATGTGATAGGAGGAGCCACCCCTGTGATCCAAAGAAGTTCAGTTGAGAGCTTCCTGTAGCAAGGGGGAATGGATTTAGAGCACAGCCTGAAGAAAACAGAGATGTTTCTCTGTTAAGATGAGGTTTTGGGTTTTTTTTTTGCCAGCTGCACCTTAGGGATGAATAGTTCGGACCAAGGACTGATTCCCCCATACAGATCCCTTCTTACCGCTTGTGCCTCTCTCCTCTGCAGGGAACAGACCGTGCTATCCCTGTGCTTATCATTGGGATCCTCGTGTTCCTCCCAGGCTTCTACCACCTACGCATTGCTTACTACGCCTCCAAGGGCTACCGGGGCTACTCCTACGACGACATCCCGGATTTCGATGACTGAGCAGTGGATGTCACCCCATTGTACTTAGGTTGGCACTACGAGCTGTTAGTTACCCTGGCGATCAGAGAGGGCTGTAGCTGAAGTTAATCAGGAGACACCAGTTCCTGGTGTTGCAGGTTTCAGCATTCACCATCAGGTGAGAACAACATGGGCTTTAGGGTGGTTTTCCTCTTCTGGTTATATGATGCTGGTTGCTTGTAAGAACCTCTCCTTGGGCAAGGCAATTCTAGCCCTCTTCCCAAAATAGGTGAGCCAGTCTCAGCAGCAGCAAAGAGATTTGGGCCTTTTTTAACTGTTTTACAGAGTTTCCTTTAGTTTTCAGTGAGCTTGTGGCTGTCGTTGGGTTTCCCTTTGCAGACAAACCCTTTGCAGTTCAATTCTCCTGCTCTCTGCCCATCAGAAATGCTTCCAACCTACTTGTCCAGTGCTTGTTGGGAATAACTAAAGTCAGGTGTGTACAACGGGGAAAACTACACCTGAGATCATCTACACACAGTGCATTTGCTACACAACCCCTCATCAGATGGACCAAGCTCATGTATTCAGCATGCCCATGCTTCAGGAGAAAGCTTTGTCCCACACCAGTGTTAACTTGGCAAAATCTGCTTATCGTTTACAAAGGTTCCTGTTAGATTTTGCTTGTGTTAAACAAAAGGATAGAGGGAGAAGGATTGGAATTCAGAGCAGGAGTCCAGTGTCTACATAGCAAACATCTTGGGTTTGGCTGGTGTGGCTATTGGAGATGCTTGAATTCCAGCTGGCTGGCTGTATATGTGGAATCGTTTTGCCCTCATCTAGATAATATGCTGTGCATAGTAAAAAGGAAATCTCTATCTAGTTTATAGTGAATAAATCCCATTTGTATTGCCAGCTTCAGTGATAGGTTATTCAGGGAAAACAGATGAGTAGCTCTAGTTTATGTCAGGTAAAAACAGCCTTTCTCCTGAAGTGGGAATGAACTCGGTGTCCTGGAGAACAAGTACGTGACAAGTAGTGATGCAAGTAAAGTGTATTTAATATGAATAAACTTCCCTCTATTCTGTGTACAAATCATAAGCTTCTCTCTTGCACCTTCACAGCTCTCAGTGTGTGCTAAAAGCTGTTTGGGGCAGGCAGGTTAAGGCTTTAGCTGAATCTGCTACTGGCTTTGCTGAGCCAGCAGCTTCCAAAAGCTCCATCTGCTCTCCAGGACCCTGGCCTGAGCTGGGATTACTCTGCCTGGTGCGGCAGTGCAGGGTGCTCTGGTATGGCTAGAGAATGTGCTGCTTCAGGAGGTCAGGATTCGCTGTCTGAACCTCAGATGCAGTCCTTATTAAACATGCAAAGACCCCAGGTTTCAATTGCTTTGGTTTGGGGTCCAAGCACCCAGTTCCTTTTGCTGTGTGATGTAGCAGGAGCAGGGTCTGGATACAGCTTTCAGGCTGGTCCTGGCTCTCCAGAACTCTCAGGTTTGCCTCATGTTGACTGATGATTTTTGATGGAAGAGCAGTATCATTGTTAGTGCAGAGCAGATCCATGGAGCTGTTGAGATGGGAACAGTGCTGGATGAACGCCTTGCCCTGAAAGTACTCCTAAACCTGCCTGTTTTCCTCCATCCAACGTTCTAGATTAAACCCAAAGCCTGAGCCAAGACCTTTTGTAACACCCATCTCTCCTCTTGTTTGACTGCATTGGTTTGTGTGTGGTTGAACCCTAAGGAATAACTGAATCCAGGATCTCCCTTTCTGGCTCTGCACGTTCCCTGCTGCCTCACACCGGCCCTGACGCTTTCCAGATGTTGTCACATCGTGCCTGGCAGCAGCTGAGCCGTGTCCATTAGAGCTGGGTCTGGCCAGCAGAGTGGGTGCTGACGCAAAGCCATGAATCAGCCTCTATTCGGGGACAAGAATGTGGGTTTGTTTGGGCTTTGGGGCAAGGGGAGAGGAAGTGGAAGGGAAGTTTGGATGGACAAAGAAAAGGGGGAGGGAGAAGATGCTTTCAAGTGAGGCTGAGAGGATGCAGGAAGTTGGGAAGCCTGGTGGTTGGCTAAGGAGAAGTAAATGCTTAAGGATAATAAAAAGGGGTCAGGAGCACGTTTCTGGAGGAAAGGGAATGAATTCATTCCTGTTCTATTTGACAGAAGCAAAGGCCTCTGGCAGTGCAGTGCAGAAGGGAGAGCAGCCCCTGCCCTGATGCTCACAGGGTTGTCTGTATGAGGGATGGTCCCAGGGAATCTCTCTTCCCTACAGGGATTGTTTTATATCTGTTATGGAAAAAAGGAGGCATTTTGGGAAAGAAAGAAGGTCTGTTGAGCGCTGGAAGAACGGAGATCCAGATGACTTCACTCTTTGAGTTGACATATTGCATTCTAAGCAGGGTTGTCCTCCAGAGTGTAAGACTCTGGATGTTCAAATGTCATTAACCGTAGAGTAGCTCATAGCCAGGGTTCCATTTTCTCTTGTAGAATACCATGAGTTTCCAGGTATTTCAAGAGACTGGAAGACTTTACTGCAAACATCTTGTTTCTCCAACCCAGGGCCATGCTGCAGCAATGGTGCTGCTCTGCTGTAGATCTGAGTGCAATCGGTGCATCAGCCCTTTCCTGTGGTAAAGCATTGTGCAAGGATGAAGCTTTCCTCCAGAATGGGGCTGTTTTGGTGCTGATCTGTTACAAAAGGATCTTTCCAATGTTCCTACCACACTGGGGACCTGCTGCAGGAGCTCCATGGCTGGTTGGGCTCCTGCTGCCTTGCCTGAGCTCCCTGAGTGCGGAGCCGTATCCTTCCCTTCATCCAGGTACCAGATGCTGCAGCCAAACCTCACAGCTCATGGCTCTGCCCCTCTCATCCCTTCTGGAAGATCCTGGGAACTGTGGGTTTGAGGGCTGCCTGACCCATAGAATCCCAGACTGGTTTGGGTTGGAAGGGACCTTAAAGTTCATCCAGTTCCAACTCAGCACCTTGCCACCCTCACAGGGAAGAGCTTCTGCCTTATCTCCAACCTGAACTCCCCCTGTTTCAGTTTGAACCCATCACCCCTTGTCCTATGGCTACAGTCCCTGATGAAGAGCCCCTCTCCAGCATCCTTGTAGCCCCCTTCAGACACTGGAAGCTGCTCTGAGGTCTCCACACAGCTTCTCTTCTCCAGCCTGAACAGCCCCAGTGTTATCAGCCTGGCTACAGCACTGGGGGTAATAGGAGAAGCTTCTGGTTCTAGAGCAATGCTTGGATGACAAATAAGGCTCTGGCTGAGTGCTGATGGATGAGGATAATACTGAGCATTATTGAGCATCATCCACTCTGGGCACTCAGCAAAGCAGCTGTGTCAGGGAAAAAAAACAGTTAAATAAGCATTTATATGGCTTAATGGGGTATTATTATGCACAGCAGCTCTGGAGAAAGAGCAGGCACCTGACTTGAGGCTTTTTTTCTACATTACGAGTGCTTCAATTTATGTATCCTCAGTGATGTTTTCCTGTTGCTGTTGTGTGGCGTGTTTATGTCATTATGCACTTTTTAATAGTATGAAGTTGCTGGAAGGACATTTGGAAACATGATTCTGGAGTCCTGTGGCCTGAGCAGGTGAATTATCCCCCCAGTGTGATATTTATAAAAGCAAAGACTCATTTTAAGTCAATCTTATGATTTTTTTCTTTTATGTCTAGACCAAAGTGAACTGAAGTTCCCAAGCAGTGTCCCATCAAAGGACACTTCTCTTAGTAGCAAAGCTGCTTGAAACATGGAGGTTAATAAACCAGATGAGCACAGGGTGCCCAGAGAAGCTGTGGCTGCCCCATCCCTGGCAGTGTTCAAGGCCAGGTTGGACACAGGGGCTTGGAGCAAGCTGCTCTAGTGGAAGGTGTCCCTGGCCGTGGCAGGGGTTGGAACTGGATGAGCTTTAAGCTCCTTTCCAACCTAAACCAGGCTGGGATTCTATGACTCTGTGATTCTCTGCTCCTTCTCTCCTCATCTGCATTGCCTTGTTGTTAACAGCAGATTGTGCATCCCAGGGCAGAATGGAGCACATTCCTCTGCAGGCAGCTCCTTACCACTGTTGGTGGTGCAAATGCCACCAGCTGGGAGGGATGGTCACCAGTGGCTCCTGGCTCAAAGATGCTGTGTGTAACTGGTTTTCTGCTGCTTCCCAGAGCCAGGTTCCATCAAGAAGGGAAGTTAGGCACCAGACTTGTACCAAGTGGTGACATTCAAGCGTAGAGCCAAGGAGTCAACCTCGTGCCCACGCAGCGGGCTCCCAGGGGAGGCTTTGCTCCCAGAGATGGTGTGAAGAGCACAGCAGTGGTCTCTGCCAACTCAGGCACTGGGTAAGGCTGGCAACAGTGAGGGTTTATAGCAAGCACCGCATCCAGTGTTGCATCAGGCATTGGAACAGGCTGCCCAGGGCAGGGCTGGAGTCACCATCCCTGCAAGTGGAGACAAGGCCTCAGTGCCATGGGTTAGTGGTGGCCTTGGCAGTGCTGGGAGTGGTTGGACTGGATGAGCTTAAAGCTCTTTTCCAACCTGGTTGATTCTAAGGTCCCTTCCAACACAGACCATTCTGGGATCCTATGAACTATCTGTGGAAATGAAAGGGAGAGAATGTCGTGACTCACTTGGAGTGAGCTATGACTCCCCATGGTATAACTACAACCATAAAACCATTGCTTTATTTGAACAAACAGCACAATCTGCAGCAGCATCTCTGGTGCTTTTCTGGTGCCCATCACGCAGGAGCACTCAGAGCAGCCCCTGTGCTCAGGGTTTCTTGCTTTCTGTCAACTGCAATTAGCCAAATCCAGCACCACTTGCCACGGAGAAGCTTAGTGCCACGCTGTACTCTTCCAGCAATACGGATTTTGCTTAGCGTAAAAGACAACGTAAAAGCCCTGCAGGGCAGGAAGAAATGACTTGGCACAAAGGTTCTGTCCCTTCTAATCACATTTGTCCTGTGCTCCACTTATGTCCTGGTCTAAATGAGTTTCTCCATGCTCCCCCCATACTCCTCCCCCTTAAGCCTCATCCTTTAAAGCCCCAAGTATCAGCCCATTCATACAACTGCCCCTCATATCCTCTGCCTCCCCTTAGACATGGGTCAGTGGTGGACTTGGCAGTCCTAGAATAAAGGTTGGACTTGATGATCTTAAAGGTCTTTTCCAACCTGGTTGATTCTATTCTGTTCTAAACCACTCCTTGAGCTTTCTCCCAGCCCTTCCTTGGAGGGTTTGTCCTGCTCTTCCCGGTAAGATCTCTACCTGCAAAGCACCTCCAAGACTCCTTGGTTGATCCCACCTTCCCACTTGGCACTTGTGCTGTGCCCTGGAGCTGCAGCTCATCCATTTAGCAGGTAAGTGTAAGCTGCACTTAGAGCTTTGGTTTGCCTCTTCCAGCTCAAGGATGCTGCAGTCCTGCCTTCATATTCTGCCCTCTCTACCTGGTGTAAAGAAATGGTCTTTGCCTTTTTCCTAGAACTCTGGGTTCAGCCCAGCCGTGTTGTGCATTCTGTATGTGAAGTGTGGATGTGCACATTCACAGCATTTCCTTTCTCCTTCCTTAATACCCAAGCAGTTTGAGGTTTTTAGGAATGCTGGGTTTAACTAAAAATAGCCCAGACAGCTCAATGCCATGAGAGATTCCTGCCTCCCAAGAGAATTGACTTTGTTCTGTGACAGAGCCAAGGGATTAAGAGCAAGGGGGAAAAAAACTCAGGGGGTAAAAAGCTTAATTGTGGATCAGCAGTGATTGATTCCAAATGATTTCATGGATTGGTTTTGCCTAGGAAGGTGTTGAGAAACTTCTTTTAACTGGAAATAATGCAGTTATTAGGTCTGTTTTTGTGGCCTGCATGGACAGAGCTTGCTTACAACAAGAATCAGGAAGCAAACACTTCCTTCCTCTCCGCTGCACTTGCTGGATACCAAGCCATGATGCTGGCCTTCATCTCTGGAGCAGCATAAAGGCTACTTTGGAGTTTGCCTCTCCAGTAGCACATAATCCATATGTGAATCCATACAGAGCTTTTCCAGTTCTCTGCAGTTACAGTAAGGAACAAAACTGTGACCAATCCTCCTTGAGAGGACTCTCTGCTCTGCTGAAGGAGCTGCTTTGGCACTGAACATCTCAGTTCTGTGAAGGAATCACCATTCAGGGATGTTCAAACGGGGGAGAACAAAACCCATTAGTCACCACTAATTCATTTGATTGTGAAACACTTACTTGGACTGAAGTAGGAGCTGCTCTTAAGTCTTTAAAGGATTAGCTGCCTGCTGGTCTTCCGTGCCTGCAACCATTTATCTAAGCTACTGCTGCAAATTGTGCTGTTAACCTGTCAGGCAAGGTTTGAACCTTTCTTTCCTTGTCAGTGGGAAATGCGTGGTACACGGGATAGTGGGGAATGACTACATCCACAGTCAGAATGTCTGGGTTCTTTCCCCAGCTTCTTGAAGGAGGGAAAAGACAGAGAATGAATATATTGATAAGTGTCTGCTTGAGGACATTGCAAAACCAAATGAGGGGCTGTAAAGAGTTTAGGGATTACGAGATGTTTTCAAATGCATCCTGCCCCCCGCTTCCATCTTTTCCATGGGCTGTTACCAGGGCAAATAATTCCTTTCCCTCCTGCTGACCTGTCGGCACGCAGCATTGCCATCCTGCTCCATCCTCAGGCTTGCATTTGTCGTCCCGTGTTGCATCATGTTCAGCACAAGAGGTCAAAGCAGCTGGCCAAAAACCAGCTGCCAGGGGAGGGTTTGCTCATGCAAGAGCATCAGTTTCTGAGCTAAAAGCCGTGCTGAGCAAAGGAGACTTTCATTCTAGCAAGAATCCTTGAAGAAAGCTGGGAATTCACCTCACAAGGGTTATTTCTTCCTCTTACACATGTAGTATCTTTAGTGTAAAGGGAAAGATCTCATGTCCTTAAGCCTACAAATACTGAGTAGCGTCACCATATAATTTTCTAGCAGTTGTTATCATTAGGATGTCATTAGGAAAAATCATAATGATTTTCCTTGTCTCTCAACACGCCAGTTCATGTCGCAGCACGACTTCTCCACTGCTATTTTGGGTGCTGCTTTCCCAGACAAATGTCTCCTTTTCTTTGCATTTGATCCTGCACGTCAAGTGAATCCTTGCTGCCTTTTATTGCACAAGAACAGAGGCGGGATTGTAACATGGGCCAGGGCATGGTCTCCAACTTCAAACGCAGAAAACTATTTGTCAAGGTTTCTCTTTGTTGGGTGGCTGCGTTTCAAATCACTTCAAAGTTCAACTCACAAACAGCTTGTGTTCTAATCCTCCCCATGGAACAAGGGAGGCTCTTTGACTTGTGCCCACAGCCACTGAGACACTGAAGGCTTGAAGCTGGGAGCCTGCTCCACTCCTGGGAATTTATCACAGGAAGGATGGAGGGAATGTTTGAAGGGACCTTAAAGCTCCTCCAGCTCCAACCCCTGCCACAGGCAGGGACACCTTCCACTGGAGCAGCTTGCTCCAAGCCCCTGTGTCCAGCCTGGCCTTGAGCACTGGCAGTGCCTGTGCCAGGCTAGAACCAACCTGATCTTCCCCTGTTTCAGCCTGAACCCATCACCCCTTGTCCTATGGCTACAGTCCCTGATGAAGAGTCCCTCTCCAGCATCCTTGTAGCCCCCTTCAGACACTGGAGCTGCTCTCAGGTCTCCCCTTCAGGAGCTTTCTCTTCTCCAGGCTGACCCAGCCCAGCTCTCTCAGCCTGGCTCCAGAGCAGAGCTGCTCCAGCCCTTGCAGCATCTCCATGGCCTCCTCTGGACTTGCTCCAGCAGCTCCACGTCCCTCTTGTGCTGTTGCCCCAGAGCTGGATCAGGGCTGCAGGTCAGGTCTCCCCAGAGCACTGCAGAGGGGCAGTATCCCCCCCCTTGACCCCTTTCCCCCCTGTCAACAGGGCCCAGGTCTCCAGAGGGACTAAGGGCTGGCACAAATCCCTTCTCCCAGCTCTGCTGTAGTGAGGGAAAGTCATCTACCAGTGGCAAGATGAGCCAGAGCTCGCAGGAACACTTCAGTGACACTGCCTCAGAGTGGCTGACACCAAGTATGAGTTGTGGAGAGGTGGCACGTGAGGCAGGGAAGGAGTTAACGCAATAAAGGGCAATTTGCTGGGGAGAAGTTGGAGTTCATTGTTCAAGGCTCCGCTGTGGATTTCCTTTTTATCCTTTCCTCTCTGAGTCTTGGCTCTCAGCATAAAAGGGGTTGCTAGTCCTTCCTCTCCCTGTTTTTATTTAGACTGCGAGCCCTCCGAGGCAAGGGCTGTACCTTAACCTGTGTGCAGCAGCACAGTGGGAAAGCTTCACGGGCAGGGAACTATAAATAGTGAGCCTGTGCAGCCCTGTGGCATCCATGCTTGCTATAATTGCCTGGTTTTTGCTCCTGTGACAAGTGTTAGTTCAGCTGTCAGGGAAAGGAGGAACTGAGAAGCATTATCAGAGACAACTTCCAGCTCTCGTGTTGCCCATTGAGCTTTGGTTTGGGCCTGGTTCTCCCTCCTGCCCCGAGTTCTTCTTTTCCTGTGTGTAAATGATGCCCAGTGGGATTTGGGCACTCCCAGAGCTGCAAAGGGCTTGTTGTGGTGCTGCTTCAGCACCACACATTTATTATGCCACTTGCTCGAGGAGGTTGATTCTGTAGCAGTGGTTTTCCTGTCACTCCTGACATCACTGTGTTTTGTTACTCCACGCTCTCATGAGGAATTAAATGAGTCATGGGGCAACAGTGGGTAAAAGCAATGACAAAGTCCAAGCCCACCCTTCCTCCCTGAACAGTGTGTGGCTGGTCTGTCAGAATAGCTTGCAAGTGGGTTTAAGTGATGAAAGGTTAAACCAGCGATTCTCCCTCTGCTACCACTAGGAAGGTCTGAGTAAGCAACCACGAGAATGCTGCTGCCTATTCTTTGTACTATAAAGGGCCTTCATTTGAACTCCCAGTGGAGGTGGCTTAAGAAAACATGGGGTTTATTCTATGCTATAAAATTCCTCTAATGGACTTAATGATTCTGTGTGCCAAGTCCACATCCTTTTGGAAGTAGTTTCAGTGGAAGGAAGTTGTGCTGGTCCTGCCTATCCACATCTGTCAGCAGAAGCTGCCATTTACTGCCACAGCTTTGAACAAGAGCCATGCATGAGCTTGACATGAGGTGGCAAAACCCAGCTTGTCCCCTGCTTGGAGACTGTCTCTCCAAGTGATGCAGGCTTCAGCTGATGGGTAGCTACAAGCAAAACACCAGTGTGAATGTGCACCAGCACAGCAAATACGTCAGGAGCTGTCACCATGGGCTCTGCAGTGCCTCTTCTGCTGCCACAACGTCTCAGAGTCAGGAGATGTGGCTCCAGCAATTCAGCACCACTGGCAACTAGAACCTGGCAGGAAAAGAGAACAGGGAGGATAAATGGATTCTGTTTTCCTTCCCCAATCCTGGTCCCACTCTTCCCAAGATGTTAAGAGCTAATTTCGGCAGCTATGCCTTTGAAAAGAAGACTGGGAATGAACTCTGAGAGGTGACTAAGCCCATCTCCTCCTTCCTCAGCCAAAGGCAAGCCTTCCTCCTGACTCAGCAAGTTAAATCTCATCTATTTGATACAGCCCGAGGTACCAGACATAACAGCATCAAGAAAATTAGTTTCCCATCCAAAGCATGAGCTGTGCAGATGAGTTAGTGTTCCTGTAAGTGTTCTTGCTTACTCTTCCTTCCCTATATTCACTGAAAACACGTGGTCAATGCGGTTTGAACAACCCTAGAGCAAGAAGCACAGGAACCTGCTCTGGGTTGTTTGTCCTGTGCTGGCTGCCACAATCTGCTCTCCATTTACACGCTATTTTGCACAGACAAAGGTGAAGGAAGGTCTCCTCTCTCCAAAAGCTACCAGAGGTAAAACCATCTTGATAAAAGCAGCAGGGATCCAATAATCCTGCAACCATGCAGATTGTTTTCTCCTCCTCCCCTATTGATTTATGATGTGAATTGAGGCAACTCTAACTTTGCAGCCCCTGCCATTTATCTCCCTATATAGCAAGCACAGCAGTACATCTGCCTCTTGGATCGCTGGCTGAAGCCTCAGTAATTTGAGTACTTGGATCAAAGTCGGCTGAGATCCTTGGACCAAAAGCCCTATTTGCTATTAAGAGCACTTTGCACTAATTAAACTTCATAGAATTCTCCTTGGGTTTTCCTGCCTCCTTTTTGCAGCTGACACAAGTGAGGATTTAGCTGAGACGAGGCTGTTCAGGTTTAGAAATAGTTCTTAGAGATCAGTATTTTCACTGTCTCAATTTCCATATAAGACAAGAGGGGAAACAGCAATCAAGTCATGACTTTCCCCAAGAGAAACTACACGTTTAGGTAGGTGGAGGAACCCGAGGTGGTGTTTTCCACTAGGTGGTGGTAGACAGCATTGTTTAAGAAGGGTTATTCGCTCTTCCCCTCTTTACCTGGTGCAACAGAAGCCCAGGTTCCGTCCTGTTCTGTATTCTCTTTCCATTACAGTTACTACTCCATATTCCAGGGAAAGAAGCCAAAACATCACTGCTGGTGAGCTCTTCACTCTTTTCTTGGGGAGGTTTTTTTCCACCTCCCAAGAAGCTGTTGAAACACCAAAGGTTCCGTTTCTATTTTGTGCAACGCAGTAAAAGCTATTCCTGTTATCCATATACATGTGTACATGTATTAATTCCTGGATCCATCCATAGGAATCACATAAAATAGTGTTGATCTGCTTGGGGGGTAGACTATTTCCTTCTATCTCCTTGTATAAAACAACCCTCCAACCCAAAACACGCCAAGAAAACCAGCCAGGGAATTGGAAACGAGCCATGGATCCCAGACCCAAACCAAGCATCCTTGGATCGAAATGGATGTGAAGTTTGGATTTGGTCTTTTGGAGCTCGCGGACTCAGATCAATGATTCACATCCCTGTTTGAGGCAGCGCTTTGGTTTAACATGGAAATATTGAGTAAACAGAAGGGATTCCAGCCAAAAAACATTTCAGTCTCAGTTAAATTTATGCCGCTAACGTCCATGCTGCATCTCAAAACCCTGACCTTCTGTAGCCCTGTCCTTACCATTCTATTTGCACAGAGCCATGAAGAAACAAACAACATCGAGCTGGCAAGCTTGGGGAACACACTCATAAAGGTTACCTCCGACTATCGCAATAGTCTTGCGTTCTTTGGCTGCAGAGAAGGACACAGAGCCCAGCCTAAAGGCTCCACTACAACAATATCTCCTCACAAAGACTTGCAGCTCCACATGGGCACAACCTCACCACAAAATCAAGTCCCTGCTTGCGTCTGTGGTGGAGATGTTGTGGTGATTCAGGCTGGCAGACATCACAAAGCACTATTCGCTCATGCGCTCTCTATTCGTTACTACTGTGATTACATTAACACTATAATATTTATCCTGAGTTATGAAAGCAAACGTAATGAGGGATTAGTAAAAAGAAGAGAAGGAGGAATTTGGACTCCAGGAGTGCAGTGGGAGCTGAAGAATGTCTTAACTTTAGGCCAGTTAAGGCAATTACAGCAGGAATTCAGGCTATCTCATTTTGATGGACAGGTATTCTGCACTGGTTGAAGTGGGAAGACTGGTGTAAGCCTCCTATTGTGGCTAACTGTCTAGATGCAGCAACACCTCACCTGATCAGGTAAATCCTCAAGTGAGCTTTGAGGAGCTCAAATAAGCTCCTAGATTAGAGGTACCATAGCAAAGAAAATACCAAAGGGGCTGGGTCTCCTTTAGTTCTGCACAAGAAATGATTAATGATTGCTGATTTCTCTCGACAGCATTATTCTTATGAAGGACATGCACACGCACATCCTGTGTCTCCGATCCTTCCGACTGTTTTATGGTCCTGTGAATCATTCAGGCAGAAAGTGACTGACTGTCTTTATAAACACCTCATGGTTCGTCACTGCATTTTAATAACAGAAATTATATATGCCAAGGATTCCAGTAAAACAGTTATTACTTCTTCTGCAGCATAAAATGGGCTCTGGCTCCCTGAAGGAGTGAAATGCCAGGGCATTTGCTGGACCTCCACAGCACAGAAGGCCACCTGGAAGAGGAACAAAAGGCTGAAAAATGCATCTGCTGGGTTTGAGCCCATGGTTCCACGGGGTTAAGCTACGTCAAATTCAATTCTTGGAGCACTAAATCCACTTTTATCATCTTTCCCCTGCTTGTCCTTGGGATTGCCATGACCCCGAGGTCTCTTTTGCTGTTCCATTTCAATCTGACTGATGCCCAGGTCTGCACTTCTCTTGTATCTCTTGTGTTGTCCCTTGCAGCTCTCTTGTGTTACCTGTATTTCACTCTTCCACCCTCCACCAGCAGAGGGTTAGGAAATTATAACACTCATAAAGAAAAGCTGTGTCTCTGCCAGTAATTTCTGAACACAGAAAGGCTGCATCACTGAATGCATCGGATCCATCTTCCTGCACAAACTCCTGTCAACAGCGAAACTGCTGCAGTCTCAATCAATCTTGCATTACTAAAATAGCCCTTATATCACAGCACCATGCTCCTCTACCCTAACAAACAAAGGCTATTACCATTTAAAAGCTGCACTAACTCCATGGATAGGTTTGGAATAAGGCCAGGCATTGAATAATGTCTAAGGGATCAATATTCAGGCTGTTCAGCCTGGAGAAGAGAAGCTGCGTGGAGACCTCATAGCAGCCTTCCAGTAGCTGAAGGGGGCCTATAAAGATGCTGGAGATGGACTCTTCATTAGGGACTGTAGTGACAGGACAAGGGGTAATGGATTAAAATTTAAACAGGGGAAGTTTAGATTGGATATAAGGAAGAAGTTATTTACTATAAGGGGTGAGGCATTGGAATGGGTTGCCCAGGGAAGGTGTGAATGCTCCATCCCTGGCAGTGTTCAAGGCCAGGTTGGACAGAGCCTTGGGTGCCATGGTTTAGTATGAGGTGTCCCTGTGCAGTGCAGGGGGGTTGGAACTGGATGATCTTAAGGTCCTTTGCAACCTTAACTATTCTATACTTCATAATCTAGAGCAGCACAAGAGATGTGTTGTGATTTATTGGGGTCCTATCCACTTCTCCATATGGTTCACTTGAAGACCTTTTTTAGAAGTTTAAGGAGTGTATTGTAGTGACCATGTTAAAAATACATGCACAAGAAGGATGAGAGGCATAAGTGCTCCAGAGGCCTTGTAGGGTCTCTGCTCTTGAACTCCTGGGCTCTAATGGGATCTGATGAAACCCTCTTTAGAAGGGCAAGGGGATGGAAGGGGTCAGCCAGCTGGTACTGGGTGAACATTCCTGGTACTGAACTGTGCAAACAGCAGCTGGAAAGGCAAAGACCTGAAAGATCAACAAAGAACTGGAGGTCTGGGTACAACTGATGCAATGGTTCCAGTGAGTGTCACTGGTGCGGGAGCACGGGTGCTGCTATTGACTGCCAGCTACGAGGCACCTGCATCAAGTAAGGAAGGGGCTGCTGGGGGAGAGAGCTCAGCACCAGGCAGTGTTAGCTCAAGGACACCTACTGGAAATGAGCAGCATGGGGCTTGGAGGGGGGTTTGTGGCGGGGAGAAATGGTAGGAATTGGGGGGGAGTACAAAGGAGGTGGAAAGGAGGCAGAAGGGGGCAGAAAGGAGGCAGAAAGCAGGTGGGAGGGAGGTAGAAAGGGGGCAGAAAGGAGGTAGAATGAAGGCAGAAAGGAGGCAGAAAGGAGGTATAAAGCAGGTAGAAAGGAGGTAGGAAGCAGGCAGAACAAGGGCAGAAAGGAGGTAGAAAGGAGGCAGAAAGGAGGCAGAAAGCAGGCAGAACAGAGGCAGAAAGGAGGCAGAAAGGAGGTAGAAAGGAGGCAGAACAGAGGCAGAAAGGAGGCAGAAAGCAGGCAGAAAGGAGGCAGAACAGAGGCAGAAAGGAGGCAGAAAGGAGGTATAAAGCAGGTAGAAAGGGGGCCCAGCTCTGGCTTCCCAGAAAAGCACCAAGTGCCCGAAGGTTCAGCTCTTGGCACATGTGAGAACTGCACCTACTGGAAAGGGCAGAAGCCAATTTAGGGCGAGTTGATGTTATCAGACCCCACTGGGGATTTCAGGCTGTGGGAGGCCATGCCCATCGTCGCTACGCTATGGGGTACGGGGAACACTCAACCCATGTGCTGGTGAGCGATCCCTGTTGAAAGCTCACTAAACCGAGGTGTTAGGCTAGAGGGACGTGTGTGGTGGAGGTGGCATCTTTGGGGCAGAATCAACTGCTTTTTGCCCCCCCTAAGCTCACCCTCCTACTATAAACGATGGATTTTTCCAGAGGGGAACAGAAAACCCAACCTGAAAACACCAAACCTCAGGAAGGGCCATGGCCGCCTGTGGTGACACCAACCAAGCGCCATCTTCCTGGGGGTTGAGGAAAGACCCCCACAGACAAAGCCCCCCGCGGTTGAAGCCTCGCCACGGGTCCCTCCTCACCGCCCGGTGCCGCCATGACAGCAGGGCCCTGACGGGAGAAGGATGGGCGGCGGGCGCCATCTTGTCGGGGGCGGAGCAGGGCCCGGCCCGCCCCGCCCCGTGCTCTGCCTGCCGGGGCCGCCCCGGCCTCGCCGCACTCGCCGCTGCCGCCCGAGCGGAGCCGCAGCCCGCAGCGCCATTGCCGCCCTCACTCAGCCCGCTATGGCAGGTGAGCCCGTCCCCTTCCTCCTTCCGCAGGGGGAGACATGCCGCCGCATGGAGGCTGGCAGCATCGCCGGTGCCTTCCCCCGCTGGCACCGCTCTCCCCTCAGCCCGCCGCGGTCACCGCTGCCGTTCGCTGTCACCTCCATCCCGCCCCAGCCGGAGAGCCGCCCTCCATCCCCACACGGCCGCGGCTCGCCCCTTCCTCCTCACGGGGAGGTGGGGTCGGGGCTCCCCGGCAGCCTCCCACCATGTTGCCCGGCCGCCCTTCACCTTGGCCGCGGGGCTCGGCGCCGGCCGTGCCGCTCCTCCTCTCCCTTTTTATTTCTCTTACTTCTATTTTAAACCTTCCCCGTGGGCTCCGGGCCGGCGTTCCCCGGCTCGGCGGAGCCCGCAGCCCGCCTTGGGCGGAGGGGAAAGGGGGGCACCTACCTGGGCATGGGGGATGCCTGAGGGGGGAAGCCTGCGGGGCCTGCTGTTACCGGCTGGGGTTTGGTTTGGTTTGGTTTTTTTTTCCTGTCATTATTGTTATTTTATGTGTTTAATCCGACACAAAATGGGTGGCAGAGCCGCAAGCTCGCAATTGGGATGGAGAAATGCAGGTTAATTCTTCCCTGGTCCTGAAGGGGTGGCCACGCTTTCTTCTCTGATCCCGTTCTCGTGATGCGCTTTGAGGTGGTGGTTTTTTAACACCCTTTTCATTTATTTATTTGGGTTTTTTCTTTTTTTTTTTGGGGGGGGTGTGTGTGTGATATTTGGGGGCATTTTTTGTGTTTTTTTAATTTCTTTTTCCCGAGGGCAAATCGCAGCAATAAATATTTCTATTTTCTGCCTTTTTTTTTGTTGTTGTTGTTTTTCAAGACCCATATCGCATGTGGCTTTCTTTTGTTTTAAGGTACATTTTGGGTAGCAATAAGTGATGGAGGTAGCGCAGAAAAATGTCTGAACAAAGCTTGGCGAAAGCCTTCAGTGAGGTTTCCCTTGCTTAATGGTAACATCTACCTACCTAGAGCATGTATTGCTGTTGTGAGTGGCTTTTGCCTTTCTTCATGAAGGATGAGGATGCAGGCAGAGGCTTGCACAGCTCCATTCCTGTCCTTTTCCTTTTCGAGCCATCGTTGTCATCCCATAGACTGGGCAGACTCAGTGCAGTTAAAGGGGTCCCACACACCCCATCCTTTACCTTCAGCAGGCAGGGGCTGGCCCCCAAAGGGAGCTGCAGGCAGAGGTTCTTGCAGGAAAGGGAACTCCCCAGATGTATTGAACACAAGGTAAAGACCTTGAGTGTTAATTTTTTCCCATCTTATCACTTGCCCCATGCAGCTGGCTCGAGTTCAGTGCCAGGTAAATGCTCTGCTCCCTGTTGCTGCTGAACTTGACCAGCTGAAATAAAACCACCAACTGCTCCGTTTTGACAGGGAGCTTAATACCTCTATCCTCGCGTTGCCAGCCTTCAACAAGCTTCAAATTACCCAGTTTAAGCTTAAAGAAATAGCTGCTTTGGGTAGTGGTTTTGCTGGCAGCTGGAGTTTGGTGCAGGCTGTAAAACCTAGTGGAGAAGCAGGACAAATGCTGGAGGGATGAGCTGCTGATGTGTTGCGCAGTGCCAGAGCTGCACACCTTGATCTGCCTGGTGATTTCGCTATAGATAAAGGATTATTGCAACAAGGAGCTCAGGTTAGTAAACTGGAAAATAATCCCTGAGATACGTAGAACACTTGGATTAGTAGTTGATGAGCCCCTTACAACCCTACTCCCAGCTTCGAGTCATCATCCAGGTAGCTTGGAAGTAGAGCAGTATTAACATGGAGATGCATTGAAACAAATCCAGCCTTGGGCTGAGGTTAAACTGAGATTTTTATCATGGATTTAAACAAGCCTTTGGCTTTAGTAAAGATGCAAATAGGAGTTGAAAATGTCTTGTCAGACCCCTGGGGATAAGGGAAGGAGTTAAGAGTGCGATTCTCAAGGGCGGGTTGTGCTCCTGCTGTTCCTTAACAGACCGAGCTCATATGGTTTAACATCCATCCCAGTCTGTCTCTTGTCTGTAAGCCCTGCTCTTAGCTAGGCTTAGATTTGGTGAACTTTCTCAAGGCACGTGGCTCTTGGTTCAACCAGATGTAAGGAGCTGGGTGGAAATGGGGTTCTCTGAATATGGGCCTCTTGCTCCTTCTGCATCTTTAGCACAGCAACAAATCTGAAGGAAAACCAGCTTTTCAAATAGTAATTTGGGCTGCGGGTTGGTGACTGTTTCCTTCGGTGGGAGCACCAATTTAAGCAGCCCCCATCCATCACTGGTTGTGCGCTCCCAGCCCTGCAGTGACCCCTCGGTGGTGCTGGTACCTGCTCAGTGGGGTCAGGGATGCAGCATTTGTCTGCAGTTCAAAGGTTTTTAAACTAAACCAAGTCGAGTTTTCTTTCTTTGGTGCTGTCAGTTTGTATCTTGGGTTTTGTTTGGTTTTTATTTCCTGAGGTAGCCGAATCTGTCAACTTCCTCAATGTAATCAACTTTCTTATTGTGCTATGAAGTGGTTTTGTTGTGCTGTTAAGGTTGATTGGAGACTTGAAAAACTAAATGGGTGAACCGTTGCCCATCTTCAGTATGAACTCCTCTAGGAGTGGCTGTTAAGCTGCTCTGAATGTCAGCAGTTAACTTCTTCTGATCCTTGTGTGTACAGGGGTAAGACAACTGATACATTCGGAGCTGGTCCAGTTGATAGCAGGTTACAAATTGGTGTCTCACACCAGATGGTTTTTGGAAGATCTTACTCTGCTGTAGCTCTTCCTGTCAGTGCATCTGTGAACCATGTAAGAAAAACAGAAAGAAAACTCAAGCCCAAAAAGATTCTGTGGGCCACTTCAAGAGATTTATTTTACTTTCCAACACCTTTATGCATTCATCCATACGAGAGAAAACGCAGAGAATGGTTTTTCTTCCATTGAAGATGATGGTTCTCCTATTGCTGGAACAATCTATTTGCATCAAGTGTTCTTATTTATGAGTCACAGTGGTCATGGAATGGTCTGACAGCAGTTACAGTGGGCTTTATTGTACTCAAAAGCTGCAGGAAGAAAATATTGACAGTTAGGATGAGTAAAGGAATGAAGTAAATCATTTCAAATGAAGGCTGTTTGCCATGTTCTCCAGCCGTTCCCAGGGGTGAAGTGCACGAAGTCATCGTGCTAACACATCATGCTTCCGTCAGAGCTGGAGAGCGTGTTTTCTTTATTGCTAAATATTTTTAGTTGTTAGGAGCTGTCTTCTGACAATGTTTATTTGAAGGCAACTTGCTGGTATTTGGCCATTTCCAGGTTACGGGAGGGAAAGGTCTGCTGTTTGAGTGTTCTTCTCTTAGCGATGAATCTAAACGTGGATTTCTTGCCATGGTAATTTGGCCATGAAATAGGTAGAATTCAGAACACCTCCTTGGGAAAGGGAACTGGGCTGTTGAAACACTGCTGGCACTTGGTGGAGGAATGAAGTAGGAGGGAGAACTAGCCTTCTGGTTAAGAGGTCTCCTGCTCTGGTTTTATTCCTTGCTCTCAATGTTAATCTTGGCCTTTTTTTTTTTGCCAAACATAGCAATAAGAATGTGTATGGCATCAGAATCCAGCGTGCCTGTGACACCCCGTGCAGCTCCCACCGTGTTCTCATCCAGCGCGTGCTCAGAGGTTGGATGAACTTGGTTTTTCTGGTACTCAGTGTTGTCACTGGTGTACTGGTGTAGCAGACAGTGAATCATCAGTCACCTTGGGCCTTGCAGAGAGCTCTGGTCGTCTTGGCTGTGCCATGGCCCCAGAATAGAATTGGGCTTTTTGGTTTGGGAAAGACCAATTGGCCATCGAGGCCGTCCTAAGGGAATCCCAAAGCACATGTTTGGGGGGGGGGGGGGGAAGAGATTGAAATACTCTTTGTTCCTATCTGACAACTCCATTTGATGTGCAGAGGAGGCTCGAGGTAATTGTAAATCTAGTCTTTTAATGGGTTTATAATTAGACATTCTATGATCTAAATATCTGTGTGTCTCAGCTCTCAGGCCAGAAGATGAAAGTGGTAGTTATGGTGGGGTGGAAGTGCACCAGCCAAGTGGCTGGTCTTCAGTTTGATTTTCTTTTATATTAAAAAGAAAACTGCTTCAGGAGAGAATAAACTTTGCTCTGTTCTGGGGAAGGGGAATTTCCAGAGTTTCTTCTCACCAAGTTCAGGCAGCCAGAATGCTTTATTCCCCCAAACCTGTGTTGATAAGCATGTAATAAAATCGATGTGTATTGCTAAGTGTGTCCAAGGCCAGGTTAGACAGAGCCTTGGGTGGCATGGTTTAGTGTGAGGTGTCCCTGCCCATGGCAGGGGGATTGGAACTGGATGATCTTAAGGTCCTTTCCAACCCTAACCATTCTATGATTCTATGGGTGATGATGGTATAGCTGGGGTTTAGCTTGTGTATTGTGGAGCCTGATGGATCTTGCTCCTTTGAATGATGTTTTGCTTTTATTTGTGTCAGCAAAGTGCCTGAGAACACAAGCTCTGATCGTTGTGTTTTTAGGAGCAGATTAGTCGGGTTGTAAGAGCTGGAGGAGCTCTTACTAGCAGTGCAGTACCTGCGAGTATTCCTGAACTTGTAGGCTCTGTGTGGCATGAAAGCAGTAACCGAAGTTCATGTGCATTTAGATTGAACCAGCATTCCTTTGTCACCTCCTTTGTGCTAAAAGGGCCTGTTTTCATTCAGCACTCCTTTATGCTTCAGATTAAAACTGCTTCAAGTATGGGCTCAAATTAGTCGAAACGATGAGGGAGAGATTGACTCACTGTTATATTTTGGTTGGGCTGTTTTGCAATGCTGTGAGTCACCGAATGGCTCTCAAATGGCTCCATGTCCCCCAAATTTGTTGTCTGAATTTATATTTAATATTGCAATGCTTGTGTCATTCAGCTGAAGCATTCTTAGGCTGCTGGTGGACAGCAGTGCAGGAAAGGAAGTAAAAAGCCACTTGGAGGCGGGGGTTCTGCACTCACATTCCTGGGCATTAACCTCACCTGGGGATGCTTTGAGGAGTTTGGGCTCTAAATCTGAGGAATGGGGATTTCCTCTTGATTTTGCATGGCTGTGAAATGGCAGCCTCAGGCAACAAGGCCATTTTAGTGGTGTGCTGGCTGTTAGTAGCTTGTAAGATTGTAAAAGTTAGGAGAATAAAGTGCAGTTTGGAAGCTTTAATAGGAAGGTGCCTTAAACACTGCTTTCCTAAGTGTGCTGTTAGCTGTGTTTATATGATGAGGCAGTTAATGTGCTGTTAGTGAGTTTATCCCAGTGCTCTGGATGCTATTGTTGAGCTGGTGGTAGCAACTGGAAAGCAATGCTGGGACATTAAGCATATCTTTGCTTTTCTAGCACAGAAGTAGCTAGCTACCTAAAGAGTTTCTTTTTTTCCTGCCCTTGTTCCCTTTATCACTTACCTGTATCATCTTGTATTGAAGCTCGGTGTGCTCTTTTGTTGTGCCCTTAAAGAAAGCAGTGTGTATGTATTCTTATGAGTATTCATGGTCATGAAGAGTATCTCCTAGAGAAGGGCATGTGGCTCCACACCAGGAATTTCACTTCTTGTTGGGAAGCTTGGAATGGAAATAAAATGCTGGGCTGCAAAGTTATTTTGTGGGCTGAATAAAATGGAAGTGACCCAGCGCTAATAGCACTTAATGGACTGTGCTGTGATCAGGTTGGATGTTCCAAGGGGTCTTTGAATCCCTGTGACAGGAGATACAAGTCATAAATTCATCAATCTTGCCCTCTGTTTATGACTTGCTCTTTGTGTGGAGAATCCTGTATTCAGACCCTTACCAAAGAAAACCCATCCCTGGGCCTTCAGGTGGTGAAGCACCAATAGATCACAAGTTACAGCAGCTTTTCTTCTTCATATTTTATATAAAATGAGTTGTTTCTGAAAGCTGAGGAGATGTTCCTGGTATGGAAGCATTTACTTGGTCATATTTGAACCGGCTGGAGTTTGTGCTAAAAGCTTAAGGAGTATGATTTCCTGAGGAGCACTGCATTGTATAAAGGCCAAACCTAAGGCATTACTGGGATTCAGAGTGATGAGAAGGAAATGGGAGCTGCAGGGTCCTATTCTGCAGGATCAGACCCCAAGATATAACTGCAATATTCTCATGCTGTTCTGTGCCCTTTCATATATGGGAACAATAACAGTTATCAGCCCTTTGCTGATATTAGAACTGTGTATTTTGCATGGGTACCATGTAATTTTTTGTGCAGAATTTAGGAGGTTATGCTGTGCATAATACTTGTTATCAATATAATAACTTTTATTGTTATATACCCAAGTGTTGTGATTTTGTTGTAGTAAAATGGTATATCTATGTATTTCATCATAGGATGGTTGTAAGGGACTTAAAGCTCATCCAGCTCCAACCCCCTGCCACAGGTAGGGACACCTTCCACTAGAGGAGGTTGCTCCAAGCCCCTGTGTCCAACCTGGCCTTGAACACTGCCATGTTTTGTATTTGCTCTAGTCAGAAACTGGAAATTGAATGGGAACAGCTCAATTTGTGCTGTGTTCATTTCACAACAGAAAACATCAAATCTGGCTTGGTATAAATAATAATCTCTAGTACTGACTGCCCTTATGGCTTGAATTTTCCTGGACTGGAGGGTACATTCTGAAGTCTATAAACTGAGGTGGCTTTTACAAGGCTTTTGGATGAGCCCCTGTTTTCATTGTCCGTGTGCCTTGTTTGCAAAGAGCAGAAAAGGCAAAGGATAAAGCCTGAGCTCCTTCCGAGACAATACATGATCCTTCTGGTGAAAACAGAGCTCTAAAAAGGCCCTTGTGCAGACAGGGAAGAACTCCTGTAATCTTGAGCCCTGGGTACTTGTAAACATCCATTGCTAATGAGCCTTACTCTTCTCTGGAAGGGATCAAACACATTTAATGCTTTTCATGAAGATGCCTAATAAGGCACAGTTGAATGAAGCAAAGCTGTCAGTGGAGCCTTCTGTTAAGTTTCTTAGTATGAATGAGTCAAAACCCCAAGTGTTGTCTGAGCTCTCCTCCTTGGCTCTTTGGGTTTGGTAAAGATTCGTGGTCAGTATTAGCCTGATTTTTACTCTCAGTTAGGAGACCTGTTCTTGCTGTGTGAGCCCACTGAATTGTAGACACAGAAGAGTGCACAGAGTGTGTTAAGGCAACAGGAATTACACTCCTGTTGTTGTTCTGGGGGCTGTTGTGACAGAGGATGTTTTGTTGAATGGCAGGTAAGAGGTGTATTGTGGAGGCAGCACAGCATGTGGCTACCTTCAAAGGAGACTCAGTGTATGTTGGTCTTTCCTCCGCTTAATTATTCAAGTGGGTAATTTGGTTTGAGGGCAAAATGTGTGCCTAAATGATGTTATTCCAAATAGCAGCAGCAAAGAATTCCTGCATGTTAAGGGATGCCAATTAAGCAAGAATAATTGTGATTATTTTCTTTTAAAGTAGTGCCATGCAGCCATCTGCAAAAGAGCGCGAAGATGAGGGAGCCAGGAAGATACAATATTGAAACCCGAGTATATTGGTGAAAAAAAGGGTTGTGTTGCTGGCAGAAATCGCAAAGAAGTGTTGAGCTAAGTGTGGCCAAAATACTTTCTTGTAGAAGGTGTGTCTTGCTGGAAAGATAAAGCTTTTCTTCAATAAACTATGGTTGATTATTGAAAGTAATGTGAACTCTGTCAAAATATTATAGTTTCATAGAAGCATGGAATGGTTTGAGTTGAAAGGGACCTTAAAGCTCATCCAGCTCCAACCCGTGCTGCGGGCAGGGACCCCTTCCACTGGAGCAGCTTGCTCCAAGCCCCTGTGTCCAACCTGGCCTTGAGCACTGCCAGGGATGGGGCAGCCACAGCTTCTCTGGGCACCCTGTGCCAGCGCCTCAGCACCCTCACAGGGAAGAGCTTCTGCCTTATCTCCAACCTGAACTTCCCTTGTTTCAGTTTGAGCCTATCACCCCTTGTCCTGTCACTACACAATCCCTTGTGCTTTTCCTGAGCAGTCAGTTTGGTGTTAAGGGAACTGTTCCCATTCCTGTCCCTTCGGTTGGAGAAGAATTCACTGAGCCTCCTGGAACAGTTTTGTTGCTTGCAGGGATGTTTAATGCATTAACATATAATTTAATGCATTCTTAATTAACTGCTAATGTATGGGGGGAAATCTTCAAAGCTTTTGGACTGAATTACAACTTGCAACTCCGTGTGGTAACGTGTTATGTGACGTACAGGTTAGGTGTCAGCAGGGTTTCAACATGTCCTAGTCACCTCCTGGCTCTCCTCCTTGTCCCTGTGGAGTCAGAGGACTGGACCAGTGGCGTCACGTTAACTCCTGAAGCTATGAGTAAGATGTAGAATGCATGTTTATGAGGAAGCAGATCGTGATAGACGTGTGTGTGAACACTTTCACCTCAGCCTGCCTGCGAGTACAGGAAGTTCAGCAGCAAGTCTGGGTAAGCACAGACCTGTGTCTAGAAACACTTCCAGGCTCGTTGGGAAATGAGTAAGTTGGTAATTGGCTGGCCTAATGGGTGTCAGTCAAATGCAGGGCTGGGTACAGTTGTTTAGGATGTGGGCAGAGAGTAAGTAGTGCTGGTTTAACTTGAAAGTAGAGTAAGTAGGGTTGGTTTAACTTCAAACTCTTTAATGGCAATAATGACTTAATTTTTCCCCATGGCTATGGGAAACCAAACTCTTTAGTGACCAAAACTAATGGGACAAACCAGTTGGTCAACAGTTATCGGTAGTTATAATAGTGGTAATGTTGCTAGTATAATAATAACACCGACTATTGCTCATATAATTAATAATAGCACTTATTATTGCTCTGTGGCACCAACGGATGATCTGCTTGTGCCCTTCCTTTTGCCAGGTTCAGAAATCAATTCTCTTGCTGTTTTGGGGGTTGGCTCTAGGTAAGGACCGGAGGGCTCTAAAGCTCAGCTTGCTCCTTGCTGTTTGAGCCAATGTGCTCGGATTGTGCTCCGAGCAATCAGTGGTCTGAAGCCCAGAGATCCTTGGCCTGCAGAACTGAGGGTGCTGTGTACCAACAGCAGAGCTGCCCGCACCAGAGCACATGAAGAATCATGCTGCCTCTCCCCCTCAGCGCTTGGAAGCCTTGAAACGTTTCCTCTGTGAGTGGTAGCAACTTGCTGATTATTCCCAGGAAAGACTTACTGGAATAACCATGGAGGAGTGAAAGGTCATGGAGCAAGGGGGGGCACAACTCTCCCAACTGGATAATTAAAGAGAAAATTAAAACTGGGCTAAGTTGGAGGTTGACTCGTGGCCATGCTTTGAAGATTAAAAGGGCTTTTTTCCTTTCAGCTGAAGGAGGTTGGGGTTGGGAAGAGGAGTTGCGGCTGCAGGAGCGCTTGGGCAGTGCTCTGAAGCTGCATTTGCTGTTTGCTTCCTGAGTTGTGAACAAGCTACCAGGATCACTGAACAGGAGGGTGGGTATCTGCAGTTTCACCCCCCTTTTGAGAAGCATTTAGTCATGCAGCTAAAAGTTTCCAACCTGCTCCCTTGAGGGAGTGCAGGTGGTTTTTTAGGCATCTGAGCAAACGGCATTGAATGCAAGATGATACGAATGTGTTTTGTATAACCAAGTTTTGCCTTTAGAAAGTGAAATTAATGACAATTCAGCTGAAGGATGGAACTTTCCATGTTCTTTGCACAGCCTGTAGCAAGATCAGTCTGCTCTTCTTTTCTGTAGAGATTTAGCCTCTGCTTTTCAAGCTATTTGCAGTCACAGAAATGAGAGAGAAAACTAAAATAGGAACATGCTAACAGCAAGATAATGCCAAAATAATACCCAAAAAAGACAAAATAGCTACTTCAGCAGATAACACCAGCGGATGTTTCAAGTCTAGATTTAGCATATGAATTTGCATATCTGTTCCATAGCATTGAACAGGTCAGAGCTGTTGGGCTGACAGTGGGGTTTCGCTGTGGCTAGAGCCTGTGAGCGCATCTAGGATGTGCTGCTGTGCTCTGATGTTTGAGACGTGAGGGGATTGAAGTCCTAGATTGAAGTCTTAATTGTAGAGTTCCAGTTTACAGCTTATTAGATGTAGGGTTATTACATACTCAGGTTTATTAGGGTTGTTCCCTTGGCTGACTTATTGCATACTTGAGTTTGGATCATCATTTAAGCGCATGATCATAGAATCATAGACTGGTTTGGGTTGGAAAGGACTTTATAGATCATCTAGTTCCAACCTCCCCTCTAGATATGCCTAGAAATTGGGGGGCAGGGAACAATGATTTGAGCTTTAGGCTTTAATTACAGCATACCTGAAGCTCCAGGAATGATGTAGGTGTCTGAGGTGGTTTATGGACATGGTGGATACAATCACAGGCTACAAAACGCACGTTCTTCTGCCTTCATTTTTGAAGCCCTTTGATCTGTGCCTATGGAGTACGTGCCTGTGGCTTCACTACTCTTTTGTTGTTGCTTTTCCTTGGAAATGATTTCTTATTTCTTGCCTAGAAATCAGCCATAGGTATTTTTAAAGGCACTTCCATCTGGTAATTACTTCTTTACGTAGAAGAGCCATTGGTCTGCTTTGATGTACAGCTGAGAACCTAAATCTTTCTTCTAAAGCATTGTATTCTCTCCACTGGAAAAGTGCAGTACACTTGTGGACTGTCTCTAGGTATCCTTTCTGTGAGGATAGTGTGTTTTAAGGGGTTGAGTCACCTACAAGAGGTCTGTGCCTAGGACCGTGTGGCCCTCGTTGAATTAAATAGTAAGTCAAAGCAATTTCAGTAATTCTTTGTAATGCAGGATTAGGGAAGAGAACAGATATTTGTATGTTAAAGCTTATCTTCTGGTGAGTGCTTTTCCAAAGAATTTCTAATTCAATGAGTTAATAAATGTTCCTATAAAAGCAAATGTAATGGCCTAGTCTTTCTGCGGTTCTAAGTTGTGGGTGGAAGTGGATCTATTTATTCTGGTATGTGATGCTGTTTTATTTTTTGCTATATTCTGTGAAGTGTATTCTGGAAGATGTTCATGGGAGGCTGCTGGATAAATTGAGTCTTTTCACTGATGTAAAAGGTTACATACTTGATATGGGTTTGGTACAAAGAATACTTTAAATTAGGAGATAGCTACAAAAATCCCTGGCAGTGTTCAAGGCCAGGTTGGACACAGGGGCTTGGAGCAAGCTGCTCTAGTGGGAGGTGTCCCTGCCTATGGCAGGGGTTGGAACTGGATGAGCTTGAGCTTTTTTCCAGCCCAAACCATTCCATGGTTCTGTGAAATGGACAAATGAAGTTGGGACTCATTTAGCCACCATAAATGAAATGAGGCATCCCACACCTCACTCTCCCTATGGTACAGGATGTTCTTGCAAAGAAGATGGACAGCAGTGCTCTGAGGAGGTGCCTTTGCAACATCTGCATACTTGTGAGGCATCTGCTGTGCTGGAGCCAGCTGCTTTAAGATAAGTTGTGGAACAGAGAACCTCTTCTTAACAGTTTCTCAGTGACTGCATCAGACTTGTCTTTTTGCTGTGTTTCTTGTTATTACCTGCAATATGTGAAGGTTTGGAGCAGTGATTTCATTACAGGTGTTTGTGGTCACAGTATCACGTTTTGATCCTGTGAGAGACCCATTGAGTCCATCCCTACGCACTCAATGTTTTCAGGTCAGTGGAAATAGGTGACTTCAAGGAAGAATTTTATCCTGACTCTGAGTGCTTCCCAGCTAGGGAGGCGGCCTCAGAGTGAATATTCAAACTCAGGACATTGCTTCTATGATGTCACTTAGTTCATAGTGTGTGTCTGCCAGCAGGTATTTGTAATTTGACTAGTGCACTCTGAAGTTTTTGCTTCATCCTTAAACTGAGCACTCTGAGAAGAATGCCCAAAATTGTATTTTCTCATAATCATCAGAAGTGAACTCCTCCGAGGAGTAACATTTTCAAGTGAGAGAAATCCTCCCATCAGTTTGAATTCCTGATACTAAGCAGGTAATCAAAATGATGACTGGCTCTGTAGGATCATCGTGACACCGTTTCCTGCACTGAAGCAGAGCAAGATAAATTGTCTGCTGTGATTTCACTTCCATCAATAAATTGCAGCAATACACGGAGCTTTTCATCTGCTCACTCCTGTTTTTCACACCATTGCAGACTTTGAAGGTGCACTGTAAAATATGCCGCTGTCTTGAAGCAGTAGTCACAAGAGTTATGTCTTGAATTAACATTCATCTCAAGTAGGGCACTGATTAAGCACCTTTCACTGCAAGGAAATGGAACCAACCAACGTGTGATCAGATCAGACTGTCGATCACATAAGGTTTTAAGTGAAGGCATCCGGATGAGGGGGTGGTTTATTTGAACTGAATTATTGAGTGTAAATACTTAAGTAGTCAAAAATAAATCTTCTGAGTGATGAAATTCTCTGCTCACCAGTGATGAATGTTGGAGCAATTAGTTTTAATGGTAAGGTAAATAGGCAAGGCTTGTTTAATGGGATACTTAAGTTATCTTACTAGCTTTGAACTCAAGTATACTTTGAACTCTGATATTCAGGGCAAGCAGCATTTGAGTCCTGACGTGGTTTAATGCAGCTATATAAAACAAGTTCTGGACACTGGAATAAAAAGCAAATGGCTTATTTCTTCCAAAACCTTATGGATTTGTCTTGCCATGGATCTCTTTGTCCTGTAGTTCCTTGTGAGCACATCAAATGCCTCAAATCTACAATAATTTCCAGTATATTCCTCAACAATCTTGTAGATCAATAGTCAGTCTTTGGAGTTGTGGTACAGCAGTCAATGTTTTATGGTCTTAAAACTTAAGATAGTCTTAAAACTTAGTCTTTATAGTCTTAAAACTGAAGATCCAGTGATGCTTGCATTAAGGGTGTAAGTTTTCTCCATATTGAACTAAGCTGGTGTTTCTCTTTGTGAAAACATTTGGAATTCGGCAGTAAAGAGCAAAGGAAAGAATCTGCCAGCTGGAAAAGGAGCAAGCAGAGGAAGAAACTTTTCAACACCTCTTTGCGGTGGAGCTTTAATGCTGGCACATAACGTGGTTTTCTCTACACACACATTGCATAAAGTGATCAGTGGAGATAGTTGGCTTTCTTCCATGCATTCTTAAGGAGTGATGAATAAAGAGTATTGCACGTAATAAGTGTCAGCTTCCAATTAACTGGGCCCTATTCAGTGGTTGGTTCTTTGATGCAAGAACAAGCACATGCCCATTTCTGATGTGCTGGTGATCCGCAGCTTTCAGGTCTTGACAATGACGGAGAGCATTAAAACCTCTATGACAAACCCCAAACTTGTGTAAGCAGCCCCGCTGACCAGCGGGGGGAGCTAGATGGTGCCAGTGATGAGGCTTTGCTCCCAGATCGGGCTCAAAAGGTGTGTTTCAGGTAAAGTGAGCTGTGCTCTTGGCCAGCTCTCAGTCGAGTAGAACCTGGTGGTTGGGGGCTACTTCCTGGTGCCCTATTCTAATCATTACTTGCAAGTATCATAGAATCCCTGACTGGTTTGAGTTGGAGGAGACCTTAAGCTCATCCAGCTCCAACCCCTGCCATGGGCAGGGACCCCTTCCACTAGAGCAGCTTTCTTCAAGTCCCTGTGTCCAACCTGGCCTTGAGCACTGCCAGGGATGGGGCAGCCACAGCTTCTCTGGGCACCCTGTGCCAGTGCCTCAGCACCCTCACAGGGAAGAGCTCCTGCCTAAGAGCTCATCTCAGTCGCCCCTCTGGCAGGTTAAAGCCATTCCCCTTGGCCTGTCCCTACAGGCCCTTAGCCCAAGCTCCTCTCCAGGTTTCCTGCAGCCCCTTTAGGCACTGGAGCTGCTCTAAGGTCTCCCCTTATGAAGCCTTCTCTTCTCCAGGCTCAGTTGTGTAAGTGGGGGTGTCCCATTAATAGTGCAGTCGCACAGTGTATTTGGAGAGGTGATTATTTACCTTGTGGGACAAGGGGATCGTGTACAAACTTGATGGCAAACTTAAGGCAGGGGCTGTGATGTGACGAATGATAAAGCAATGCTTGGGAGTGTAGGACAGCCTTAAGCCAGTGCTGTTCTGCAAAGAGAGGGGTAACTCGGGGAAAGAAGATATACACGGATTCATTTCTGTTGTTTCAGTCCTCTCACTTCTACTCCTGTTTCCTTTTCCCTCTCACTTTGCTCTGCAGCCTCAACATCCCTGTTACACAGCATTTTCCATTAGGGAAATTGTGTGTTTTCAGTTCTCAGCGAGGTTGTGGATTGCTAAACCTTCTCTTACGGAACAGAGCTTTGAGGTCTGGGACCTCTTCAAAACTGCCTAATAGCTGCTAAAAATACTTCCACGCAAGTTGCACAACGGAGACTTATGGAAATGGGACCTGATGGAGAAAAATCCCCGTCCTGATTACAGCACTGGAGTCAGGCATGTAAATATTTATGCAACTTGAATTTGGGGGGGGGGGGCAGCTGGGTTTTCTGCCTGTAGCACTGCAGGTTGTGTAAAAGGCTTGGACCTCCTCCTCGGGATGATGTGTGCGCGCTCCGCTGGTAACGCAGGGACTGACTGTCCTTTCGCTTACTTGTTGTAACTGAGAGGCTGTAGTAACAGTTTCTGACCGTGTGGTGTCTTCCCGCAGTTGAGAGGTTGTGTAACGCTCAGAGATTGTGATTGGGCACAGGACAGTTATACAATGGAGTGAGCCCAACCAGCTTATAAAAATCCTCCTTCGCTATGTCTGCATCCTTTCAGGCTGCAGCTTGCAGCTCGCGTCTTGCTCTCAGCATAGGCTGCAAGGAAAGAGGTGGAGGAATTGCCTGGGACGGGCTCTAGAAGTCGGTGCAGGTTTCTGGAGGTAAGAGCTGCTTTCAGTTCAGTGTTAATGGGATGATTACCAAGATTCAACTGCTTTAGTGTGGGCATTATAAAGTAAAGAACCTTAAACTTGCCAAACTCAGGTCTGTAATAACGTTTCATTGTCTTAAAGGTTTGAGGACTTCTCATTGTAAAATGAGAGACTCAAAAGCATTTACCCTTTTTCCTAAAAGTTCCTAAACTTTGTTAGGAAACAGCTTCCCAAACTCTAACTTTCTTGAATTTTTAAAATGAGAGAATTATATCGAAGGTTTGTGTAGTAAAAAAGATCTAAAGAATGCTTGACCCCAGAAGTACAGCATCTTGGTTAGTCTTTGAAAGCTGCTTGAATTCCACATCTTTTATTCAGTTCTGTTAAATGGAAGTGAAATATTTAGTTCAAGCCAAGCCGAATAGGTCCAACTCAGTGTAGAGTTTTCAAGTGTGTAATCAGTTACTGGTTTTATATTGCTTACTGGACTAGAATCCTTCTCTTTCAGCAAGGAGTGAGTGTCTGTTTCAAAAGCCTTTGGAAAGGAGCTTCGTATTCAGAGTTGAAAAAGTTGGCACATTCCCCTGATTTGCTTAATAAATGGAATTTTTCCTAGATGAGTCTCTAACTTCACCTTTGTTTTAATGTGATTAAGGTCTTGGAAGGAAAAGAAAAAGTAGCTTTCATCAAAGTGCCAAGTAGAAGTACAAAGAAAGCTGAGAAAGGAAGCAGTGTGTGCTCAGGTTGCTTTTGGAATGCCGTGAAGGAGCTTAATGAACTGTGTATTAATATCCATAATGATGTGGAGGTAGCTGAATTCTGAGGTTATTAATGCTCCACAGGGGGACCAAGAGGACTGTATACTATTATAAGTCAGATGACTGTGTGCCATAAACAGTGAGAGAGGTATATGGTGCTGCAGGTAAGACTATAAAGTAGTGATGTGTTTGATAAAGAACAGTGATCCACTATTTCATCTTTATTTACTGTGAGCATCATTGCTACCTAGAGAGCACTGCAGGTGTCATTTGATATCAGTCACTTCGTGTCAAGCTGTGAAAGCGTTATCTCCTACATCTTGCTTCTGTGAAACGTTATCTTATGCCTTCTGTATAGTTCCTCCTTGGTCCTTCCTTAGGACTCTGTTAACACAGACCATCAAGCACGCTGGGGGGGATCTCATGCGAAGGGTAGTGCATGTGCTGCACAGAAATTGGGTGAAACTTGCCCATTGGAGCAATAAAATGAGAGGAACAGGGTGAAAGATGAGTGAGGACCAGCCTGACCAATGTTTTTGGCCAAAATCGCCTTCAGCTGGAGCTGTACTTACTGGAAATACTCATATTTCAGATATTTGTGTTTCGAATCACAGCCTAAATACGCTCTGATTAAATAACTTGAGGAGTTTGAAAGCTGTGAGATGCTTTGTTAAACGTCTCGGTTGGATTTAAGTCTCTCCTCAACAAGCTCATTCACACAAGGAAGTTAATGAGATTTAGCTAATGTGCTTTAAATCAACAGAAGGTTGGAGCTGGGCATAACTTTCCTGGGTGTCTTTGTGCAGACATGCCCTAATAACGTTGGTCAGTTGTTAAGACATTCTATATTGGATGGCAGTCAAAATACCAACTACTTAAAAATTCATTAGTGCCTGCAAAGAAAGAAACCGTTTGTGCTTTGAAGACCTACTTTGAAGTGAGGGGAGAAACTAAGGACCGAAACTTCTTAAAGTGCCCATAAGCTCTTGTGCTTTAGAACCTAAATGTGAGGTGGCTTGAGCAGGTTTAGCAGTACTTCATTTCTACAGCAGGTAAAGGGCGGTGATGTCTGTCTGTGTAGTGTTGTGTTAGGAATTTGAAGCGTAATTCTCTGCTTTAAGTGAGGATGTAGTTGGGTTTGAGTGAAGTGGGGAGGAGGGAAATAGAATCCTAGAATGGTTTGGGTTGGAAAGGACCTTAAGATCATCCACTTCCAACCCCCTGCATTTCAGTGCAGTTTCATTTCATGGCTGCAAGAGACACCTGGTAAAGACAAGGCACGGGTATTTTTCGGACCAGAGAGGCTCAGTTTCCAAATAGCCTGAGGAAAAGCTCTATTACGACTAAAGGGGAAGATGGTTTCTACACGTAGCAACAGAAGATTCTGCACGGGTGCTGTGCAGTGTTTTGCACGTCTCTAAGATGATGGAAACCCCCTTGGAAGGTTCAGAAGATGCCCTTTGGGCACACGTATGTATCTGGGCAGTGTGGAGCTGAGGACCTTATGGGCACTGTATCCAGGTACCCGTCTGGAGATGTAAGAACTCGTGAAGAATTGAACTTGTGGTTATAGACAGCACTTTGGTTGCATCATGTTAAGTACTTGTTGGCTCGCTCATGAGGTGCTTGTTGAATGCTTAGAAATGGGGAGGACCTTTTTGCTTTGTAGGAAAACATCAAGCAACTTTCTGGAGAGCTTTGAGTAGTGAAGTTGCTACTGTTTTGATTGCTTGAGATTTGGTCATTATTAGTGTAAATCCCCATGATAACATATTACTTGCTTTTGAACAACTTCTCAGAAATACATTTTTCAAGCTTCTTGTATTTTAGATCTAAGGCAGAAGCTCTTCCCTGTGAGGGTGCTGAGGCGCTGGCACAGGGTGCCCAGAGAAGCTGTGGCTGCCCCATCCCTGGCAGTGTTCAAGGCCAGGTTGGACACAGGGGCTTGGAGCAAGCTGCTCTAGTGGAAGGTGTCCCTGCCCGTGGCAGGGGTTGGAGCTGGATGAGCTTTAAGGTCCCTTCCAACCCAAACCTTTCTATGATTCTATGTCCCTAGTGCTGTAGGAGCAGTATTAGCTGCTTGGCTTAAAGGCACTTTTTAAACACTAAACAAAGTAAATGGGGTGCATTTGTTTCTGCCTTAAATTCTTCATAGCTGTCCAGTGCTACAGGAACTGAGCATTTACCTTTAGTCGCAGTCTGCAATGCACTGGTTCCAGAAAGAGCTCTGCAGTGCTCACAGTATTGGGTGCTGAGCAGATAAGAGTGGGTTTTAAAACTGGCTTTATCTTCTGCTCAGATTGCTATGCTGTAATGATAAAACACCCTGATGTGCAGGGGGTCCAGGGGGTCTTTTCCACGTCTCTCACCAAAACCACAATCTTGGAGGTAGAGGATGCCTTGATTTGTGTTTAAACACATCACGTGCCTGGGTTTGAGATACCAAACACTTGAAACTGCTCCTGGAGGTGAGGGAACTCCAGATGTGCTGCTGCAGGGGAGGCTCTTCACCTCAAATGTTTTGAGCTTATTTAAGGTGCAGGTGAAGCTGACCTTGGCTGGTGCTGGGTTGGACAGCTTCTGGTTGAGCATCACCTCTGCTCGAAGGAGAAAGTCATCGTTACTCACACAAGCCTGGCAGCTCATTCCAGACAATACACTGCAGGTTGTAATTAAGCTGTCACCTTAACTTGGTTCTAATCTCCTCACTGTATGCAGCTGAGCTCTCTTGGCTCTTCAGCCATCTGTAAAAGCCAAAAAGGTCCCGGGTTGGATCTGACATGGTTCCTTCCTTGGGGCAGTGAGACATGTGCTGACCAGGTGCTGTACCTCTGTTAGTGCTCCTGGGAGCTCTTCCATCCCTGTGCTCTAAAGAATGTTCTGTTTCCATTGCCAGCTCCTTTTAGAACCACGCCTGTAGTGCTTCCTTTATGAATATTTCCCTTGCACAGCAGTATAGGGCCACCAAATGTAGGTCAGTTCCTGATTTTCCACAGTTGAGGTGGAGAGGAACGCAGCTACTGATGTAATTCTGTTGATACTTCTACTATGCTAAGAGACAGGAGGGAATACACCTACCTTTCAGACTAGCTAGGGTTCTCCTTTGTAGGGGGTCTACAAGAAACCTGGAGAGGGGCTTTGGACAAGGGTCTGTAGGGACAGGCCGAGGGGAATGGCTTTAACCTGCCCGAGGGGAGACTGAGCTGAGCTCTTAGGCAGAAGCTCTTCCCTGTGAGGGTGATGGGACACTGAGATGGGTTGAACAGAGAAGCTGTGGCTGCCCCATCCCTGGCAGTGTTCAAGGCCAGGTTGGATACAGGGGCTTGGAGCAAGTTGCTCTAGTGGAAGGTGTCCCTGCCCGTGGCAGAACACCTTTAGATCTGCTTATTACAAATGTGGGTCCATGAGCTTTATAGCATTGACAGCGCAGCCTCAGCATGCTCATTGCTTGCCAGGTCTGGTGCTGCCAGTCTGATGACACCTAAGAAATTGTGTGCTCTTCTAATGGATGTTAACCCCCCCCAAACAAACAGAAAGGCCCCAGCATGCTTTTTCCCCAGGCATGTTGTCTGGAGGTCACAGTGGTTTTGTTTTCCCCAACCTTTGCGTTGCCAAGCACAGAATTCAAGCGTTAAAGGCCCTCAACCATAGCATTGTAGAGGGGATGCCATTACAGGAAAACTGACTCTTATTGGGTTTTAATATGCCTTTTGTAGTTGTTACTGGGTGTTCTCAGGCTCATATGAAAAAAGCAGGGAACGTTTGCAGTGTGGTTCAGCCAAAATCTATATCAAGTGATGCTGCTTTTAAAGAAAACAACGCATCCAAGGGAGAAGATGTGCATATTACAGTTGCCTTCAATGGGGTTCATGGTCCATGTTTCCTTCCCATGTTAATAAGCTCTTTATTTTATGTCCTGCCCAAGTTAACTCTTCTATCTAGTAAGAGGTGAGTTTTCCAAGTATCTTTTAGACTGATTTGTATGCACTTTGGTACCTTGTGAAACAGAAGCTTTTCATACAGCCTGTCTTGGTATATGGGCAGGTTTCTCTAGATGAAAACCTTTGTTCTGTACTCCAGGGTACACAACAGGTTTTTGTTTGTGGTAGAGGTTCTAGAGCGATGACTTGAAGGCAGAAACTACAGCAAGAAAAAGAAAGGTACATTTAATCAGTTTTGCATTGTACATCTCCATCTGTGATGGTTCCTATCCCTTTTTCTTGCAGTGAACTTTGAAATGCATGGGAGCTTGTTTAAACAAAGTTGGCAAAAGAGGGAATGGGGTGTTAGGAGTCAGGAAAAGGCAAAGTGTGAGAAGCACCATGTTGTCAAACCAGGCAGTGCAGTGCTTTGTGTCCTGTCCTGATGGTACCAGATCTCTGTGCGTGAAGTAAAGGCAAAGGTGTCGAGGTGCAAAGCTTTCCCTGGCTAGAAGGGCTTTCCTCTGGTGAACTTGCGCCTGGACTATCCCCTGCAGTAGGCTGCTTGTCTCGATGCTCGTCTTATCTAAGCCCTTGTAAACCCATGTCAGCGTTTGGCCTTCCTGGGTTAATCATGTATGAGCAGCAAAGATAATTTGGGCTAGAAAGAGATGGATGTTAATCAGTGTCTTGGTGGAAATTTCACTTGTAGCCTTTCTGTTTGATCCAGGGCGGCTGGTAATCCATTGTGCTGGGTGCACCTAGCTGATGCTGGATGAGGTTTATCTCTGTTTTCCATTACTTTATAGCTTTTGATCAGTTGGATTTGTTAGGGAAGGCAATAAAATGTCAGTCACCTCATGTAGCTATGCTTGGTGGGTAAGAGGTTTGATAAAGAGGCATGATACCTTTCAGATAACCTGATCTGCTGCTGCCTAACCATTTCTGGTTCAGTTTGATTGCAGCATAAAAGTCTGCTGAAAATCTCATTAGCATCTGTTCCATTCATGCAAGAAAAGTTTGGAAGGTTGTTCTCCTTGTTTTCCCTGAATCCCTTCCCCTGACACATGTTTGTTGTTAGTGTGCAGGTGCATGTGTGGACACAAAACACCTCCCCTCTTTCTAGGAAAAGAGCTGATGAGGCTGGTTTTACCGGTTAATTTGAAGTTGCTTCTTCATCACCATCCGGGAGCCCTCATCCAAACACTGTCATTGTAGGTGTTGTGTTTCAGCACTCAGGAATTAATCCAAAGCACAGCTTACGTGCGTCCTCTCCTGCCGTACTTCTCAAGACCAATTCCTAAGGAAGGATCCCATCTTCTTTGAGAAGATAGCAGTCTTAGTGTTGTGCAATGCAAAGCGAAATAGGATTATGTGGTCTTTTCTTTTGCATCAGTGGAGATGTTAGTTAATGCTAACTAAGAAGCTTATCATGCCAGAAAACCTTAAACCAGCTCTCCTTGATGGCAGGTTTCCTGCTGGTGTAACTCTCTCAGTGGTGTTGCATTGGCATGGCTGCATTCGTTGGGGAGGTTTTCCTTTCCAATGCGAGATGATAAAGCTGCCAGACCAAACCACGCCTGTCTCCATCACTGATTTTCTTGGAGAATAAAACCTGTCTCTGTTGACAGAAGAAGGCAATTGCTTTTCTTTTCTGTTTTTTCATGTGTGCTTCAACAAAAGCCTTCACCCTTTACAACAGAAGCAAACAAACCCCCTCCAAAATCCCCACCCCAGGCAGCCCTCCTGCCCCCAGACCTTGACCTGGTACCTGCCTCTCGCCTCTAACCTGCTCATATCACTCCCAGGCCTGCCCAGGCAGCCTGGAGAGGAAGGTTCCTATAGGGATTTGAGGTGGAAGCAGACAAACTAATTGAACATTGCTCTTCATGTCTGGAGATTGGCTCTTCTGATGAGAAGTCGATGGTTACTGGAGAAATGGGGACACCTTTTTCTTTCAGGTGATCACTCAAAGGGGTTTGCTCCTTCAGTCTTAAGTGAAAAATAACTAATTATGCTCTTAATATTTAGGAAACAAGGCTTAATGAAACCCTTATTTGAAGGCAGTACTTTGCATTCCATTTGGGTTTAGTTAGGGGTGCTCAAGGGTATCTCAGTGCCCAAGTGCTGTTTCTTAGGTCCGGCTGTTTTCTCTCTTGAAAAGTGAGATTGCTTTGAAAGATGAATCTCTCTTTAACCTCAAAGAACCAGAATTTTCTAGCAAATGGGCAACTAACAGCTATGAAGAGGTTCTGAAACATCAGTACTTGGTAATTTCTCACGCAGTCCCCTGGCTGAAGTGTCTTTGTCTGGTTTCATTTCATTGCCATTCCAGTTGATATCCAAACTGCTGGCGTGTTCCTGAGCAGCGTTTTGGAAGAGAAACTTAAGAAAGAAACCAAACCCCACTTTTGGGGGTTTTTGATACCTACATAACTGTGTTTTTTGAATGTCCCTTAGTGGCGTTTCCACCTCTAGCAATTATAGAATCACAGAATGATTTGGATTAGAAGGGATCTTAAGATCGTCCAGCTCCTGCCACGGGCAGGGACACCTTCCACTAGAGCAGCTTGCTCCAAGCCCCTGTGTCCAACCTGGCCTTGAGCACTGCCAGGGATGGGGCAGCCACAGCTTCTCTGGGCACCCTGTGCCAGCGCCTCAGCACCCTCACAGGGAAGAGCTTCTGCCTAAGAGCTCATCTCAGTCTCCCCTCGGGCAGGTTAAAGCCATTCCCCTTGGCCTGTCCCTGCAGGCCCTGATGAAGAGTTTAAAATATCATTAACTTGCTATGAGTTAGAAAAGGCCATTCTTGGGGTTCTGTTGTGTACTTTCCTCTGTACCAGAACTTGTTTCACCTCAGCCATCTGCACTGCTCTTTCTTCTTTGAAGCCCAGGAGCCACAGGCTGCAAACTGGGTTTGCTGCAAGCTTTTCTGTGCTGCCCTGTGGGAAATGGAGGTTCAAATCCTTTCATTCATGCTTCTTAGTGCTGGAAATGCCTAAAGTGTAGGTGACCTTGGACTGGCAGGTGCATGTTAAGGAGGAGATGTGGGGACTGTGCTGTAATGACCCCCTTGGGAAAAGCAAAGAACCAATAAACTGTATGATCTCCCCTGTTCCTGTGCCAAAACAGAAGTGCTACTAATTACATAGTACTAAATACACAGTTTTATCCTGAAGCAGTTGCTTCAGCATCACCAGGCAGATGACTTTGAACATCCCTCATGCAACTGCGCTAAGTTCAGGTGAGAGTGTTCCTGTCTGAAATACTGCACTCAGCTGTGCTTCACTGTCCATTTACTCTAAGCTTCCTGGAAGCTTTTGACTTCAAAAGGGGTTGTTTGAAAAGGAAGGATTTAGTTACACAGAGGTGAACTTGTGAGCAAGTCTACACATTTACACTCTTTGACAGCACAAGTAATGTTTTCAATGGATGTTCGATAGCAAACTGTCCTCTGTTGCTGCATAGCTGGGGTACAGGAGTACTTTCTTCCCAAAAATGCCATGGAAATGACTATGGTATTAAAACAAGATCAAGGCTTCAACATAATTGAGGACCACAAGAGAAGACTGAGAGACTAATCAGCACATTCCCATCCTGAAAGAACCTTAAAATACTTTAAATGCTCATCTGTTAATGATCAAATCAAAAAGGAATGATAAGAGTTAGTGAGTCATGAGCGTGAAAGGGTACCAGGGCTGCAGGGCACAAGTCTTTGTACATATATCTTGGGTAATGAAGAAAAAATGAATTTCTGTCTTCAATTCTAGGTGCCATTGATGCTAATGATACTTAAAAAAGCAGCCCCGATGCCCCAGCTGGATTACTGAGCACTTCAGAGATACCTGGACGTGCTGCTGTGGAAATAAGGAATTGTCCTTAGTCCTTGGCCTCTCAGCCCAGAGCATCCCCTTGGGGACTGTATGCAAGTCCTTGACGTTCTGGAAACGATGGGGATTGGTAAGAATACCACTTCAAAATCGGTGGAGGCAGGAGGCTCGACGGAAGGCAAATATGAGGATGAAACTAAACATCCCACCTTTTTCACCCTGCCTGTAAGTAACACATCCAGGTACTGTATGGTCAAGCTCAGTGCGAACAGGTTAATGCTTTGCTCTAATCGTGTTGTGCAGTGTTCATTTCCACATGTAGTTACTGAAACCTCCTTTGCCACTTGTTGTTTAGATATAAACATGGCCAATTATGGTGTCTGTGGTTATTTCATATGTGGGCTCTAAAGCAGTGCTGGTCACAGGACATGCAACACCCCAGGCAGCTCCTCATGAAAACAGTTAGAATTGTGGCATGGTTTGGTTTGGAAAGGACTTTAAAGCTCATCCAGTTCCAACCTCCTGCCACGGGCAGGGACACCTTCCACTTGAGCAGCTTGCTCCAAGCCCCTGCGTCCAACCTGGCCTTGAACACCCCATGTCCAAAGTCTCTCTCCGGGTTTCCTGCAGCCCCTGTAGGTACTGGAGCTGCTCTCAGGTCTCCCTTTAAGGAGCCTTCTCTTCTCCAGGCTGCCCCAGCCCAGCTCTCTCAGCCTGGCTCCAGAGCAGAGCTGCTCCAGCCCTCGCAGCATCTCCATGGCCTCCTCTGGCCTCGCTCCAACAGCTCCACGTCCCTCTTGTGCTGCTGCCCCAGAGCTGAATCAGGACTGCAGGGGGGTCTCCCCTTCACACAGCAGAGGGGCAGGATCCCCTCCCTGAGCTGCTGCTCACACTCTGGGGGTGCAGCCCTGCACATGGGGGGGTTCTGGGCTCAAGTATGCAAAAACCCCAGCCTGTGTTTGTGCTGGGGATTGCCCTGACCCTGTGGCAGGACTTTGCACTTGGTCTTGGTTGAACTTTATAACATTTCCATGGTCCCACCTCTCCAGCCTGTCCAGGTCCTTCTGGATCTCATCCCTTCCCTCCAGTGTGTCACCCAGACCACACAGCTCAGTGTCATTGGCAAACTTGCTGAGAGTGCTCAATTGCATGTCCATGTCACTCACAAAGATATTAAATGGCTCCAGTCCCAACTCCAGCCCCTGAGGAACACCACTCACCACTGATATCCACTTTGACATTGAGCCATTGACTGCAGCTCTTTGAGTGTGACCATCCAGCCAGTTCCTTATCCGCCAAGTGGTGCATCCATCAAGTCCATGTCTCTTCAGTTTAGAGACAAGGATATTGTGAAGGACAGTGTCATCAAATTTCCTTGCAGAAATCCAGGTAGATGGCATCAGTTGCTCCTCCCTCATCCACCAATGCTGTAGCCCTGTCCCACTGTTGACTGTCCTACTGCAGAAGGCACCAGCCCCTGGTTATGTCCTGATTTGTTTGGCTAAGAGGAGGAGGCAACAAGGAAACGTTTGTTGTCTTTTTTCTTATTCAGGCTTTCTGTTACATCGTTCTGTTGTGCACATCTGCCTCTTAAGAACTCTTCCCATCAGTCTCCTGATGGTTTCTTCCCACCCTCAGTGGACACTGTCCAGGCTTTGAGGATGCCTGTCTATAACATGTCTAGGAATATAAATGATTGCTTGCCATGCTTGTAATGGTTTGTGAGAAGAAGTCAAGTACCAGGATCCCAAACAGAATGTTCATTTGAAGACCTTGTGTTTCTTTTCCCTCTTGTTTTATTTCTAAGGTTGTCATAAATGGTGGAGCAACATCCAGCGGTGACCAGGATACAGAAGACACCGAGCTGATGGCCATCTATACCACAGAAAATGGCATAGCAGAGAAGGTACGTAGTGCTTTCCTTCTAGGTGAGAACTCATTCTTGCTTTCTCAGTTCTCATATTGGTCCACACTGGTTTTACTGGGCTGAGAGATTTCCTTTCTCCTGTCAGCCATGCTGACTTGCAGATTCAGATCAGGCCTGGGGGAGTTGTGTCCTTGTGACTCTCCCGGTCACACATTTTGGTTGCAGAACACAGGGAGTGACTCAGCAGATGTTAGAACCACTTTGACCTGGCACCAAAATCTGTAATAGGCAGTTTTCTGATTTCATTTCCATTGGCCTTTTGCATGATTTCCGTGGTAAGGTCATTCTGTGCTGTTCTTCAGGCTTCTGCATTTAGTCAAGGAAACTGGCAATATTGAGCACTTTCAAAAGCAGAAACTTTCTCATTCTCTTTCCTCCAAGCTCCAACCTCATAAACTTAATTTTTCTAGTCCTCTTTCCAAGTAGGGGGCTGCTTATTATCATAGAGAGGCAGCTTTATGAATGGATTTCAGGTCATTCCTAAAAACCCTGGAACATTTTTGCTTAGGATATCGATGATTGTACCTTAGATCATTCAGGATCAACAACCCAGTTGAGGCCTCAAAAGAAACTGGGGTTGTTTAGTCTGGAGAAGGCTCAAGGGGGACCATAACCCTCTCTACAGCTGCCTGACAGCAGGACGTAGTGAGGTGGGTCAGGCTCTGCTCCCATGGAACAAGGGATGGGACAAGAGAAAATGGCCTCAAGCTGCACCAGGGCAGGTTTAGATGGAGCTGAGGAACAATTCCTTGCCCAGAGGGTGCTCAGGCATTGGAACAGGCTGCCCAGGGCAGGGCTGCAGTCTGTCCCTGCAAGTGCTCACACACCGTGGAGACGAGGCCTCAGTGCCATGGGTCAGTGGTGGCCTTGGCAGTGCTGGGAATGGCTGGACTGGATGAGCTTAAAGCTCTTTTCCAACGTGGCTGATTCCATGATTCAGTGCGGTTGTGATGTTTCCAGGTTTTTTCTCAATTCCATCATTCCCCAGGCCTGTTCAGTAACATCCTTCCAAGTAGCTATGGTGTGAATCTGCGCTGCTGTTTAAAATGAGAGGATTACACTAAATCTGAACAGCACCTTTTTGTATCTGCTCTTCTTTGTGGTTAAGCCTTATCTCCAAAAAGCCTCAACTTGACCAAATTGTATTTGCAAAGGATGCTAGGAATGCCACAGTGTGCTTTCATGCACAGTTAGGGATGGTCTGCCTGTATGTCTCAAGTACTCCCTGCTACCACCTTGATCGTGGTGATATTCTCATGGGCACATTTTGGCAACTGCCTACCTGCAATGTCTGTGGTGGCTGCTCCTTGGAGCACGCTCAGACTAGCGTGGAGAGCAACAATCTGATAAAAAGCCTTGAGCAAAAGGTGCTGGGATGAAGTTGTGCAACCAAGATAAGCAATCTCTAGACGTTGAAGCATGTCTTCATGGCCTGTTTTTACCATGTTTCTCTCCCTTCCCCTTGATCCATGTGATCAGAATGGTAAACGACTGTTGATAATTCACCTTAAAGAGACCACGAGCTTTTAATCAACCAAATCTGCTTGAGTTAAAGCTTTGCTGTGGCTTATAATGAATGAACAGTGAAAGCAGGGGCTGCAGCAGTTAAAGCCTCATCTATTAAGATAATATTTCTGGTAATATGGGCAAACCTCCTGCTTTTCACTTCAAATAAGGGTGTGTGTGAAGCATCTTCGTGGCTTTCCATTCCTCTAGAGAGATCATTCACCAGAAGGGCAAATGAAAGACTTTGATTAAAAAGCCTGTAACAAAGAGGACTGAAATGTATTGAATTGCTGGAGGATGCCCAGTGCTTACATTGACTCACAAACGGATGCTCCCCCTGTTTATACTTATTCTGTGCTTTTTATTCCTTTTTGTGTCGTCCCACCCTTGGCCAGTTAAAAAGAATTAGTCTCTGATTGGTATCTCCCTCCAGAAGGTGCAGTTTGTTCCCAGCAGTTCCCTATGGCATACTTGGCAAGTACCAGCAGTACGTTAAACCAGCAGGCACATGCTTAAGTTATGAGAGGGCCAGTGACTAGCCAGTGACTTACCCACAGCAGTCAGAGCCAGACCTCACCTGAGCTCTCCAGTTCCTCACTGTTCAGTCTTGGTCTCTTTCGTGTTAGCTCCCTTTAGCCATTATCTGTGTTCAAGGCCAGGTTGGACACAGGGGCTTGGAGCAAGCTGCTCTAGTGGAAGGGGTCCCTGCCCGTGGCATTGGGTTGGAACTGGATGAGCTTTGAGGTCCCTTCCAAACCAAACCAGTCTGGGATTCTGTGATTTTCAGGGCTGCTCCCATCCAGTGTCTGACCAGCCTGGCGCTGTGCTTGGGATGCATGAGGATATGCAGGTGTTTTCCCAGGTTCCAGTTAGAGACAAGATGCATGCAGATTGCTCAGTGCTCGCTCTCCAGTATGCGGTGAAGCTCTAAAACTCAAGTTCCTGATTCTTTTCCTTTGTCAGTGTTTAGAGAGTCAGGTCAGCAGAGTGTCATTCCTTCATTGACTGGGTAAAGACAGACATCAGTGCTGCAAGTTGGCAAGATGGGTTGTGCAGTGAACCATTTCCTTGTTCCTCCATTTAGGACTTGCACCTTATATAAACTCACCTTGGTGAGGAGCTTGCTCAGTGCTTGATGCTGTTTAAAAGTGTTTTCTGATATTAGTTTTGCTGTATTTTGCTTTTCCACTGTGATACTCTCAACCTTTCCATAGTGATGCGGTCACTTGCACTCCCTGAATTGGAATGAACCCAGTGGCATTTGTTTTACTAACAGAAACCTGAGATCAGAAGGAAATGCCCTGGCTCACTTTGGCTTCCCTGACCTTGGAGAAGATAAACCAAAGGGAGATTATCTAAGCGCAATCTGTGGATGTGTTGTGATTCTTGAAGCAGGCAAAGTCACAAGCCTGGCCAAGTTCCCCATCTTTGTGTAAGGCTGCTTCACAGGAGGTTTTTATGTTCTAGTGTGGATTAGGTCAGGACAGTAGTTATATGAGGTATTTTGGGGTTAGTTAAGCTGAAATGATACTTCCTTCTGCTTTTGGTGGTTGTGTTGGAGCTTTGGAGCATCATGCTTTCATCCTCAGGAATTTCCAAAGGAGAGAGTTGGAACAAAATGATTCCACTTAGTTGTGAAGAAGGAATGACTGAGCTCAGTCTTGGTTTAATGGAGAAGCTGCAGGGATTCTGCTGCATGTATATGTGTGGTCAGTTGTCTCTTAGCTCCCTCCAAACAAGGGCACATGGTAGGCCGGAATGTGGTCTCACTTAAATTCCTATAGGTTTGGAGGCAGTCCTCTTGACTAATAGGAGTTGGCCATGGATGTATTTAGTTGTAATGAGCAGTGTTTTCTTCACTGCTTCAGTGTGAGGTGGAAGCAAAACTAATAAATCCTGTGGCTCAAAAAGGTTAACCAAGGCTGGAATTGAGTAAGAATGAAGTGGGGAAGCAATTACTGGAATGAGGAACTGTCTTGCCTGTGATTTTGGTCTCTTTTGCAAGGATAGCCATTCTGCTCTGAAAATTGCTGTTGCTGACTCTTCTGCTTAGTTCTCATTCTTCCTTTTTGACTTTAATAAACAGTTCTGTCATGACAATCCCGTTTTTAGGGCACCTTTTGGCTGCCAGATTGGATGTATCATAAATGAACAGTTGTGTTAGTGTAAATCAGAAGGGGCTGGCTGAGAGAAGTGAATGTGTTTGGTACAAGTTCAGTAGCTGGAGATGAGAAGGTATCATAGGTAAAGGCTTGAAAAACATCACACATCAGCATTGCTTGGGACTATTACCCCAGTTTTGGAGTATCTGGGAATTGCCTGACAGTTCCCCTTCAGTTTATTCATAGGTAACACTAATCCACTTCTTCCCCCTCCCTGTCAAACAGAGCTCTTTGGCAGAGACACTGGACAGCAGCGGCAGTTTAGATGCCCAGAGAACTGACATGATTTACACCATCGAAGATGTCCCTCCCTGGTATCTCTGCATATTTTTGGGGTTACAGGTATGTTCTAAACCAGCTGTAATTTTCCCTCTGTCACTTTTAGAGCTTGCTTAGTGTTTTCTGTGTAGTTCATTACATTTGTATGTGTGATCACTTCATTCTTCCCACACTCTCACTTGTCTGAAGGAAGTGTTAAGATAGTGGGTGATCACCTTCAGCAGAAACTAAAGTTACTGTGTTGATACTGATCTGTATTACTGTTTGCTGCTTATGCTTTTGTGAGATTCATTTAAACATTTAATCTTCTAAGCTGCTGTTAGTAAACAAGGGAGCAAATGCAAAGTGGTAAGCTTCACAAAGTGACATTTGGTACCTCTGGAACTAAAGATGGAGAGAGAGAGAGAATGGCTTAATTCTGAGGTCTTGACTATTAAAGCTGCTGCTGTAGTCATTTCAATTCTGCAAGCTTGATAGCATCACCCTGGACCTGTAGGCTCACTACTTGACAAGGCAGGCAAATTCTGTACTCCTTGGAGTGGAAGCATAGCATTCCCCCAAGGAGTAGGACTGTGGTGGTGAGCCGGACCCTACTACCAGCTCAGCCACACACTTGATTGAAGCAGAACAGCTCTTTCATCCCCTTTCTTTCATGAATAGTAACAATATCTGTCCCAGAGGAATGCTGAGAATTTGTTAATATCTGTAAAGTATGTTGAGATCTCCAAACAAATACATTCCAAAACATCCTTTTTATTTCTGCCATTCCTCAAGGGCATGCAGCAGGGATTCTGTAGGGGTTATATTTTTACTTTTGTTGAATGTGGTGATTTCTTGGGTTTTGTTTGCTTAATGTTATTTGAATTGAAGAAGATTTAATGTATTTGAATTGAAGAAGTAGCAATGTATTTGAATTGAAGAAGAATTAATGGGTTTGAATTGAAGAAGTAGTAACGAGTACTTAGTTTCTGGTACTTGGGAGCTTATTTGCATCCTAGTTTGTGTGTGCCCTTAAGTTCATTTGTAAGCTGATGTTATTTTCACATGGCTGAAAGTGAATGGAGTTATTTATCTGCTTTTCTGAGTTAGAAGCTGTCTGCAGTGCAGTTACCTAGATACCTCCTCCTCAAGAGCAGTAGCCATGTAGCTATTCAAACAACCTAGTTCATCCTGTAGCAGTAGTGTTGTTAGCAACAGGCCAGTGATAGCTCAGCATGGAAGGAAAATATGTGAAGAAATGCTTAGGAGCAGGAAGTGGGAGCTTTGGTGCCTCATTCAGGAACAGAAATAGCCAAAGCAAAAGCAAAGGTGGTCATAAGTGTATTTACTTCTTAATACTCTGTAGACAAGGCCCTGAGTGCCATGGGTTAGTGGTGGCCTTGGCAGTGCTGGGGTAATGGTTGGACTTGATCTTCAAGCTCTTTTCCAACCTGATTGATTCTATGATTGGCTGCAGTATTACCAACCCCTTTTTCTCTTCACAGCATTACTTGACATGCTTCAGTGGAACTATAGCAGTGCCCTTTCTGCTAGCTGATGCCATGTGTGTTGGATTTGACCAGTGGGCTACCAGCCAGTTGATTGGGACCATTTTCTTCTGTGTGGGCATCACTACATTGCTGCAAACAACTTTTGGGTGCAGGTGAGACTTGTGTCTGGGTGTTGAGATGGTGATAAGACTAGGTAGTTGTTGGGAATGCCAGGTTGCTAGCCAAGATCCAAGAGGAAGGTAATCTGTTTTCAAAGGATACACATGAAACCCAAGATCACAGGTCAAATACAGGGCAGTTAGGGAAAGTGTTTGGAAAGCTGCTCCCAAAAAAAGGTGGATCTGAAATCACAGAAGGCATTCCAAGGGTAAGAAAATACAGCAGGGAGGGGGAAGGATTAGAGGAGGGAAAATTATGAGGACAGAGAAACTAGAAGGGTTTCTAGGGGAAAGGAAAACCTCATACACCTTGGTGAAGAGGAGCCAAGTTTGATATTTGTACTGGTTTCTTGAGTGCTACTGTAATCGTGCCAATATTTAGACTGCTGTGATTAGTGCTACGGCAGTTTGTGCGCTTGTTTCTGTAAAGGGCTTGTCAAATGAAAAAAGGAATGAAAACTGATGGGGGGAGCTTTAATTCTCTGACCTGAGTGTCTGTTACCTTCCAACACAAGCAACCCCTTCGTTTTTATTTGCTCTGAGATGCAGGTCATGATCCTTCAGTTGGGAACAAACACACATGGAAGTGTAGCTTTACAGGGATGCCTGTACCTCTTCTTGTGTCTGCTCTCCTTAGGAAGATGCAAGAGACCAGTTCAGGTGTTAGCAAATACTTGTCAAAAGCTGGTGTGGGAAGGAGCAGGATGTTGTAAGTTTTATGAACGTGAAGATAAATGCCTCTTTGAAAACTCATGTTCTGCAATAGACACTGAGAGGTGTTTGAAATATTCACTTCAACTGATGTTGGCACTGTCTGTGAGAACTGGGAAGAGCTAAAACCTTGGAGTGATTTCTGCATCTTCTTGAATAAAACAAGGGTGATAACTAAAACCAGAAGAAAAGGGCTTATTTAAGGGTATGCCCTCATATAGTTACTTCAGTGATTCATGGGTCATTTAGTTGTACAATGTGAGCTGAAATCCTGAGTTCCAATAGAAAATGAACAAGGACCTGCAGGGACAGGCCAAGGGGAATGGCTTTAACCTGCCAGAGGGGAGACTGAGATGAGCTCTTAGGCAGAAGCTCTTCCCTGTGAGGGTGCTGAGGCACTGGCACAGGGTGCCCAGAGAAGCTGTGGCTGCCCCATCCCTGGCAGTGCTCAAGGCCAGGTTGGACACAGGGGCTTGGAGCAAGCTGCTCTAGTGGAAGGTGTCCCTGCCCATGGCAGGGGTTGGAGCTGGAGGAGCTTTAAGGTCCCTTCTAACCCAACCCAGTCAGGGATTCAGTGATGAACACCCTCCCCTTTCCCTTAGCTAAGAAGCAGAATCTTTGGGTGGAAAAGCCTCCATAGGGTGCAGACAGCCAAGCCCATGTAGAGCACTTGAAATTGTAGATCAGCTTTTCATCTAAAATTTTTCCATAGATTTCAGGTTTTCTAGTGCAATCTTCAGTTGCTCTTTTAGTTCATTTTACTGAGCTTTTCTGTGCTTTCTGTTCTTTGAAAAAACCCTTTATTTTTTTTTGTTACTTAATCACTGCTTGTTTGTATGCAAAGTTTATTCTGACGACGAGACAGCATCATGAAAATAGCTGAAAGAGAAGACTTTCCCTCCCAATATCTCTTTAGTCAAGACTACCTGCAGTTAATCATCATATTTTCTGCCTGCTTGGCTCTCTGTGTGTGCTCATAGGGCAGCTTGCCTTACTTATAACAGTAAATGTTCAAGTACCTCATCTGAAAGGAGGCAGAAGAGCGCAGTCATGCCCTTTGGTGGTTTGAACCTCTCTTTCAATGGGAGTGATGTATTCTTCTTCCCCCCATCCCTTTGTGCTGTATGTAAGGAATCCAGGGCTTGTTGACTTAGGCAGGAGCTGGAAGATAAGGACTTTCATTGTTCAGCTCTGAGTGTCTCCTCCCTGGGTTTACTGAAGATTAAACTCATGCAGTTTAAAAGTGCAGAGCTGTGGGTGGAGATGAACTCAAAGGTGCTTTGTTTGCCTGGACTTCTACCAATTTTCTTCTTCTGCCTCAAATTTAGCAGAAAAACCTTAGTTTTGATGCTTCCTGACACTTGTATTTCTTCAGAGAACTCGAGTTTGTCACATTTTGGTTGGTTTTCACCCCCTCTAACTAATCTTGGGCTCTTTATCACTTGCTACAGAGTGATTTGGGGCTCTTGCAGAAACCAGTGTGTTCCCATCAGTTTGAAATCCACTGGTCCTTCTGTATAATCTCACCTCTGCAGTCTGTGATGCAGTGGTTTTGTTGGCTTGGGGGTTTGATCCAGTCACTTCTGCTTGCACTGTAAGTCCTGATGCAACTACTGAGGAGGCCATTGGGTTTGGGTCTTAAAATAAGTGAATGTGTATTTAAGGAGAAAATTTCCATGGTTTTATAACTCTTTAACATGTGATTCAGGTTTTATGTAAGGCTGGGAATGGGATCTAGCAGCGACGTTGTCTGAATGAGATTTTGAAGTGTTTGTTGGCAAGTCTGTCAACTGCAAAGTATTTCAGCAAATAAAGCCACGAGGGTTTCAAAAGGTCAAATTCCATGGTTTAAAGGTCCTTAAAGATGGATTGAGCTCAGTTGTGAGGTGGAGTTGGTTTGGTACCCATACTGAGTTTAGGAATTCAAGCTATTCGGTAGGTGATGTAATAAGCCAAAAGATCTGGCAGGGATTCAGAGTCATTACTATGACTGAGACAATCACATACAGCTCTACTATACCTCAAGTACATCCTGAATATACCTAAACAGTTCAGGTTTGTTGCTGTGCCCAGCACGACATTGAGCATTCCTACATCTGTGTGACACATTCAGATAATGAAGACATTTCCAGATGGCCTTAACTGCATAAAAAGCTCTGTCTCCACAAGGGATAGTGCCAAAACTGAATAGCTTCATAATTTATAGACATGAAATTAAAGTGATATCCCAGTCATAAACTTGGTGGTCCTTTACCCAGCTAGTAATGAATGCCTGGCTTAGCAATGGGAAATGGAATTCCTAAGTCGTGTTCCAAGCTGCCCCTGTTTCTTCAGAAAGAGCCTGATCTTGGTTGGATGATTTTAAAGAAGGGACCTTAAAGCTCATCCAGCTCCAACCCCTGCCATGGGTAGGGACACCTTCCACTGGAGCAGCTTGCTCCAAGCCCCATCCAACCTTGAACACTGCCAGGGATGGGGCATTCAGGATGGAGCTCTCAGACAGTGCCATTGTCCGCATTCATCAGCCTGCAGGACATTCATCACCCTCATATAAAGGCTGAGTGAGTAGCTAAGCCACAGCTGCCAAGATCTTATGACTCAATATGTGTGCAGGGTATTTCATGAGTTACAGACCTCACAGTCTGGACCCAGGTCTCGGTACAACTGACTTCATCACCGGAGAATGTGTTTGCAATGTACATTTACAAAATCATTAGGAGGGGGACAGAGCACTGTGTAGGTGGTCAGGGGAGTAACAGCTTGTTGCAGGTATTGCATGTTTTGCCATGGGCACCAGCTTGCTGGCTTTGCTCGACGAACCTTGAAAAATAAGGTGAATCATTCACTTGTAGCTACCGACTGGTTCCTCACTAATGAGAGAGCTTTGGTTTATTCTTTAATTTGATGAAGTTGGACTTTCTAATGCAGTTTTCACCATTTGTTGTAGATGGGGCAGCTTTTTACATTGCTCAAACTCCCTTCTAGTGGTAGTACAACTGTTTTAGCTCCCTGCCTGTGAACTTTGCAACCAGTGTTAGTAACACGCATCTGGTTTGATCTTTTCTGTGTTCGGCTTGTATAGGAGTCCCCCTCCCCCGTTCTTTTTTTCCTTCTCTGTGCCTTTTCTGATCTTTATCTTAAGCTACTACAGTTAGTTCTTTCTCCTTTACTAGCATTTGCCCTGGCATTGAGGCACTTCATTGCAGCTGTAAACCAGCCATAAACACGGAGCACTAACTAGAGCCTCAGGAGCGATTAAGTGTTTCATGTGTTAAGAGTTTGAGATCTGCTATTAAAGAGACTCTTATTGCAACCCATTAATGACAGTATTTATAGAATAGTTCAAAGTGCATCTTTGGAGTTAAGTAACAGCAGGGTATTTGTGATGTTATGCAAGCTCTGGCTGGTTCAATGAATACGTAGTTGGTGCTGGTAGGATGCTCTTTAGATCTTAAACCTTCTGGGAAGTGTAACCACCAATGCAAAGAATGCCATCTTGAAATTCTTGCAGCCTTTGTGTTTATTGTTGGTAGCCACCTGGAACATCTAATCAGCTCTTATCAACCTAATAGTTATTTACACGTACACTTAAAAATGGATGTATAAGTGACTGTACTCCCAAGTCATGCAGAGGGAAGGCATTGAGTATGCAGACTGCTTACTGTCCTATTGAAGAGCTTTTCTGATGTGGCAGGATGGCAAAAGCTGCATGTTCAGCACTGAGGCTGGTACTTACATCAGACTGTGCATCTGTGTCCTTGTGCTGCTGAGTCAAACCCAGCCAGGGTCTGGTACCTACGTGCTGGTAATAAGCTGTTATAGGGTTGTATTAACTTCATGCATGTAGCGTCTTCTGTCAGGTCTTGGGTTTGTGATGTCTGAGTATGTCATTTCTGTGGCTGTTCTTTTTAATAAGAAACTCTCATACATCCCATTTGTAATAACCCCAACAAAGGATGTCTTTGAGGATGAGTAACCCCCAGTTGTAACTGATACCCTGACACAGGACCGTAACAGCGAGAAATGTCAGTGTCTCTTCTTTCCCTTTCCACCAGGTTACCCTTGTTTCAAGCGAGTGCTTTTGCATTCTTAGCACCTGCTAGAGCAATACTGTCCCTGGAGAAGTGGAAGTGTAATAACACAGGTAATTGTCGTTTATGCTTGTTCAGGTTTAAGTGACGAATGACCCAGATCACATCTAGTGCGACTGCCAAACCTTTTGATACAGAAACTGGAAGTAATGAGCATGGAATGTGAAACGTTCTCTCCTTTAACAATGTTAAAACTTTTGTGCTGTGGAATAAGATTCCTAAAAATGCCCTTGTGGAATTGGGAGGGGGGAATAATATGAAAAATGCTGACAAGAGGCAGTCTAGCAATAGCATGAAACAGTTCTTTTGTTAACAACATAGATAAAGGAAGGGCCTATAAATGTTCCTTTATGGCATTAGGATACCGTGAGTCCAGTCAAGTGCTTTTAAGTTTAGTAGTAGGAAGCTTCAGCATTGCCTTAAGACCACTATTTTAACCTGTTTAACTCACACCTTTAGGGTTTTTTGAGCAAGATTTGGCAATATTTGGGTGTTCATTTTAACTTTTCCTCCGCTACCGTCATCACCCTGAAAGGTTTTGACTTTATTCAGAGTGCAGATGTACAGTAGAACTGGTTGGGAAGGGGCTTTTGTTTTAACTTAGGTCAGAAAACTGAAGTGGAAATAGCTCTGTTATTTTAATGGGGAATGGCTGCTGTGGGCAGTGTGAGACAGGAGTATAGAGAAAGCTGCTTGCTTCTAACTGAAGTTCTCCCTAGGGGTCCTTTTGATGCTCTAATCGTGTATATTGGTATTATTTACATGTTTATACATCTCTTTTCATTCACTTATGGCCATCTAATCAGTTTTCCTGCTGTTTTTTCCCTATAGAAACTTAGCTTTGGGCATTCACAGTTTCTCACTGGGGAGTCAGATTTACCTAGTGGGCAGTAGCTTGGGGGTTTCAGTGCCTGAGAGGCAGAGGCAAAGTGTGGTGTTCTTTAGTGTGTTGGAGGTTTCTGTGCACCAAAATGTGCCTGTATCCTTATACAAACCTTGTTGAAAGCAAACGCTGCCTGATAACCTTTGATGGCAAAGCAATTTGTTCCACTACTTCATCTTTTCAAAAGGAGCCTTTGCTGCATCTTGCTCTTGAACCTTTTAACCTTCCAAAGGTGTCAGATGGGGTTGTTACCACGGGTCAGTTCATCAGGCAGTGAGTGACCTGAATGGGTGAACAAGGGACGTCGGAGTACTTGATTCCTTGTGTGCAGTTGAGTAATTCTCCATTCATCTGTTTAGTGGAGTGGGAAAGGAATCCCTAATGGTCCTTTCTTTGTGAAAGTTATGATGTTTTTTCCACTTTGGGACAGCGGATAAAATTAGTGGTTAGCTCTTGGGGAATGTAAGCACGTTCCTACTTGATTTGTAGCCTTGCAGAACTTTTATCCTGTGTAAATCAAGGCTCACTTGTCAGACACAGCTTAAGGAGAGATTTATTTTGTATGACGTGATGGCAGAGTGGCCAAGGAATAAACCCCTGTGTTTTCTTCTCTTCTTTTTGTAAGATCTAACAGTTACAAACGGAACAACAGAACTGCTTCACACCGAGCACATCTGGTATCCCAGAATACGAGAGGTAATGTAGGAGTAGCCTTTAGCTGTTGATCTCTCCAATTCCAGTTAAGTTCTCACCTAACCATCTGCGTGTTCTCGTCTTTAAGTTGATGATTTCTTCTTTCACTGTGATTTTTTCATTTGAATATATCCCTTTACTCATTTCCTGGAAGCCTTCATCTTTTCCACTTGTTCATTGCTGGACAGCAAATACAAGGAGCTAGTTCCCACATTCCAAAAGATGCTCAGACAAACGCACAAGTGAGATATGAGTTCTCTTTGCAGTTTGTGCTCACTGGCAGCAGTTCAGCTGCTTCCAGACCACTTGCCTGCTGTCACTGTTCAGCAGGCTGTCCCATGGAAGGTAACTATGCAGCTAGCAAATCTGGTTCATCCCTAAGTGTCTTAAGTTGGAGACTATTCTGATAAGGTGTTGGTTCTCCCAAGAGACTTGCTGAAATAGATCCAACTCCTTCTCCACTCGCAGCACTGCAGTCTGAACCTCATCATGCTCTGCAGAGCCCAGGATGGGGGTTGTGCCCAGGCATCCCACGTAAAGTGGTAGATAGAGTAGTCCAAATTAAGGCGTGTGTCATGGAATTTATCTCCCATCCCGTTGCTTTGGGCTGCAAACCTTTTTCTTATTTAAAAACAACCCCTCTCTCTTCCCCATGTTCAAACCATAGCTACATCCTGCCAAGAGCCCTGCAGCCAAGAGGGCTGACAGTCTCCTGAGACCACAACGCTGCTCTATCCCAGCTTCTAAGGAGCACTTGTGAACAATGCAGCATACACTCTGCCCCTAGGAGCTAGGAGCATCACCTCCGTGGCGCCAGCAACCCTTGCCGGTTCGATCTGAAAGCTTAAAGGTTAGCCTGGAACCCAGGTCTCCTGTCTGACAGTGTCATGTGCTATCCACACAACTACCAGACTGGCCCACTGGTCTGCTGTGTAATAGTTTTGTGGAGAAAACCATAAGTGTTATGCTTAAGCAATAAGTCACTTAAACCTAATGAGCTGTTTTATGACGAAAAAGAATTGGCTGAGTTCTTCTGTGTCACTGAATTCTTTTAACTGCAGTTTGTAATCCAGAGCACAAAAAAAAAAGAGATGATTGGGGTTTGCTTGGAAGATGTGACTGAGCTGTCTCTTTGCCCTTCTTGTGTGTTCAGATCCAAGGTGCTATTATCATGTCCTCCCTGATAGAAGTGGTGATCGGTTTGCTCGGCCTTCCTGGCGCCCTGTTACGATACATTGGACCTCTGACCATCACACCCACTGTTGCTCTCATCGGCCTCTCTGGTTTCCAAGCTGCTGGAGAAAGAGCAGGCAAACACTGGGGTATCGCTATGCTGTAAGTACTCCTGGGGCTTCTTGGCTTAGGTCCCTCTTGGGAAGTTGTCATGCAGGAATCCTGGAGTGCCAGGGAACAGCTCAGCTGCCCGAGGTAGCGTTGCAGTGATCCCAGCATGGAGAAATCCTGTGTGGAGGAATCCATGGGGGTCTGGATAGTGTCAGCTGGCAATGTGGGAGAAAGGACAGCAGCATCTTGAGGAGGTAGGAAAGCAAAATAGCTGAAAGTGAGGTGTTAAGTCAGTGAGGTTTATAAAACAATAGTTCTGGGAGCCCTTGGCTGGGTCTGATCCAGTGCTAGAGAAAAGGCCATTCAGCAAAGCACCAGGGAGGTTAGTGACCGATCTGTATTTCTATTTTTATGCTGCTATTGTGAATGTTTCTTGTTCAGCAGCAGCAAGCAAATACCATCAGTAGTCATGGCCCATTTGTCCTTATTCTGGTTTGCTTATCTATAGCCAAGAGAAGCGTGTATGATGGCAGAGCACATCTATTTCTATGATCACCATCAGTCCAGGAAGCCTAAGAAGAGAGATCTCTCTTTAGTAGACAAAAGGGCTCTTAGAGTGAATTTAGGGCATGATGCACGTGCTTCTGTAGGTATAGATGTCAGGGAGATTAAAGAATTAAGATTAGTGTTATGAAAGGGAATAACTGAGAAGAATGAGATGAGAAGAAGACAAAAGCTTCCTGTGAGCTGCTATTTGAGTCAAATAAGGAGGGAAACCACCTTTTAGGGAGAAGGAAGTTGGCTGAAGCAGTTGCTATATTCAGTGTATAGTGACCAACTTTGTGCTGGCTCTGGAAGCAGAGGGAATGACTTGATGAGATCAGGTTCTGGTCTGACAAATCTGTTTGCACAGTGCTTTGAACATGTAAAATATGCTATAAGTGCAGCCTATGATTAGAAGGGCTCTTTAATTCTCTTTTCTCTTGCATGTCAGCATCATGAATGTTTTTGTAACTCTATTCTGTTAAGCAGCTGACCCAAAGAAACATTTTCTTTTCCTATCAAACAAATTCCATGCAAGTTGGGCCTCATGTTAAATCGATCAACCAGACCTTTGGTGGATTGGACATGGAAACGTGTAATTGAAGCTGACATTCTTCAGATGGAAAAAATACATCCATTTTGGAACAGGATGGAAATATGACCCAGTCAATAAGTGATTCTGGCTTCTGTCACACACAAATGTGCACTTAGAGTGTTCAGAATAACTCCACGGCCACCTAGAGCCACTCAAAAGTAACTTGATTTCTACAAGATGTGGCACTTGAAATTGTCTTGACTGCTCTGCAGAGATAAAAATGCTGTGTTGCTATCTGCTGTAGCAGAACCATCCCCGTGTCAGGGCTGCTCTCCTCTATTAGCTGCAGATGCTCTTTGACATGACTCTCAGGTTCCCAAACAGTTCTCTGGCCTTGCTTGTTCTTGCAGGTGCCAAGCTGAAGTAATTTCATCCCTAAAGCACACCACATCATAATGTACGGAGAGGGAAGTTGTTCCTGAGTCAGGCTTTGCCTGGATCTCTGCTGAACAGACCTGTTTGTTTGGGAATTTCAGGATCTGATGTTTCACAGACATCACACCCCCCCCCCCCCTTGTTTGTAGCCAAGATAATAGGATTGAAAATACTTCCATTTATTATTTAAATGATTATTTCCCACTCTATTTGATCAACCTGGTCCAGTGGAAGGTGTCGCTGCCCGTGGCCTGGGGTTGGAACTGGATGAGCTTTAAACTCCCTTCAATCCAAACCATTCTATGATAAAATAACGTAATATTATTACATTCCTTACAACTCTGTACTAAATAAATCAATATACATCCCCCCCAGTCCTCAGGGCTGCTGTCAGGGTGTGGAGCCCATCTTCCCATAATGGACTTTGGGAGAGATGCCAGAATGTTCCCTGAATGCAAGGAAAAGTTGCCTTTATCACTTGAGTCAGGGTTATAAATGCCACCCTTCTGCTGAGCTCTTTGTTCCTGGAGCCTGAGGGAGAATAAAGCTGGGTTTGTTTCTTACAGTCTGAACCTGATCTGGGGCAGAAAAGGGAGGTTTAGCATCCACCTCCTTCTTCTTTTTAAGTCAGCTGATAAAAACTTAATCTCAGATTTCAGAACAGCTCTGCTGCTTCAGACAGTTTGACTCTTTGTGTGGCCTTTTTATAGCAGAACTGGGGTTTGGCTGCTTCAGAATTGAGCAACCTTCCCTGGGCTTGTAGTTTTCATTGCAGTGGGTACTTATTTTAGCTGTAGAGTTGAATTAATTGTTAACACGTAGAGGAGCTTAGTTTTGATGTGGGGGGAATGCACGATACTTGAGGCTTCTAAAAGCTGTAATGAATTGGGTTACTCAGCTGCACTTGAATGGATTCTTGGGGTTTGGGGCTCGATTCTGCTTAATTTACAGCTGCTTAGTGAAAGATGTGTATACAAAATAAGAAATGGGGATTATTCAGAATTGAAGAGAATTTCCCTTGACAGGAGGTTTTCAAGTGCTTTGGAGCTTTATGCAACTGTTGGGAGTGTAGAAATTCTTTTACACTGGCCTCCAGTTTTCCAGGTTCTTCCCATTTGGAGCAGGAACCTTTGGGCTTCATATGAGGAGCAAACCTGGCCACACAGTTTGAGTCCAAAGAAGGCAGCAGCACAGCGTAGCTCTTTGCTGTGAAGATCTTTAGTTGCTTCATTTCCTTGTTTGCTGCTGGCTAGTTTTGCAGCACTTTAGGATACAAATTACATTGGTTTGGCTTTTGTGGAATAATTGTCTATTTAAAATGTATCATCTTGGGATGCTTTGTGCTGAATTTCAGGTGTCTGAAGAGCCTGAACAGGTTTGTGCTCAGAAGGATACTGAATACATCGGTGCTAATGATGTGTCTCTCCTGTCCCACCCTCCTTCTCCTCTTTTTCTCAGGACTATTTTCCTAGTATTGTTGTTTTCTCAATATGCCAGAAATGTCAAGTTTCCTTTACCCATTTACAAATCCAAGAAGGGATGGACAGCATACAGGCTGCAGCTCTTCAAGATGTTCCCTGTGAGTAGCTGAACTTGGTCTTCAGTTGGCAAAAGAAACTGCTTTGTGTTTGGGGTGGGTTCTTGATTTTCTCTTAGCAATAAAATCATAAAGGTGAGAGGAAAGCTTAAAGGGACTTATGAGAAAGTTAACTGAATGGTTCATTTATATCTATAGATTTAATGTATTTATTTATATAGATGTCTCATTAACGTCAATGCTCCATCCCTGGCTGTGTTCAAGGCCTGGTAGCCCAGGGCTTGGAGTATCCTGCTCTGGTGGAAGGTGTCCCTGCCTGTGGTAGGGGTTGGAACTGGCTGAGCTTTAAGATCCAACCTAAAATACTCCGTGATACTGTGTTTTGTCACAGGAAATAGCCTCTTGCTGTAGTCTTGCAGATCCTGTTCTGGTCTCTGACCCTCATGAAGAGTCATTGAAGTGATGAAGGTGAAGGGGAATCATTGAAGTGATGAAGAGGGGAGGGAAGGGGATAGAGAAGAAAAGTATGTTTATGCATGCAGTGAAAGCCTAAACTGAGCCCTCCAAAAAGGGATGGTGAGATCATTATCTTCTAGTTTTATGAAAGCAAGACATGGTGCCCCATGTGAAAGGCTTCTCTTTAGTTCTCTGGTAAAATTGAGCCTAATTCACTGGTTTGTTTAAGTGCCCATTTGGAGGCTTTCCCATTTGTTAGCAAAGAGAGGAGGCTTGCTCTGATTTGAAAGCTTTTGTAACAGCACCTTTGTTAGGGGCAGGGGGAACCACCTCATGGATCTGTTACAGGATTAGCTGCTTGTTCAGACTTAAATATCACTTAACAGCATACTGGGGTATGTGTGTAATAGATACTCTCTGCAGGAGCTGTTTGCTATTGATGGATATTGCCAGTGATAGTAAACAGCTCCTTTTTTCCCCCTTCTCTTTGACAGATTATCTTAGCTATTTTGGTGTCGTGGTTGCTTTGCTTCATCTTCACTGTGACAGACGTCTTTCCCCCTGACAGCTCCAAGTACGGCTTCTACGCTCGCACAGACGCACGCCGGGGAGTGCTGTTGGTAGCTCCGTGGTTCAAGGTTCCTTATCCTTGTAAGTATGTCTGGGATTCAGAGCTGGCTTGCTAATAATATGCCCGTGGGAATCATTCCTGTTGTTTTCAGAAGCATTGCTCTTTTCCTCTCACTTCCATGTTCTGATGCACTTTGATGTGCACTAATCTAAAGGCATCGTAGGTGGGGATGATGTTCTTTTGTATGTTTTTCTCTTTAATCTGATAATTTAAGGTCTTGCCCAAGAAAGGCTGAGTTTCTGAATGTGTAGAAGGCATTTGCAGGGTTTATCTAGGTCACTCCTGACTTCTAATAACATAGTGTGACTGCACATATAACATGGAGGGAGGTGACTCTCCCTCTACACAGCTCTGGTGAGATTCCCTCCCCCCCCGCAGTCCAGATCCAGCTCTGGGGCAACAACACAAGAGGGATGTGGAGCTGCTGGAGCAAGTCCAAAGGAGGCCAAGGAGAAGCTGTGAGGGCTGGAGCAGCTCTGCTCTGGAGCCAGGCTGAGAGAGCTGGGCTGGGTCAGCCTGGAGAAGAGAAGGCTCCTGAAGGGGAGACCTGAGAGCAGCTCCAGTGCCTGAAGGGGCTGCAGGAAACCTGGAGAGGGGCTTTGGGATATAGGGACAGACCAAGGGGAATGGCTTTAACCTGCCCGAGGGGAGACTGAGATGAGCTCTTAGGCAGAAGCTCTTCCCTGTGAGGGTGCTGAGGTGCTGGCACAGGGTGCCCAGAGAAGCTGTGGCTGCCCCATCCCTGGCAGTGTTCAAGGCCAGGATGGACACAGGGGCTTGGAGCAAGCTGCTCTAGTGGAAGGTGTCCCTGCCTGTGGCAGGGGTTGGAACTGGATGAGCTTTAAGGTCCCTTCCAACACAAACCAGGCTGGGATTTTCAGGGTATGGTTGATTTATGTGTACTTGTCAATCCTGTGGTCAGCTGCTGTTAAGTTATATGATGATAAGGACAGGTTCTTACAACTCCTGTAGAGCTCCTGAACTAACTCATTGATTCTCACCATCTAAAGAATCATTAGTGCGTGGAGTTGTGTACAGCTCAGTGCACTTCCCTGCCCCAAACACACCCATCCTTGAATGAGCACAACCATTACCAGCTACATAAAACCGTCCTGACTTGCAGAAGCAGCCCTGGAATTGGGCCAGTGGGCGAGTCAGAGAATGCCAGTCAATGCTTATCAAAGGGCAAGAGAACACAGAATGCTTTTCACACCACCTTGGCTGTTTATATCCTTTTGCTGGCCACCTCTCAGCTTAAACCTGTTAAAGGCTGTTTGTTATGGCATGAGGTGGAGTTGCACAACTGGGTTCCCCCTTGCTCTGCTCTGAAATTAATGGGGTAATAATAGAATAATACTCTACCAGAACAGAAGAATAGAAATAGTTAGGAATCCCATTAGGTTGTAATGAGGCAGCTTCCTTGTGGTTTTCCCTGTGCTTTGGTTCTGATTAGTTCTTAAAAGCAACCACTTCTAAAGCAGTACTTGCAGGCTGTATAATAGAAGCTTTTGGGAAAGAAGAGGAGGAAAACTTCTCCACCCTGATTAGACCTTTCTGATTTGTGAAGCCTTGTTCATTCACGTTTGTGTGACTTAAAGTTCCTTTTGTTTGCAAGAGGCTCATCTATTTCAAAGAGATAAAAGCATCAAGGCAATTGCTGTGGAAAACCTGCCAAGCTGTTCTACAGGCTTAAATTAATCTGATTTGCTTTTCTACCAAAGGGTGGACTCGGAAGGTGTGGGTGCAGTGAGCGTAGTTGGTTGTTGGCCATTCTCTTGGGTAGACTGAACTTGTAGCCAAAGACTGAGGTTTTTAGAGCAATAATAATTAAGTGGCATTTGCCTCACTGATCACAACTGTTTTCTCACAAGCAGGAGTTCAGATTCCTTCCTTCTGAACACGGTATTGTTTTGGTGGGGTTTGGGGTTTTCTTTGGGTTTTTTCCAAGCATGATCAAAGCAGTTGCTTGGATGGTTTTTCCTTTGCTTTTTTCATCTATTTCAACTTGCCAGACTGTGTTACTGTGGAGGGAGTTTGTTGATTCCATTAAAGATGAATAATGGAATTGTGGCCAGCAGGGCCAAGGCAGTGATTGCCTCCCTGCACTGGACACTGGTGAGGCTGCACCTCGAATCCTGTGTTCAGTTCTGGGCCCCACACTACAAGAGAGACATTGAGGTGCTGGAGTGGGGTCAGAGAAGGGCACCGGAGCTGGTGCAGGGCCTGGAGCACAGGGGTGATGGGGAACAGCTGAGGGACCTGGGGGGTTCAGACTGGAGAAGAGAAGGCTCAGGGGGGACCTGATGGCTCCCTACAACTGCCTGACAGGAGGATGGAGCCTGGAGGGGCTGGGCTCTGCTCCCAAGGAACAAGGGATGGGACAAGAGGAAACGGCCTCAAGCTGCACCAGGACAGGTTTAGATGGAGCTGAGGAACAATTCCTTGCCCAGAGGGTGCGCAGGCATTGGAACAGGCTGCCCAGGGCAGGGCTGCAGTCACCGTCCCTGCAAATGTTCACACACCGTGGAGACGAGGCCTCAGTGCCATGGGTTAGTGGTGGCCTTGGCAGTGCTGGGAATGGTTGGACTCAGTGATCCCAGAAGAAGACAGGCTGAGAACACCGGGGCTGTTCAGCCTGGAGAAGAGAAGCTGCGTGGAGACCTCAGAGCAGCTTCCAGTGTCTGAAGGGGGCTACAAGGATGCTGGAGAGGGGCTCTAAATTAGGGACTGTAGGGATAGGACAAAGGGTGATGGGTTCAGACTGAAACAGGGGAGTTCAGGTTGGAGATAAGGCAGAAGCTCTTCCCTGTGAGGGTGGTGAGGCCCTGGCAGAGGTTGCCCACCCATATGGTGAATGCCCCATCCCTGACAGTGTTCAAAGCCAGGCTGGATAGAGCCTTGGGCAACATGGTCTAGTGTGAGGCATCCCTGCCATAGCAGGGAGTTGGAACTGGGTGAGCTTTTAGGTCCTTTCTGACCCAAACCATTCTGTGATTCTATGCTCTTAAAGGTGCTTTCCAGCCTAAATAATTCTATGATCCTATGAAGCTGCTGCCTGTTTTGATAACCTGAATTATTTTCTGTGGCCCAAGAGATTTCAGTTTTCTTTCCTTCACAGTTCAGTGGGGACTGCCAACAATTTCAGCTGCTGGAGTAATAGGAATGCTCAGCGCCGTTGTTGCCAGCATTATTGAATCAATAGGAGATTACTATGCCTGTGCCAGGTTGTCCTGTGCTCCTCCTCCACCTATTCACGCAATAAACAGGTATGTCAACAAAAAAGGAAGTATTTTTCAGTGTCTTCAGCTACTGTTATGGGTTTTTACTCCTTAGAATAATGCAAATGTAGCCTTGGAGACCTACTCCTATGCTTGCTGGAGTCTGTGGATGCCTATAGCACAGGTTCTACAGGGACAGAACTCCTAAATCAGATCTGGAATCAGGGGAGCCTGTCACATTCACCTGAAGTGCAGCTCTAGAAGTAAAGAGCAGCTCTGGGATTGATTTGCATTAATTCCCTCAGTTTCAGAAGGTGGGTACCTAAGGGATAGAAAACAGGACTCAAGTTGGGTTTCCAGGTGTGTTGGAGCTTGAAATGTGAATTATCATAACTCATATGGGACAGGCACCTGAGCAGGCTCCCCATGCAGATGTCAAGCACCATCTGAAGTGAGTCTGCCCTCATGCAAGTTTGACTCTTTTATTTTTCCCTGGTTTTGATTTACAGAGGGATTTTTATTGAGGGTCTCTCCTGTGTTCTGGATGGAGTGTTTGGGACAGGGAACGGATCAACTTCTTCCAGCCCTAACATTGGTGTCTTGGGCATCACAAAGGTATGTGCTTTACCTTGGTTACTCTGCGATGTAGTTTTATCTCCTCTGGTGGGTGGCTCGTGCCATTTTCATGTTTCACAGCATGATCCTCTTCCAAGAAACCATACCATTTAGGGCTTGGTTCAGACAAACTTCACAGTGTTCTGAGTTTACCTGAACATGGCCAACTGTATAGAAATTGCTATTCTTTGGGATGTCTTGATTCTGAAAGCATCACTGGGGTACGGACTGGGATTAATGTCTCACTTGAACACTTGAGGTCCTTGTTTTTTACTGGAACCTGTTAGAGCAAGTCCAGAGGAGGTCAAGGAGATGCTGTGAGAGCTGGAGAAGCTCTGCTCTGGAGCCAGGCTGAGAGAGCTGGGCTGGGGCAGCCTGGAGAAGAGAAGGCTCCTGAAGGGGAGACCTGAGAGCAGCTCCAGTGCCTGAAGGGGCTGCAGGAAACCTGGAGAGGGGCTTGGACAAGGGCCTGTAGGGACAGGCCAAGGGGAATGGCTTTAACCTGCCTGAGGGGAGACTGAGATGAGCTCTTAGGCAGAAGCTCTTCCCTGTGAGGGTGCTGAGGCGCTGGCACAGGGTGCCCAGAGAAACTGTGGCTGCCCCATCCCTGGCAGTGTTCAAGGCCAGGTTGGACACAGGGGCTTGGAGCAAGCTGCTCCAGTGGAAGGGGTCCCTGCCCGTGGCAGGGGTTGGAGCTGGGTGAGCTTTAAGGTCCCTTCAACCCAAACCATTCCATGATTCTATGATTTATCTATGCTGACACAGCTAGAACACGAGCTACCGTGAAGGTAACGGCGAAGTTAAATGCACCCTCGGTATTTGTTCCCATCATGATAAGGTTTTAAGGCCCTGAGCATTCTTAGGGAATTACATATATTTGGGGTGATACTCAGCAAAATATCTAAGCACTTGAGTTCCTTTGTTCCCATGTGGGATTGGATGTGTGCTTGAATGCTTTGCTGAACTGGGAGACCTTGGACTGCAGGCAGATCTGCTTGATGTTGTTAACTTAACCTTGTTTGGAAACCATTAGTAGGATCATTAAGAGTAATTTATGTTGCAGATAGGTACATCTTGTTGCATGTTTCACTGGGACGCTGTAAATCTTCATGTGTGCAAGATAGAAAACATATCTGACAATAACTCATCCCACTGACTAAATCCACTAAAGAGGATGAATTTCTCTTCAGCCATGTTTTTCTCTTGCACAAAGGCTGATGCTCTTCGGGTTTAGCGTGGAATCTAGATGGTAACAGCACCATCTGCTGACTGTGTCAGGCTTCATTCCATTGGTGATGGAAATTTCCTAGACGAAATTTCACTTAGAAAAACCCTGAAATAAAGGTTTATTCTCTTCTGCTTCCTCTCTGCTGTTACTTCATAGGAGTGGATATGAATTAACAGCACTTAGTTATTCACAGTCCACAGCAACACGTGTACGTTTTGCTTTGGAACAATGGAAAATGAATGTTAAACTGGCAGCTGTTCCAGAGAACAGAGTTAACTACAGTCTGCTCTGTTCGGAGCACATGATGGAGAGTGAATATGCCTTATCCAGAATGGCACAGCTGGATGGCTCTGCTCCAGTGTTTTGTCTTGTTTTCCTGTCTGCATGCTCGTTCCTAAAAGCCTCATACTGTTCAATTTACATCAAAATAGATGTTTGGCATGTGGATACTCTGCTGTTGGTTTGGGAGAGGAAACCTTAAGTGAGTAGAGAGTCCTGGTGATCCCGTGAGGCCAGTGCAACAGTTGGGAAAGCATTTCCCTCCCTTGAAATTAGTATATGATTACACTTAGAATTTAAATTGGAGGCTTCAGCTGAATGTAAATAGTGCAGAGTCTTTGAGTTAGGCTGTGACTGAGTTTTATTTGATGAGAGGAGAATCAATAAAGTCTGATTACCTGGGGCAAAAGCCTAGGTAGGTTATGCTAAAGTGTTGGTGATGAGATGGATACTCAGGTAAGGTACCAGCTACCATATCACGCACTCCAAAGTGTGTCCACGGGAATAAATACATAGTCTGGGAATAAATACATATCCTGGGAATAAATACATCGTTTGAGCCAAATGCTCACCAGGATGCTTTGCGTCGCTTTCAGAAGGAGCTTAATTTGTTTGCATTGTAGTGGTTCAGCATTTGAATAAATATATGGCATTGTCATGTGAATCACAGAATCATAGAATAGTCAGGGTTGGAATGGACCTTAAGATCAGCCAGTTCCAACCCCCCTGCCGTGGGCAGGGACACCTCACACTAAAGCATCTCACCCAAGGCCTCGTCCAACCTGGTCTTGAACACTGCCAGGGATGGAGCATTCACAACCTCTGGGCAACCCATTCCAGTGCCTCACCACCCTAACAGGAAAGAATTTCCTTCTTAGATCCAATCTAAACTTCCCCTGTTTCAGTTTTAACCCGTTACCCCTTGTCCTGTCACTGCAGTCCCTAATGAAAAGTCCCTCCCCAGCATTCCTATAGGCCCCCTTCAGATACTGGAAGGCTGCTCTGAGGTCTCCTCCAGCCTTCTCTTCTCCAGGCTGAACAGCCCCAACTTCCTCAGCCTGTCCTCATATGCTGTAAAGAATCTGCCTATTTCAGGCAGGAGGATAATTTCAGAGCAAAATGCTGGTGGTCCAAAGGAAATTAATATCTGTGTATGAAGCAGAGAAAGGTGCAAGCTCATTTCTGTTGTTCTTCTAGTGAAGACCCTGATATACTGGCATAGCTTCTGTTTGTAGGTAAACATATCTCACCTGATGATTAAACAGTGAATTGATGGTGAATGCCCCATCCCTGGCAGTGTTCAAGGCCAGGTTGGACACAGGGGCTTGGAGCAAGCTGCTCCAGTGGAAGGGGTCCCTGCCCGTGGCAGGGGTTGGAGCTGGAGGAGCTTTAAGGTCCCTTCCAACCCAAACCAGGCTGGGATTCTGTAATTCATAAGAGGTGCCCCAGGGACAAAACCAAACCAACCTGTTACACTGGTAAGGTGATTTCTAGCAAAGCCCTTTGTAGGTCTCCTGTTAAAACGTATTAAGAGAAGTACATACAAATCTGTTAATTATAGAACAGATTGGGTTGGAAAGGACCTTAAAGCTCATCCAGCTCCAACCCCTGCCACGGGCAGGGACCCCTTCCACTGGAGCAGCTTGCTCCAAGCCCCTGTGTCCAACCTGGCCTTGAGCACTGCCAGGGATGGGGCAGCCACAGCTTCTCTGGGCACCCTGTGCCAGCGCCTCAGCACCCTCACAGGGAAGAGCTTCTGCCTCAGAGCTCATCTCAGTCTCCCCTCGGGCAGGTTAAAGCCATTCCCCTTGGCCTGTCCCTACAGGCCCTTGGCCAAAGCTTCTCTCCAGGTTTCCTGTAGGCCCCCTTAAGTTACTGGAAGCCTGAGGCCATTGCATACTATGAAAATATCAACCATTCAGGTTTATCAGTGACCACTACAACACTGTGCCAGAGAAATGCTGCTGAAGTTTGGATGCTTAAAGCAAAAATGGGAAGTGTAGGCATTTGGTTTCACAGCATTAACACAACCGTGATTTGCATGTGAAGCAAATTCACTTCTGATCTCAAAGAGGGATGTTACAAAATCAGTTGATAATCTCTGTCTAGAAAGCCTGCATGCAGGTCAGACTTCTGTGGCAGGTAACTAATTCCTAGATTCTTGTGTGAAAGGGCAGCATCACATGGATGTGTTCTTCTTCTCTTCATTTGCATTATAATGGATGTTTGCCATCTCCTAGTTAGGATCTGTTTTCTTTATGGGTCTGCACCACATTTCGTGGTAACAGTGGCTATAGCGGTTACAGATGGTTTTAAAGATGACTTGGTGCTAGTGAAAACAAAATCAAACAAAGTTATGTTATAACTGTAAAGCAGCCATGTTTCTGTTGAGCCCTCCAAGACATTTGCCAATGCTCTGCAGCCTGTGTTATAACACAACCAGGAAGCTTGAAGCACAGAAAAGAAGAATAAAAAGGCATCAAACTGGACTAAATGTGGACTTCTTCCTGTGTCACTTCCCTTTTGTTCTCCTGCAGGTTGGAAGTCGCAGGGTGATTCAGTATGGAGCAGCCTTCATGCTCCTGCTTGGGATGGTTGGCAAGTTCAGCGCTCTCTTTGCATCGCTGCCTGACCCCGTGCTCGGTGCCCTCTTCTGCACTCTCTTTGGTAACGTATGTTTTTTGCTCCTCCGTGTACTGCCTGGCCAGATCTTTACTTCAGTGCTGTTCTCTTTGTATGTTGCCACCTGCTTTTGATGAGTAAGGCTATCTAAAAGCTGGGCCTTGTTTTATTTCCTTAGGGATGATCACAGCCGTGGGTCTGTCTAACCTCCAGTTCATCGACTTAAATTCTTCTCGGAACTTGTTTGTCCTTGGATTTTCCATTTTCTTTGGACTTGTCCTTCCAAGCTATCTCAAACAAAATCCACTGGTCACAGGTATGTGTCTGCTCAATGAAGCTTACTTTTACCTTGTACTCCTATGTGAAATACATAAGAGTACAAGGGAATCTAAAGAGTAAATAAGAGAAAAAACAGAGTATCATGGAGATGATAAAAGCTCCAGATAAGAAGGGGGGTATGTTCAGAGCAGGATTAATTGGGATGCTGAGACCTGAACTGGATGTTTCCATGGGATGCATCCAAAGGTTCTTTGGGTATGACTATAGAGCAGTGGAAGAAGTCAATCACCAGTTGGACTGGAAGAAAGACTGAAAGGATGACGCTGAGTTGTAAATGGTGTTAAAAGAATAAGGGGAAAGCCCAAGGTGGAGCTTGGAGGTTGGGAATTTGTTTGGGTTTTGACATTTTGTGTCAATGCAGACACGTGTTTGGGGTTGATTTTTAAGGGAAATATTAACTTTTTATATCTGTCACAATCAGCTATAAGAGCATATCTGACCTATTTCAAGTTGTTCAGAAATGTCGATCATTCAGGCAGAGTTAGGTGATGATATATTAATGCAGTGTTCTTCTCTGAAGTCTTGCCCTTTCCAAAAGGGAAGGTTTATAGAAGGAATTACTTAAATCCACAGGATTTTACATTATGAACATTTCTCCTTTTTCCAATTTGTAGTTTTCCATTCAGTTTAAATGAAGCAGTTGTCTACAGTAGAAGCTAAAAGGGCATTTCATGACATTTGTATAAGCAATGAAAGCTCTTGGAGTTACACTTTGGGAAAGAAGGGGTCCCTGTGGTGGAGTACATTAGGTGAAGGTTCTTCTGCATCTATTCCCAGGTGGTTTTAAGGATCCTACTTGAGCAAATCCCTCAGTGAACTCAGTAGCAAGATTTGCCTTCATGTATGTCAGTAGGACATGTATATGTGTGATAAAAAGATGGGATTCTAAGTGGGTTTACCCTGTTCTTGTAGGCATAGCAGGCATCGATCAAGTCCTAAACGTCCTCCTCACTACAGCCATGTTTGTCGGTGGCTGCGTGGCGTTTATCTTGGATAACACAATTCCAGGTCAGTCATTTTACTTGGGATAACGTCTGCCTTTGTGCATGGAGGTAGCACAGCGTTCCATGGAGGCAGGAGCTGAGGAAAGAGGGTACTGCTTTAGTTGTTGACTTCTTCAACGCCTCAAGCAGACTGCTTACCACCCACGTGCCTCAGTTTCCTTGAGGACACTTGGTTAAGGTCTCCATTGTACTAAACATGAAATAGCTGATAAAAATCAACCCAGAATAGTCATCTTCAGGAGACCGTTGCTTCAAATACTTTAAAGGTCCAAACCTGCTTCCATTCATTGGAGAGGAAAAATTTGCCTTGACTTCCAGTTGCAAAATAAACCAGATAACAGCCATTCTTTCCCTCTCTTCCTGCCTCTTTGAGGAGTCTGGAAGATCATTCCACTGCTTTGCTGACCACGGTGTCTGACACTTGGGGTCTTCTTTCATCTCTTAACCACTGTTCTATATGTGTTTAAATGAAGGTACTTATGTATGTATTTTTTTCCCCTTTTGACTTCCAGGAAGCCCTGAAGAAAGAGGAATACAGAAATGGAAGAAAGGGGTTGGTAAAGGAAGCAAGTCACTGGATGGCATGGAAACATACGATTTGCCTTTTGGCATGAACTTCATTAAGAAATACAGGTGTTTCAGCTTCCTGCCCATCAGCCCAACCTTCATGGGTTACACATGGAAAGGCTTCAGGAAAAGCAGTAACTGCAGGAGTTCAGATGAAGACTCAGAAGCTACAGTATAGCCTTAGCTGAAATTCTATTATCTAGTTGTAGTAAAAGATGTATTTGCGGTTTCTTGCTGATTAAGAAGCATTAAAATATATGTTTTGTATATCTGCATTTAAATTCTGGAACCAGAGCTGAGACAGATTTAAAAGAGAAAAAAAAAAAGCTTTCCTGTTGTGGGTGGTGGCACCAGATGTAGTGTCTCTGGGTCAAATCTGCTGATGCTCCTCTGGGTGATTCTCAAAAGCTAGAGATCCTTGCTCACCTAGGCCTGGTTATTTGAAGTGGGGCTTAGTTTTCCCTAAGTATGGAGGTGCTATTGACAGATGTTCCTACTTACGGTGATTGATGTAAGTCATTGGTGTTTTTGGCACATTCATTGCTGGCAATGGTAGTTATGCCAGAAAATCTGAATCCAGTGAGAGCAGGGGAGGGGTGGATTTACTTCTAGTCTTGTCACATCCCATACATGTTGTTTTCTACGCATTGATTTGCACATTCCATGTTTTCAGCCCCTTGGAAACCAAGCTCTGTTGATCCTGGCAAGTCATGAGGGTGTTCCTTTGAATTACTGTTAATTCAGTCCATGTCCAGTGTTCAGACAGAAAGTTTCTGTGATAACTTTGCCAATGAAAACGACTGACTTCTCATAGCTTAAAGCTGTAGAAGGAGCCACTTACTTCATCTCAGTTTGCCTTTTCTGCCTGGCATTTAACCACCTGATGAGAGTGGCCAGGGCAGGTTTCCTTTAAAGGATCACATGTAGCTTCGGTTTTAGAGAGATGGAAAACTTCAGGCTTCCAGATGGAGCCCAGCAACAGTTTTTGCAGCCCAATGCCTGTATCCAGCAGGACATTTCCTGGATAAAAATGCTCATTTGTTGAGCAGTTTTAAGCAGTTAACGTGTGTATCCACGCTGCTCTTCATACAGGGTAAGCCACATGGTCGCAGCGCTGCCGGCGTTCCCTGGTTTGGATCTGTGCTGAATATTCCCAATTGGATATCAAGAGACGGTGCTGCCTACAAGCAGCTTATGTTGCATTGCCTTTTCTTCTCTCTTTATGGGGCTTCTGACTGCTGCAGAGGTGATCTCGAGACACTCCATTTGATGTCCTCACCCACTGGATGGTTTCACGGGTATTGGGTCCAGTCAGGGCACCATTCAGATCTTTTTTTTTTCCTGGAATAGTCTCAGCTCTGATGTTATGTGGGTGTTCATGCTCATCATGCATTCATAATTAAAAGTTTTATTCATGTTTAATGTTCTTACTATTGCAAGTTAGTTTTTAGACTTTCAGTGTGGCCCCAAAAGCGTTTTTAAGCTGTGGAGATCATCAGGGAAATGTAGTGTAATGTAATTTCAAGGCCAGTATGCTCTACGGTGCTTGCATTTTGTATTCCTGGGAAAAACCCTAACAGTAGATCCTGTAATTCACTCATATTTATCCAAGTTTGACTACTGGACAGGAGCGCAGGAACTCTGTTTTCTCTGAGTCTGCTTCCAGGTGAATTTGTTATTGAAGCATGGAAGGGTTGGGGTGGGGAGGGCAAAGGAAAGAGCTTACCAGATCAGTACTGAGTAGTGTAGCGTTGGAATGATTCCATTGATAACGTTCTCAGCATGCCATGGCTGTTTCCAGAAACTCTTTTATACCCCTTTTTCCATAACAAACGCATGTGTTTGTTCCTGCTTCGGGGAACTTTCAGTAGTTTGCAGTCTCGGTGTCAATTGGACTATGTTGAAAGCTGCTCGGAAGAGTTCTAGTGTAGTAGACAAGGTTAGTATTGCCTGTGAAACCAAGTGATTTTAATCATTGTTCAAGTTTTCCTCTTCAGGTAGAGAGGGGTTAGATTTCCACATCCACTTGCAGGTAGTCTGAGTACGGAGACCTCTAATCAGTGGCACGAAGCTTCCAAATTTCCCAACTTTATGTGCAACCAAAGATGTGTAGGAGACATGGGAGAGGTAAAAAATAAATATATATATATATATAAAAGGAATACAAATAAAAGCCACCTATTTATGGTGGTTGTAAGGATGTAAAATGCCAAAGCTGGTTATCCTATAAGTGTTGAGAAAGGGAGGCAAAGGGTTTTGTTTCATTTAAACAGTGCCACCTCAGCTCTATTGGAATGTCAAGTCCAGCCATGGCACTGGGCACAGAGCGCCATGGGGCTTTACTGGCTTCTCCCCCCAAATCCTGTTGATAGCTGGACTGCTGATGCAGTTGAGAGACGAGGTGATGAGAAGTGGCATTGCTCTTCTCTCACCTTGGGCTGTGCGTGTTCTGCATTGCTATCATATGGAATGGGTTGGGTTGGAAAGCAACATCAGACCATCCAGTTCCAGCCCCGTGCCATGGGCACCTTCCACTAGACCAGGTTGCTTCAAGCCCAGTCCAACCTGGCCTTGAATACAGCTTTCACCATACTTCAGGCAACCTTTTGTAGTGAGAAGTGACAATTACAGTGCAACGAACCCAAGGATACTTGTTCTTCCTCCTTGGAGCAGAACACTCCTGTCTTGCAGCAGAGGAAAGACCATCCGAATAGATCAAGTCCAGTTACTGTTAACTGTTGGATTTAGTTCCTTTTGTGACTTTGGGTCCTGTTGCTGATGTGACTTTGGGTCCATGCTGATCCTGTTGCCTGGCTGAGGGAAGTGCAGTAGCATTTAGCCAGCGTCTTTGTTCTAGCCACTGACCTTGGTAACACTAAAGCAAGTAGTTGTAGTTAGCAGTCATTTTTGTAACCAGATTTGTGTCTGTAACAGCTCTCTCCACGTTATTATGAACATGAATGGTTAAAGAGGAGCCTCAGGTTTGTGAAGATCTGCTGAAGCACCTGTGATGTGTAGTGAAGGGTTAGGATGGAGTCATTGGCAGTACCTTGACCATGCAGCTTGCTGCACTGGGCTGTGCTTTGGGGAGCAAAGGGTGGAAAGAGAAACCCCCCTTTCTGGTGCACCTGAATCCATCCCAGAGTCGCCAGTCGAAGCAGATGCATTGCTTTGTGAGGGAAATACCTCTGTATTGCCATGTGGGTTTTGCCATCGCGGACCTTAAATCCTCCTTCCAGGTCCACTTTTCCAGGCTGGCTGCTGTGGACCACCCTGGTGCTGCCGGATGGTTTGCAGAGGATGAACTTGCAGTGATAAAAAGCATTTAAGTGCATCATGTTGGTGGGTTCCATCCAGGCTTTGCTGTGTGAGGGTGGCTATAGAAACCCCACTGTAAATGCTGTGCTGTGTTTTTCCTTGCTGTGTTACTGCCTTTCAGGCTGAACTAAAAACCACCCGAGGAAGGTGACACCTGAGAGGTTGAGATAAGAGGCGATGGGATGTTTCAAGCAAACATTTGAAGAGAGAAGGGCAAATATTCATGGTAGAAATCTCATTTTGTCATATCAAAGATGGTATCAATGTATGCAAAACAACGAAACTTGGGACTTTTGTAATTGATATTCTCTTGTATTCTTTTGTTTAGGTTAAATTAAGGATTCTTGCTAATGTTCAAACACGTTTTCTAAAGTCAAGACTTGCAAATTATACCTCTGGAAATTGAGGTTTCATAGCCAAGAGCTATGACTTCATGTTGTCATATTAGAGTGCTTTGGCCGAGGGACTGAAATCAGGTCCCTCGCTCCTTAAAAGTTCAAACCTTAAGCCCAGAATTTGCTTTTCTGCCTTTTTAATACTGACTTTCAATATGGCAACTTGGTTTGTACATGAATATTGCAGTATTTTATTTCCATATATTAAAGATAACATTTCCACTCAGGATCACGAGCGCCGTGGTCCTGGGAGGGAGTGGTATGATTGTCATGACAATGTCATGTGATGGTAGAATTTCTTCATTGACGAATCTATAGTAGTTGTGTATACTTTATTTACCCATTTTTCTGTTCCTACCAAAAAAAAACGAAAGGGTTTCTTTTCTTGTTCATCTCCCTACTGAGATCTTGGTACTCCCGATGCAGATAGGCGCTTGCGAACTGAAATCCTCGGTCCTGCTTATACCACAAGGAGCATGTTCAGAGCATTGCATCCTACGTAAAAGGTATTGGAAAGGGCATCATTTGTGGTACAAACAGCACTCCAGGCACACGTGGTTTAATAGCCAGCTTCTAATGGCTTGAATGAGCCATTGGATGCTCGGATGCAGTCTAAACCGACCTGTGCTTGCTTGCATTTGTGTCTCCATGTAGAAACGCGAGTGTGCCAGACCAGCACAACCTATGGTGTTCCTTTCCCGTGGCCTTCTGAAACCAAAAGCGACTTCATTTTCCCTCTTTGCTGTTGTTTTAAGGGGGTGGGGAGCAGCGGGTCACTCGTTTTGGCAGAAAACATCCCTCTTGGTGCATCTTTCTTAGGATTTCTTCCGGCTCCCGGCCTTCGGGCCATGGGATGGCCGGTCCTCTGTGCTCACACATCCATACAGCTCCGACGGGTCATTGCACTATTGGAGGAGGCCACGACTTTGCCAGTGTTTTGCTTCTGCCCATGGGTCTGGACAGCTTCGTGCTGGGCTGCTTTGAAGTACTGGGGATCCGTGTTCAGAGCCATCCAGAATCTTCCTGTCTCGTTCCAGTTTGACTGTGACTGTGTGTTGTCAGCCGTACCTATTGCTAGGAGAGGTAATAGTTAGGATTGCCTTGTGTGCTATCTGGCACTGACTCCATCATCTTGCTGCCAGTCCAAATTCTTCTACTTTGTCTCTTTCTAACAACCTTTGGCTTAACAAACTATTGACTGTTCTTAGGCAGTGGGGATAAATAGGTTCCTTTTCCGTTTCCCATGACTTCGTGACTGACTTGGGCTGTAAAACACTTGGGTTTTGTTAAACAGCAAGAAGAGGGGTTTGTTTTTTTTTTCCTTTTTGGGTTTATTTTTTTGTTTTCTGAGATGTGTAATTCTTTTATGGAGGGTTTTTTTATTATTATTATTTCATCTTTTTTTTTTTCTAACATTGCTTCATTAAACAACTAAATATTTAAAAATGTAATATTTGGACCAGATGTTGTGAATAATAGTAGATAAAGCTATTTTATTCTGTATTTTTAAAGCTGTTCAGTATAAATAAACGCGGGCATAGATGCAACGTGGCAGCGTGGTGGTACCCTTCCTTTCAAGCATCCCCTTCACATTCCCGTTGGGAATCCAGGTGATGTGAAGACCAAGCAGCCCCCAGGCACTCTCCTGACCCTTCTAGCTCTCGGCACAAAGCTTATCCCATGAAGACACACTCAATTCCTTGGATTCCTTCGGTCTGCAGCTCCTCTTTTTGGTGCATCCCCGCTTCCAGCCGAGATGCATCCCCATGGAGCTGCTGCTGTGCCCTCCATACCCTGCTTTGTCCAAGTTGGATGGGAGGAAAAATGGCCAAAACTCACCTAAATCTGCAGCAGTTGGGGGGTGAAAGTGGAGCTGGGATCACAGCCAAAGGAGCAGCTGGTTGACCAGCGCCAGGGCTTCCTGATGGTGCCTGAGCTGGCCTGGCTTTGGATCCGTGCTCAGAACCACTTTGCTCTTAATCCTGGTTAATCCTTTGGGCTACTGGGTCAGAGCTCTGGCAATGACTCTGCCTTCGCCTTACATCTTGCCTGGATCAGCATCCAGCATCAGCTGCATCAATGCACTGAGAAGGGCTTTATCCCAAGCAGCAGCTCAGAACCTGAATGGCTGAAGCATCCTCAGCTGGAGACAGGCACCGTGACTCCAAGAAACATGGACCCGGTACAAGCAAAGGCCTCTTCAGGAGCCAGCTCTCTTCCCATCTGCTTCCTGGAGGCTGTGTAACAGCTCCCAGATGCTCCCGATGTGTATCCACATGGAATATTGTTTGGTATTTACTGACAATTACCTTGGGGGTCTTAAAGCTGCACTAATGGGAAGCTGCCAGGGGGTGGGAGGGGGGGAGTTTGGATGCTTGCTCAGTCTGGGGGGAAACAGTTGGATTTTGGAGAACTTTGGGGCTGGTGCTTTGTGCTTGGGCCCGATTGAGGTCCTTGACCTCCAGACCCAGCTTTGGGAATGGAAATAGAAGTAAATCCATTGGAGCTGATGGTTTAAAAGGCATTGACCGTATTCCCTGTGTGGCGTGGAGCGCAGAAACGCTGATTTAAGCAGTGATACAGGGGCTGTGGCATCCCTGTGCAGCTGAACACGGGCTCTGCTGCTGGAGCATCCTTTTGCATCCTTTCCCCAAGCCTGGCAGGGATGCTCAGCTCTGGTCTCCTCCTGGAGAGGATTTGGTTCCTCTTGGGTTCCTTATCCTCACACTGGGTGGGTAAAGAGGAGCTGGCAGCCTCTGTCCCCTCACTGCAGGGGGTCCTCATAGGGCAGGAGTGGCTCAAATCCCTTTGCTTTGGGACACAAACGCCTCCATCCAGGCTGATCCTTCCCAACCCACCCCATGCGCATTGAAAGCAATGAGCAGGATGTCACAAAACCTCGGGGTTTAACCCCAAATCCCCACAGCAAAACCCTTGATTTCTTGCTTCCCCTTTTCCTCCTGCACAAGCTGGGGGTGGGAGGCAGAAGCTTTCCCTCTTCTTTGGGGCTAAATCCCAGGGTTTTGGGGCTGGCGCTGCTCCATTGTGCAGCAGGGCCAGGCTCTTCCCATGACAAAGGGCCTCTGAGCTCCGCCAGCCCTCGGAAGATGCTGCTGGAATACAAATCCAACCCTCATCCCGGCTTTTGCCGAGTCAGGCTTTTCCCAAGCCAGATGGCTCCTCCTGAACCTCTCCTTTACATCCAAATCACCCCAAACCACGGAGAAGCAAGCGGAAAGGGCTGGCTGCAAGCCGTGGGTATAAGGAGCTGCTTGTTTTACCCCAGCAGCTGCTTGGATCCTTCCTTTGTTTTATGCATTTGGATGGGGTTTTTTTTTCCCTTCGTGTGGGCTGTTTCGAGGCAAATTCCTTAAAAAGGAGAAAAACAAAAAGGCTGGAGCGGCCCCAAAGCGCTGGGAAAGGTCAGGGGCAGACAAAGGAGGAAGGACGCAGCCGCAGTCCTCCTTAATCCCCAAAACTCTTCCCTGCGGAGGGGCAGGATGGGGCCCGCAGGCTGGGAGCGGAGGATGGAGCCCAGGCACCGTTCCGGAGGTAACCGTGATCCCGACCTGCGCCAGGGTTGAGCTCCAGGTAGATCCAAGCGAATCTGAATGGATTTGTTTCAATTTATTTCCTCCTCAGTCTTCTTCTCGGGGGTGGGTTTGGATCCGGATGGGACCCCAGGGCCACGGCCCCATTGCACCATCCCAAAGGCAACAGCAGCATCAAAGTGTGATGCTCGCGTTGCTCCAGCATGGAATATCACAGGGTTTCGGGAGTTAGAAGGCAGGAATAACCCCTTCAGTCAATGCGATGCAGCCCAACAGGCTCCCTCTGGGAGTCTGTGCAGAGCTGGGGCTGATAGTAAGAGCGTTTCCAACCTGGATGCATGGGATGGGGCGTACTTTGGGACCCCTGTCCTGGCACTGGGGACGTGGCATCCGTTGTGGTCCTGGTCCTCGGTGCCAGCAGCAGCGCGTCCTGTACGAACCCGAACCCAGAACCGGAGGGGTCAGGGCTGGAGCATCCTTTGGGACCCCAGTCCAAGGTCGGGCGGGGGGAAGAAGGACCCGGTCCAGGGGCATCCTCTGGGGTCCTTGGGGACGGCGCTGCCGGGATGAGCCGGGAGGGGGGACCCGGGATCCCGCAGCCCCGCCCCGGCCCGGCCCCACCCGCCGAGGGGCGGCCCCATGCGGGCACCGGCTGCGGAGCGGGACCGGCACTGGGTGAGTGCGGGCGGGGGATCCCCATCCCCATCCCCATCCCTATCCCCGTTCCCATCCCCGTCCCTGTCCCTGTCCCCGGCTGTGCTGAGCCGGACCTGCCCCGAGCCCTGTCCGCAGCCGGTAGCAGGCGAAAGCCGCTGCGCCTCCCCCCCGGGGCAGGAAGAGGGGGGCATCCGGTCCCTTCTGCACCCACCGACCCCCGTGGGCATCACCGGGGTCCCGCAGGGACCCTCGAGCAGCCCAGTTCCCATCACACCGGGATGGGAGCCGCCAGCTCCCTTCTCATAGCCCACAGCAAGCCGCTGGTGGCCACCAACGCTTCCCAAGGGGGTCCAACCTGCTGAGTGTGGCCAATGGGTCCCTTTGCTGGTCCCCAAGCGAGGTGACACCCCCCGTAACATCACCCACCGGTGGCTCTGCCACCCCTCACCGCTGCCCCGCTGTTCCCCGTGCAGGACGGGGCTGGAGAACAATAGTGGAGTGGAAAACAATGGAGCTGCTGCACCTTGGCGCCTAGGGATGCCGGACGGAATTCCAGCTTCAAAGTAACGCCTTGGGCCGGAGCCGCGGCAGCGTCAGGTTGCGGGAGCATCCGTGGAGCCGAAGGATCTGGTAGGACGGGGTGAGAGCGCTCGGTTGTTCCACGTCCCATACAGGGGCTCAGTGTTCCAAGGGGGGAATCGTTGCCTCCGGGTGATGCTTTGCTGCCGGTTGCGTTGGGGTCCAGGCACCACTGGGCTGGTTAAAAGCACCCGGGATGCAGGAAAGCACCAGGGGTTGTGCAGGGGGAGCATCGCGGCCTGCCCCGGCAGCGGGATATTCCCACAATCCCTTGCATGGCCGGGGGGGAGCAGGGAGATGCCAAAGAGGCAGTGGGGATGCTGGCAAAGCATCGGGAAGGGGCCAGGAAAGCAAAACACCCCTGAAAATTGCTCCTTTCTTTGTAGGAGCAGGGAATGGTGCCCTTTTCCTGCTGAAAACACAGTGTTTGGGGTTGGTTTTCCTATACTTTTGGTAGGTTTTGGGTTGTGCATCTCCCCAGAGCTCATATAAGTGAGCTCTCGTCCCTGTTCCATGCAAGGTGCCTTAAGCATGGCCAAGCTCCCTCTGGAGCTGTATGGATATGGGGAAGGGCCTTGGGAAGGTTGCTTTTAGGGAGGGGAATGAGCCTGGGGCCCATCAGGGCTAAAAAGCTCCTGTGGGAGCAGCCATTGCCTTGTGTTGGAGGGCAGAGAGAGCTGAAATCCTGCTGCCACGTGCACAGGGAGGAGAGATTGGATCTGATGGGGTTTAAAGGCTCTTTGGGAGGCAGCAACGGAGGGAATGCATCAGCTCGGGGTGGGGAAACTGAGGCAGGAAGTGAAGACAGTGCCGAGCAGCGGAGGTTGAGCAATGGGCTGAGCAAATCCCATGGTTCCAGCCCTTTTATGTTGGCTTTTCCCAGCCTTTTCAGTAGCCCATCGGGGGCACGGCAGTGACTGGGATCTGCCCGGGGATCCCCAACCCCTTCCACACCCAGGCCGATGCTCTCAGGACCCAAATAAGGAAGAATTTGCCCCTTTCTTGCTGCTCAGAAGGGGATGTGGTGACGGAGTGAAGGTGGTGGTAAACAGGAAACCAGGCTCCTCAACGCAGAGGGATGAACCTGCCTTTCGGGCTCCCCTTCAGCCCAACGGGAGTGTGTTTTCCCAGCTGGATTCATCCCATCATCCCTTTAGAGGGGACCAAGGCTTTGGCTTCACCCCTTTGTATCACCACGGTGCCATGGGGTGACCGTCCCCCTGCAGTCCCAAAGGCTGTGCTGCTGGAGGGGGGCGGTTTTCACCCATTTGGGTATTTTTGGCCCCATTTTGCATGTGCCAGGCAGCCCGTGTCTCATTTCCCCTCCCTTGGTGCAGCAGGGCCTCAATGGGGACTTCCCCAGAGCTGCTCCATCCGCTTTCAGGGGCACCCACAAGCCAGATGCTCGTTTCTGCTGTTCCTGTACCTCCCATCAGGTAACCCCCAGGTTCAGGTCCCTGCAACACCCACCCCAAAACTGGCTCCAAGTCCCCATTGCTGAGGGTTGTTATTGGGGTTATTCCTTGCCCCTCACTACATTGAGGTGCTGGAGTGGGGCCGGAGAAGGGAACGGAGCTGGAGCAGGGCCTGGAGCACAAATGTGATGGGGAAGGGCTGAGGGACCTGGGGGGTTCAGATGGAGAAGGCTCTAACAAGGGGTCAGTGGTGGCCTTGGCAGGGCTGGGGAAGGGTTGGATTTGATGAGCTCCAAGCTCTTTTCCAACCTGGTTGATTCCATGGATGCTCAATGGATGGATGCGGCGCAGGAGGAGGTCGGTGCCGCTTTGCCATGTGGGATGCTCCCCCGGCTCCTCAGGAAACCCAAAGCCTCGTCAGCTTTTCCGCGTGGGTTTATTTAGGCTCCGGGTTTCTCTTCTGCTTTCCCTCCCCGGGGCTGGGCCCATTTCCTGCCCTTCCCCTGCCTCCTTCTGCCTGCTCAGACACCAGCTTTGCTTTTGCCACCTCCTCCACGGTGACACACAGCAGCGCTGCTATTCCCTAGAATCCATGTGCTGGGAAGCATCCCAAAGCACGGGGCACGAAGCAGGAATCACCGCTGGATTGAGGCTATGGGGCAGGTCCCTCCTTGGACACAGGTTTTAGCGCACGGCCTTGCTTGAGTCATTTATCCTCCTGGATGTCATTGTGGGATGGGGTTGGCAGGAAAACAGGCTTGTTTCCCGGGGGATCGGGAGGAAGCGCGTGGTGAGGAGGGAGGGGGGAGAAAACAACAACAAATGCTCTTCCCTCGCCTTGGTTTCTCCTTTTGGGATGAGGGAAGAGACCCTGGGAAGATGAAAGCCCGTCCGTAGGAGTTCCCACAAACACCCAAGGAAAAGCACGGCCTGAGATGCCCTTTCTCATCGCTCAGAACCAACCCTGATGTTGCACTTCCAGGTCTCTCCAGTGCCTTATTCCCAAAGCCCGCGAGCGCCCCTGAGGCTTTCACATGGAATCTCGTTTTAATCCCACTTTGGAGCATCCACAATCACCCTCATGCTCCAACCCGGGGCCGGTCCCAAGGTGGGATTTTGGGAGGGGGGTTCCAAGAGTTTATAGAAGAGAAACCAGGATGTTTTGGCCCTGGAGGGAACAGCATTGTTAAAACCAAGGTGACGGAACCAGCCCTTGCGCCTGCTGATCCGGTAGGATGCAGCTGCTGATCCAGTCGGATCCAGCTTCCTTATCCAAAGCTTTGAAGCAGAACCTGAGCGAAATAAAGGCAGAAAAGGGACAAATCCCACTGCCAACCTCCCGCTTCCAGGTCTGGCATTGCCGGGAGGCATCTGTGGATGCTCCAAATGCAAATGCCAGCGTAAGCGTATCCCCGCCGGTATTAAATATTCAGTGACTTTGCACCACCTCTCCCCTTATCTGATTTCCCCTCCCTCATTCCCATCAGTTTTCCCACAGGAGCCACAGCAAACTTCCCCCCCTCCAGCAGCTGCATCCGCCAGAGCCTTTTTCCCAGGAGCAATCCCACATCCCGGGCCCTTTATCCCTTTGCTCCCATCCGCATGGGCGCGCATCGGGGATGCGCTGTCGGGGCGGTTCACGCCGGTGCTTTTCTCTCCTCCCTCTTTGCAATTCAGCTCCCATGAAAGCAGAGCGGGAGGATGGATTACGGAGGCTGCGAGTACCCGGTTCCCTGCGGGAAAGACAAGTACATCTCCAAGTAAGATCCTCGGCAGGGCTGGAACATGGGAATAGTCAGTGCCGGGAGATGGGAAGTGAACTGCAATGTCTGGGAGGGGGATTTGAGCTGGGAGGAGTGGAGAGACCCCAGGGGTTTAACTTGATTTGGATTGGAAAAGCCATTTTGGGGCAAAAATTGGCGATTTCCTTTAAAACAATGGGGTTGTTGATGGGAGTTGGAGATGTTTTTTTTCCTTAGGAGCATGGCCAAATGCTTCTATAGTCCATGAAATAGTTCATGGAGTTCATGGAATAGAGGTTTTGCTCTAAAAGTCCCTATTAGGAATGGCTCTTTCATTCTTTGGCAAAGAACTAAAATGCTTCCCAAGTTCCAAAGAGGATTTTTTTGGGAGATAAAGCAGCTTTGTGCTATTTCCCCCCCTCTTTTTACTTCCTCCAAACCCCAAATCCCTGTGCTTTGTGCTTCTTTATACCGGCCTGCTGGTGCTGAGCATCCTCAAGCCACCCAGCTGAGTTAAGGACAGCTTTGTGATGGAGCACCAGGGGCATCGCTTCCCAGGATTCCGAGCTGGGAATGGGTTATCCTTAATGATTATTTGTAATGTTCATTATTCATTTGCAACTGGAGCAAGGGTGAGGCTTCATCCGAGCCCAAGGTCAGGCTCTGGAGCGAGGAGCTGATGTGATGAACTCGCCTATGATAACTTGTGACTCCAGCATGACCCAAGGGCTTGGATGCTCCCAAAATACACTGCTTTTTCCAGCCTTGTGACCGCATCCCACAAGGTCTGACAGGTTTCCTTGTGCCTTTTTCCAAGGTTTATGGTTGCAGGGAGCTTCTCCCTCTAAGGGTTGACCCCGCAGTGGATACCCCCACCAAGGGATATCTTGACCCAGATTTGCCTCAGATGAAGCTGGTTTGGCTCCTCCAGCAGTGATGCGGCTTCATCACCCAGCCTGACACTGGGAGCAATTCCTGCTTTCTCCCACATTCCCACAATTCAGGGGTACCGCGCGGTGCTTCCAATGCCCCCCCCTTGCTCCTCCATGTCTTTTCTCAGCCTCTTCCCCATTTTTCCTCCCAGAAATGAGCTGCTTTTACACTTGAAGACGTACAACATCTACTATGAAGGACAAAACTTGCAGCTGCGGCACCGGGAGGTAAGAAACCCCCTTGGGGCAGGCACCCAGCAGCCAAACCCCAATGGAATTGGGTTGGATTCCCACTAAAAGCATCGTTTCTTGGCACTATTCCTTGCTGCTTGTATCTCGGAGCCTGAGCTGCCCATCTCTCGTGCAGGAGGAAGGAGAACTCATCGTGGAGGGGCTGCTGAACATCTCCTGGGGCTTGCGGCGACCCATCCGCCTGCAGATGCAGGATGACAACCAGCGCATCCGCCCGCCGCCCTCCTCTTCCTCCTGGCACTCGGGATGCAACCTGGGAGCTCACGGGTGAGCAGGGGGGAGAAGAATCATGGAATCAGGGAAAAAAAGAGGGGAAAGGGGGGAGGTTCAGCTTTGCTTGTGTAGGTTGGGTGCTGGAGCTTGCAAAAAAGGCACTTTCGGCCTTCAGCATCCCTTCCTGGGAAGAGCAGTTGGGATAAGAGCTTCCAAAGGGGTTTTTGGGAGCAGAACAGGATGGGATTTGGGACTTAACTGGATGACTATTTGGGATCCAAATTTGGATGACAGGATGACTATCTGGGATAACTAGCTTGTGCTGCAACCCGAAGGGATGGTTATCTGCCAAATCCGAGGGCGAACAGGCTGCTTCCATCCTGGAAACAGCAGCATGGGGGCTCAAAGGGGAATTTATCCCGGTTCTCATTCCTGCTGCAGCTCTTCGCTAACAGGACATCCATCATCATCCATTGCCAGGTCCGTGCTGAAGCCCAGCACCTTGCCAGACATCCAGGTCACAGATGCAGAGGCTGTGCCAAACACAGAGGCTCCCCGGAGCTGTGCAGGTGAGCCGGGCACGGATCCGGATGGATTTGGCTGGGAATTGGGAGCAGCTGCTTTATGCTCCAGTTTCATTGGAGAAAACAGGGATTTGTCTTCTCCAGCAATCGTGTCCCCGTTGTCCCCCAGGTTCCTTCCAAAGGGATTTTGCTCAGGGAAGGGATGCGGTGAAGAGGAGCTTGGGAAGAAATAGGGGGATGGAGCAGAAAGCCTCGTGGGATCATGGGGAAAAGGATGTCGGCACTTCCCCTTCCCGGAGGCTCTGCTTTTAGGGAAGAAGAATAGGGCTGTTGGGAAGTTCCGTTGCCATGGGGAAGTCAACACTGCTGCCAAGTGTTTTCCCCTCCCTGGTTTCTCCTCTGTATGGAGGGGGAAGAGCCCATGCACTGGGCTCATTAACCCCTTGTTTGGAGCACAAAGCAGCACAAGGTGCCTCACCAGCAATTCCCACTGGGGAAACCGGCTTTATGCGTTTTTCCCATTAAATCAGGGCACTTTGCAGGTGTTCCTGACTTTTTTAAAGTGAGTTTTTGGGGGGATGGTGATGATATTTGTATGGAAATACACCCTGCAGACACAGAAGAGCCAGCCAATCCTTCCAGCCCCGGGATGCTCATCCACTTCCCAGCTTGGGAAGTGCAAAACTCATTGACCCATGAAACCCTTTGCCCCGTCCTTCATCCTCCAGCTTTTCCCCTTTCTCTTTGTGATCTCTCCATGCACAACACTTATTCCCCCACCCCTCTTAATTCAAGCTTGCCCTGGTGATACCCGCACCGTGTCGCGCCATAGAACTACCCCAGCAGCTATCTGAGCCCGATGACGTTAATCCTCCACCAGTGCATAAGAAAGAGCTCTTTTATCCCATTTCTCCCTCCAAAAGCCTGTTCAAATCAGTGCATAACGTGCGTGCCCGGCTCCTCCTGAGCGCTTCGTCACTGTGGCCTGTGGTGTGCATCTGGAGAGGAGAGATTTGTCTTGCTGCAGACATGCTTGGAATGAAAACATCCAAGCTTGAGCCCCAGTGGTTCATTAAAAATGGATGAAGAGCTGGTTTATAATAATCTGGAGCCAGGCCAGTTTTCACATAGAAAAAAACGCTGGCCTCGTTTGTCTGTTCCCATTAAGGGAAAAGAGAAAAAATACAGAAGTTAGATAATGAAAAAGCAAGTAAAGATGCTCCAGCCCCTGGGACAAGAGGCTTTATCCAGGTGGCAGCCTGGACTTAAGCAGTTCATTAGGAATTAATGGTCTCCTGTAAGAGAATAAACCAGTAGCTGCCACGGTTTAAACCGGTGGGTTAAATCTGTGCTGCGCAGTCCCACACGTGCATCCATGGGGGGATTCCCAGCAGGGAAAGGCTCCTCAGGGCTCTCCACCGACCTCATCTTTTCCAGGCACCAAACCACAAGGGGAGGAGACGCCGCAGCTGATGCGGACGCGGAGCGACGTTGGGGTCCGGCACCGGGGCAGCGCCCGCACCCCCAGCGAGCAGCGGCGCATCCGCCGGCACCGCTTCTCCATCAACGGGCACTTCTACAACCACAAGGTGAGCCCCACGCTCCCCAGCACCGATCCCCGCGGGAGGAATCCAAGGTTTAAATGGGCTTTGCATCCCACAGACGTCCGTGTTCACGCCGGCCTACGGCTCCATCACCAACGTCCGCATAAACAGCACCATGACGACCCCGCAGGTCCTCAAGCTGCTGCTCAATAAGTTCAAGGTACTTGAGGTATCCTGCCCCGATGCTCCTGGGATGCTCTGCATGGGGGGATTTATATCCCGTGGATACCCAAACGCAATGGCAGAGTGAAATAATGGGGTATATTCTTTAAAGCTGGGGAAACCCCGGGTGGAAATGCAGCCCTTTAACAGTGATTTATGGCTCCATTCAGATTGAGAACTCAGCGGAGGAGTTTGCGCTCTACATTGTCCACACCAGTGGAGGTGAGTGTCCAAAACCCGCCCGGTGCATCCGTGGCGAAGGCCCACCACACACTGGGACATCCATCGGTGCTTTTGGCATTGCAGAGAAGCAGAAGCTGCGGGGCAGTGATTACCCCCTGATCGCCCGCATCCTTCAGGGCCCCTGCGAGCAGGTCTCCAAGGTCTTCCTTATGGAGAAGGACCAAGTGGAAGAAGTCACCTATGATGTGAGTTTGCCGCATGGGATGGGCTTGGGATTCAGCTGGGGCTGGAATAGGGGGTGGATGTAGAATCCCAGCCTGGTTTGGGTTGGAAGGGAGCTTAAAACTCATCCAGTTCCAACCTCCTGCTTAGGTTTGCTGTGAAACCAGCAAGGTCTCAGATGTTACTCACTAAGAACAAAGCTCAATTTAGCTTTCTGGAGCCATTTATTTCTATAGAAATGAATACACAACCTTCCCTAAATAAAAAGTCCATGAATATTAGCCACAAATTGCTGTTAGCTGCCTGCTCTTTCCATACAGTGCTTCTAAAAGGCTTTTCGGGCACTTCTGCTCTGCTTTGAGCCCACATCTCCCTGTGAAAACTCCAAATCTGATGGCAAAAACCTTGTCCTATGCCTGAAGAGCAGCTTTAAACCAGGAGCAAACGCCTGCAGGCCTGTTTTACCACCCCAAATGTGAGCACAGAGCCGCAATAGCTGCACAGCCTTGGGCATAATTCGTACCTTTCCTGCTGGGAAACGCGCTGCGGGGTGGGAATGGCTCGGTTGTGCCATCTGCCGGCTTCCTCCCACCTTGCTCCTCAAACCAGAGCGAAATGAAGCACTTTTGGGGGGTATTTGTGCTTAAAGAACACTGTTTGAACGGGCTGGCCAGGAGAAGGAGCCAAGTCTTGCAGCCAGGGGGTAAAGCAAATGAAGTTTATGGGTGTTTTGTCCCCTATAATTAGCTGGCTGTGTAGGGAAACGTGGTTTCATTTAGGGTTTGTTGTGAAAGGCAATGGGGTTCCTTGATTTCCCCAGTTAAATCAGGGGAGATGATTTATTTTATATATATATCTCAATTATATATATATCATATTTATGTGTCAGATATATGTTATTCAGATGATGCTTAAGGGTGGGTGCATCGCCCTTTTCATGGCCTGGCTTGGTGTTCCTCCTCCACCCAGGTAGCTCAGTACATCAAATTCGAGATGCCCATCCTCAAGAGCTTCATCCAGAAGCTGGAGGAAGAGGAGGATCGTGAAGTGAAGAAGCTAATGCGCAAGTACGCCGGGCTCAGTTACATCAAGGGGAGATGCTGGGAGTTAAGGACATGGTTAGGGGGTTATTGTGGTGCTGAGCGTTCATTTGCACAGCTTTTTATCCCTAATCCATGCATTATTCCATGGTTTTCTTGGCTTGATGCTGCAAAAATCCTCTTTTCCCTGGCCTTTGCCTCTCCAGGTACTCCATCCTTCGGCTGATGATTGAGCAAAGGCTGGAGGAGATATCCGAAGGTCCGACAGCGATGTGAAGCGCTTCACCAGCTCCAGGTTGCATTGCACCAAGAGCCGTTTGCCTGCAGGATGCACTGTACCAAATCCCAACCCCGTGTCATTCCCGGAGCTCTCCCAGTGTCCTCCCGGATCGCTCCGGCTCTGAGCCAGCCCATCCTCCTGTGCCTTCATGTGCGCAGCATCCTCGGGGGGGTTCCTCATCTCCAAATGGGAGTTTTCCCAGCAAGGCTCTGGGCATCTGCAGCCAAAACCTCAACTCCCTGGAAATAACAGGGGGAAAAGAAAGAAAGAGGAAATCCATGAGCAGGATGAAGCCACTGAGGATGGGGACAAGCAATTCTGGGCTCTGTTGGAGGATCCTGGCTTCAACGGTGCCCGCGTGGGGCTCCCTGCTTAGAACCCACCCCTTGGTGGCAAGAGCACAAATAATTCCTCTTTTCCCACCTGAAAAAGCACATTCCTATGGCAATAATTCGCAGGTGACAGGAAGCTTTTGTAAATGGAGCGGATTTTAACACTTTTGCTGCCGAAAACGAACCTGGGGACTGAGGGTTGGATTTACAGCAAAAGAGTAAAATCCTGGTTTTTTTCCCAGCACATTCCCTTAACCTGCATCCGGTCTCTTAACCCCCATCCTGCTCCTTTCTAATTTGCACTAATGTTAGGGAAGAAAAAGCAACCCACGGTGTCAAACCTCTCTGGTAGCTGTAACATGCCAAATAATGCTCGGGGGAATGGCGGGTGGTGAGGAGCATCTCCCGAGGGATGCTGTATGGGAAGCAGGAGGGGAGGCAGAAATAGAGGGGTTTATTCTCCACGTGGGTTTTGCAGCACATTGTCCTGGGCTCACCGGGACCAGGCCTGGCTTTGTTACCCCCATCACACCTGGAAAAACCTCTTTCCTCCCGGGCTAAACCAGCAATATCCATTTTATACCTCGATGTGAACTAAAACTCGTGACTTTCGCCCTCCTTTTGAGTTTTTTGCAATGCATCTTTGCGAGGTTTGGGGTCTAATTTTAATGGTACCTTCTCCACCTTGAACACGTCGATAGGGAAGTATTGTACAGCGAGAAAAGCTTTTTGTGTGTGTGAAGGATGGCTTGGTTGGGTAAGAAGGACACAAAACATGAAGCAACTTAATACAGAATGAACCCCTCCCAAGTTAGAGCCTGGTTTGTTCAAACTAAAGCACTTTGCAGGTAGAAGTGCTACTGAAATGGGCTCTATGGGAACCAGGAGCGATGAAAGGGAAGACCAAAACCTGCTTGAATCCCAATGGAGTTTCCCAAGGGAAAATGCTCCCTTTTTGGAGAGCCACAACCAAATTGCTGGAGGATTTGGGGGGGGATATTGAGCTGTTGTAGGGTTTAGGGACTATTAGTGACTATTTAGCCCCATGCACCGTGGTTGGTGAGCTCCATCCTCTGGCTATTTCTCTCCCATAAGGTAAAACTCACCTCTAGAACACCTCTGCGTTGCTGAGCCTGGTTTCAAACACACTGAGGGCTTTATAGCTGATGTATGAAGGGGGTTTTGCCCCTTCGAGCCTGAGCTCTGCATCCCCAAGGTTATCCCCATCCACTCTTTGCTTTCCCCCCAGCATTATCCAGCCCATTGAAGCCCATTTATCCCTCCCTGCGCAGGAGAGGGATTCGAGTGACTCTGGCTCCGCCTATCAAAGCTTTATCCATTGGGAAAAGTGAGTCGAGCTCAGCAGGCACAGACGGGAAGAGCGGCACAGGGTGCACGGTAAGGGGCAGCTTCCTTGGCATGCAGCTGAGGGGTGAAAAGAGGAGGAATTGGGTAGACAGCAAGGGGGGAAGTGGAGGGTTTTGGCACGCACTGGAGCTGGAGGTTGGGATGGGGAGAGCAGCCCATGGGGGCACCGCAGCCCGGCTGCTTCAGCAACAGGCTTTTCCCTGGGTTGTGATCCATAGGTTTGGATGCTGTAGAGGAAATAAAGAGGGGGGAAAAACAGGAAGGAAAGCAAATCCTCACATCTTAAATTGTGCAGAGTTTGCTACCCAGGTTTGTGGTGGTTCAGAAGCGGCGATGCTGCTGCAAGCAGCTGGAAGGCGATGCACGCTTCTCCAGGCCTTCCTTACTAATGAACCACATTAACTGGAGACTCAGGGCAGCAAAATGAGGCAAATTAATTGATGAAGCCCTATTTTTATGTTTTCCAAGTGCTGGATTCCAAAGGGGGGGCGGGGGGGGGGGGGTCAGGCCTGGCACCTTCTAGCAGGGGCCATGGAAGGGAAACGCTGACACAGGGAAGCTGCGGCCAGGGGGGCTCTGCTTGTTCAAAAGGCTTTTGTCAACACAGCTCCTGCTATTTCGGGGATGGTTTTGGGGCCTCGATGGCTCAGCAGCTTTGGTACAATGAGCCTGTTTGCTGAGCTGCTGGCTGGGGGTGCTGCAGGGTGGGGGACAGGGTAGGGGGAATCACAGCGTGATGCTCCTGTGCATTGAAGAGGGGTGGGAAAACAAAGGTGCAGATCGGGAAGTCACAGAACCATGGAATGGTTTGGGTTGAAGGGACCTTAAAGCTCATCCAGCTCCAACCCCTGCCACGGCCAGGGACACCTTCCACTAGAGCAGCTTGCTCCAAGCCCCTGTGTCCAACCTGGCCTTGAACACTGCCAGGGATGGGGCAGCCACAGCTTCTCTGGGCACCCTGTGCCAGCGCCTCAGCACCCTCACAGGGAAGAGCTTCTGCCTTATCTCCAACCTGAACTTCCCCTGGTTTGGGTGGCACAAAGCTGACAGCGCCCACTCTCCATAGTCATTAAATATATAGAATATGGTAAATATGTGCAATAATACATTAATTATATTAATGATATTGCTGAAAGCTGGGGTGGATCAGCCTGGAGAAGAGAAGGCTCCTTAAGGGGAGACCTTTGAGCAGCTTCAGCGCCTAGAGGGTTGGGAGAGAGGCTTTGGACAAGGGCCTGTAGGGGCACGACAAGGGGAATGGCTTTAACCTGCCCGAGGGGAGGCTGAGATGAGCTCTGAGGCAGAAGCTCTTCCAGGTAGGGATGGAACTGGATGAGCGTTAAGCTCCCTTCCAACCCAAACCATTCCACGGTCCCATGGCTATGAGCTGCAGGCTGGCCCGACCCTTAGGCAGCAGCCCCATGCTCTGTGTCCCTGCCTGTGCCCCCTCCGCAGGTCGGGCAGGATGAGGCCCCGCGATGCCTGGCGCTGGGCGGCCCTGCTGCTCCTCTTCCTCTTCAGCGACGTCTCCTGCGGCGGCCGCCGCGGCGGCGGGGCCAGAACCGGCTCCCGGGGCGGAGGTGGCGGCGGCGGCAGCAGCGCGGGGCTGCGCGGGGGCTTCCGCGGCGGGGGCACCCCGGGCCGTGGCTCCAAGGTGGCCGGGGCCATCGCGGCCGGCGCTGCCGCAGGGTACGGGATGGGGCTGCTGGGGCGCCCGCGGCCGTCGCGCCTGGGTCACGGCATCCCCGCAGCGCGGCAGCCCGCGGCCGCCAGTGGGTTTCATGCTCCGGGTTGGCCGGATCTGGGTGTGAAGAGGGGACCCCCCAACAGAGCCCATGGGGACCGGCGGGGTGGCATCAGCCCCGTCTTGCTGCTGGCCCCCGCGGCTTGCTTCGTGAGCCATGGGCTGCAGCGCTGAGCGTGGGCAGCGGTGACTCCAGCAGGCTGAGCCCGTCGGGGTTCCGCGTGGCTTCCCTGGGAGATTGGATGTGGCTTGGGGACGTGGAAGAGATGCTCCTTGGTTCCCCCTTCTTCGGCGTGATTGGACCCTGCTGGAGCTGGGCATCCGTCCCCGTGCCGGTGGGGCCACCTGGATCCTGCAAACCCCCATCTGGAAGAGGATGTAGATGGGAAGTCCAACCCTTCACGAATGTGTGGATGTTTGCGGATGGAAAGATGCTGGATCAGCCCCGCCAGTGCTTGGTTCTAGTTTCTCACTGCATGGTTTCACCAGAAACTCGTCCTTTCCCCCCAAAAGAGTGCTGGGACTCAGTGCATGGGAGAGATGTGGGGCTTGAAAATGGACCTGTCTGCCTTGCAATAAAGTTTGGCCTTGAGGCATCCTCTCCTTTTTTAACCAAATCCATCGTGTTTAGCACCAGGAGCAACCTGAGGAAGAGCCGCATCTTTGAGGGATGCTTGCAGGGAGGGATCAGCATGATGCTTGAGAACAGTCATCCCGTCCCATCTCCCTCCCCGTACCTCATCCCATCTCTCTGGCTTTGATAGGATCAAATGACCCAATCTTTAGCATCCCCTGCCCAAAACACACCCAGCTGTGGGGCTGACCCTCCCTCAGGTGCTTTATGTTTGCCAGAGAGGATGCAAACCCTCCCTGGGCAGAGCTCAAAAGGAGCTGTGAGGGTTGCTTTTACTTCCAGCGTCTGCATTTGCTTCTCTAGTCCCTGTCTTGAGTGCTTAAACCTTCCCTAAAGGCTGGTTTAGCTGCGGCAGCTCAACCATTGCTGTAAGCAAAGGAAGTAAACCAGTGCCAAGCACAGTATTAGGAATCCCCCCAAAGACCTGTGGGCAGCCACAATCACCAACAGGTAAGACACTCACCTTTAGAGCCTGGATGTCTGTGAGCGGGTTGTCTCCCATTGGAATTAAAAGGGTTTTGGGGTTATGAATATCCTTATCATGGCATGGTTTGGGTTGGAAAGGACCAATTCCAACCCCTTCTTCACCTCCCCAGGAGAGCAGTTGAGCCAGGTCTTGTATCTACCAAGGGGTAGAAGGAGGCCTGGCTGATGCATGTTCATTTTCTGGGCTCTTATACAACACTTTCTTATACGTTACGGAAGCTGTTTGGCTCCTGAGGGATTTAACAGCATTTTGGGTGCAGGTGAGCACAGGATTCACCTGAGGCTGATGCTTTTATGGCTGCCCAAGTAGCTGTGATCTCTCTGCTGGCTTAGGGATAGCTTTTAGGTTGGACAGATCCAACTCTTCCCATAATGGGCTCACAGGTTATTACAATGTCCTTGTTTAAAAGCAGCAATGAACCTGGCACAGGCTCCAATCTGCCTTTTCCCACCATGTATTTTGCATCCCGACCTGCCCAGGTTATGCTTCGATGTCCAGACCCCACCACCAGCATCGTCTGCTCATAGCCCTGATGTGCGGACCCGAGCTCAGAAACACCACAGGCATTATCCCACACTTCCTAGGTTACAATCCCAGTTTTCCCTGTTTATTCCCTCCCGCTGGTGTACAACACAGGGCTGGGTTCAGACGGGAGATGGTGCTGTTCGCTCAGTGATGCATCTCCTCTAATCCCCGACACCGGATCAGACGCAGGGATGAAAACCAACCTGGATGAGGTTTTAGGCCCTTGCTTTGCATGTTAAGCCTCCAAATAACACTATTTCTCCTCCAGCTCGCTGCAAACTCTCCAGCTGGGCACCAAAAATCCCCTTTTTGCAGGTTTTTTCCAGTGAGGAAAAGGTATTTGCTTGCTCTGCCTGCATGGGGGATGCTTATTTGTGGGGATGAGGGATGCAAAGTGCCCTGGGATGTGCAGTTTGGAGGAGAGTATCAAAACCAACCCCCAAAATGTCATTGCATTTGTGCTTTGGGGTGTATTTATTAGCAGCCTGGTAAAGCAGAAGCACTTCCCACCCTCTCCTGCAGCCTGAGGGCAGGGCAGGATATGGAGTGTTTAGTTAATTAACACAGAGCAACTAACTGATCTAGCACAACAGATCACTCTTAGAGGACAAGAGGGCTCCAGGGTTATTGGATCCAATCATCCTTAAAGGACATGAGGATGTGGGCCATGTCCTGCTTCAGTGCTTCCAGGGCCAGGAAGGGGCTGGGGATTGGAGCTGGATGAGCTTTAAAATCCCTTTCAATCCAAACCAGGCTGGGATTTTATGCTCTAGGAGAGCTCTAGTTCTCTGTTATGGACTTTTTAGGGTTTCCTCTTAGCGAGTGAGACACTTGCACACAGGAAGAGCCATCTATTTAGTGCTGAATATCCCTTTTCCTTTATTTTTTTGGCCAAAAGTATGTAAAAGAGTCACATTTGGGGATTACCTGTGGTACCGCTTAAAGACCCACTTCTTCAGCATCCTTGTGGCAATAAATCACATCCTGCACAGGCTCAAACCAAACAGGTCTAAGACTTCATCTTGAGCTTAAACTTCGAGCTGAAGGGTCCAAACTCTTCCATCCTTTTAATTCTAATTTTTAACTTAGAGTCTAATGCACACAGATAGTCATCTGATGGGGATGCTGGTTTAGGTACCAAGGAGATAGATAGGGAATTCTGGCAGTGTTAAGTAGGGCTTGAGGCTTCACGTGAAGTAGGTTGGGCTTAATGCCATGAAACAGCAAATGTAAAAACTCCTTTATTCGACACAAAATAGATGGGGTAAATACAAGGAATAAATGGGGGTTGGCTTTCTATGGGGAGAAGAAGCCCCTGGCCCCAACCAGTGCATTGGCTTTAGTAGAAACCGTTTGTTGGATGGTAGCGATGGCATTAGTAGGAGCAGGGGAGGAGAAAGTTAACTGAAATTGCGGGTTTTAGGCCAAATTTGGTGCTGAAAGGGAACAAAAGCGCCCACAAACAGGGTGAAAAATGCTGCTTCTGTCTGTGGGGAGGGCCGGGAGCTGTTTGCATGAAGGAGGCTGACGTGTGTCTTGGCTTTATCCGTTTTAATTTGTACCAGACGTGGAACACTTAGAAAAGTATCAGAACAGCACAGTTCAGACATGCACCGGGATGGGTTTACAAAACAGCCGCGTATCACAAAGTCCGCGTTTACCCCAAAGCCCTGCTTCTCTGGTGAATACCCTGAAAGATTCCTTTCCTCTCTATTTTCATGTGTGTATATATATATATATTTATTTAGCTTACATCAAGGCGAAAAATGAGTTAGGACGGTGTCATTCAGTGCCTCGCAGAAAAGTACACGAGAGATACTCAATAGAACTCAGGGTCACGGGTTTGACAAGCGTAACTTTAAGGATGCTACAGGTTCTACACAACCCAGCATCGACCTAAACACCAAAAGCAGGAATTTTACCCATAAATTACTTGCAAAATGTGGGGTTTTTTGAAGCATCTCCCATCCCAGGCTTGGTTTTCCCGATGCTGTTTGCTGTAGCCACGTGATTCGGCTGATTTATGTTTCTTGCTATGTGCTTAACCCCCCTAAACATCCTTTTTGCTGTATGAGAACATCCTTTAGGTCAAGGTACCGAAGTGCGAGTGTGACTTGTCACCTATAGCACATCCACAATAGCTTTATCTTGGGCTAGACCACAGCAAGCGCTCCCACCTTGGGGCTTTTAGGGGACATTCAGCAGCACTTTTTGCCTTTAGATAGGCTAAGAAAGACAATGAGGCTCAACCAAAAGCAAAGCGGAGCTGGAGGGGGTCAACCAAAACCTGGCCAAGGGCTGCAGCCTTGCTGTGGAGGAAAACAACCAAAAATCACTTTTTTAATGTGTGTTGCTGCAGGGGTATTTGCAGCATGCAAGGCGCGGAGCGGGCAGGTCCGTATGTACATAAGGGATGGCGGGGCTTGGGATTAAAAGGTGGGAATTGCAACCTGGCAGCTTGTTGCTTGAAAACCCCATAGCTGACCCTCCTAAACCCGCTGTGGGGTATGGATGGGTGCAATGCCACGGGTGCATCGGGGAAAGGGGTCTTGGTGGCAGTGGGGTTAAGGGGATTAGATAAAACCCTGCTTGTTAGCAAAGAGGATCTTCAGAAGCGCCCTTGCAGAGACGCCAAGGACCGGGTGAGCTCCTCTCTGCCCAGTCCCTCTCAGGATGGCCCTGAGGAGGAGGAGGTGGTGGTGAAGGCCTTTTCTTTGGGCATCCAGCTCCATCACTGTCCTGCCACACCAGGGTGGAGAAGGAAAGCTTCATCAGGTTGCCTAACCCGGAGGTGATGGGGAGCATTGGTGCCCGTGTGCCCCAGGGGCTCTTCACCAAAGATGACCTTAAGCAAGAATAAGGGAGTTCGGGGGTCCCCAAAGGGACACGGGTGACATCTCGAAGCTGCGGGGTGCATCAGTGCATGATGAAGAGGGTGAGGAGGAGGAGGGCGGCGAGGGAGGCATCGGCGAGATGCAGCCGGATGCCGGAGGCCAGGCGGTACTCGCGGTACTGCTGGATGCACATCTCCCGGATCACCTTGGTCACCACCTTGGTCTCCAGCTCCGCCTCCGTTTGGTTGGTCGCTGACCCAGCCTCCGAGGCGTTCTTCTTGACAGCGGGTCCGATGTTGTATTCGGTCACCGTGATGTTAAAGCAGTCGGCGACAAAGACGTCCTGAGACACGGGGCTGCTGTAATCCCGGTAGTAAACCTGGTTGGGGTAGCGCGCCGAGTTCTCGTTCCACCACCGGTACTCATCGGGGCTATCAAAGCGATAGTGCATCCCCGACATGACCCGGCCCATGGCATAGCCCCCCAGCCCTCCCACCACAGCACCCGCTGCCGCCGCCCCGGCCACATGCTTGAGGTTGGTCTTGGATTTGGGGGGTTTCCATGGCTTTTGGTTGTAGTAGCTTCCTCCGCTCGATGGGTTGTAACCCTGGCCCCAGCCCTGGTTGTGGGGGTAGCCGGGGTTATGGGGGTACCCTGGGTTGTGGGGGTAGCCCGGGTTGTGGGGGTAGCCCGGGTTGTGGGGGTAGCCGGGCTGCCGGGGGTAGCTGGGCTGGCGATGGCTCCCCGTGCCCCAACTGCCACCACTGGGTTTCGTTTTGCCCTTCTTGGAGAAGGCAACGTCGGTCCAGGAGCCGAGGAGCAGGAACACCAGGTAGGAGGTGATGAGGAGCCTGGCCATGGCTGTGGACACAAGGACAGGCAGCGTTAGGGGCAGGAGGCAGAGACCCTCCTGTGAGCATCACAGGCTTGAGGCTCCCTTGCTTGTGCTTCATATAAAACACATTGTTCCATTTTATCTAGTTGCAGGATAAAGAGATTTGGATTTAAATGTGTATTTATCATCCTCAACCACCTCTGGTTTTATATATATACACACATACATAAAGTATTACATATATAAAATATATATACAATACTTTTTATATATTATATAAGGTATTATATATAATCACAGAATGGTTTGGGTTGGAAAGGACCTTAAGATCATCCAGGTCCAACCCCCTGCCACAGCTAGGGTCACCTCAAACTAGAGCAGGCTGCTCCAAGCCCTGTCCAGCCTGACCTTGAACACTGCCAGGGATGGACCATTCACACACACACACACACACACACACACATATATATATATATATATATACACACATATGTATGTATCCCCAACCTCCCAACACATCCTCTCCTAGTAATGACAGTTTTAAAGTAGTGGACAAAAAGCTTTTGGGAGAAATGCTTCACTTGGTTGAGAGGTAAAAAAATCCACTTATTAAAGCCTAAATCTTCAATTAACTATTAAATCCTAAACTTCAATCCTCCCCTATCCAATTGGATAACTGAGATTTCTGCTGTCTATGAACAGATTCATCCCAACCTCCAAGCTTTAGGGCACCTCAAGGAAGGCAGCTCCCAGCTTTGCCTTGGAGGGTTGTACTTTTGTTCCCTGAAGAATGAAAGCCAGCATGTTTTTTCCCAAATCCCTGTTTATGTGTAACAGACCTTAACCAAAGAACAGCAGGGTTTGAGTTTAATGTGTCTACCAATACATGCTTACTCAGCGTTTTGCTGCTGGCATCCCACGGGCATGCCAGGCATCTCCTACATTAGCTGGTGGGCTGACAAGGATGCAATCCAATTTCAATGAGTCGTTTCTCTCCCTGTGGATAATCCTGCCTGTATAATTCATACCAGGTCTGCAAATCCTTTGGAAGCACCTTTGGAAAATACCTCCCAGGCTGCAAATTCCCTTTGGATTCCTCCCCACCACACCAAGGAGCATTGAATTACTGTTACCCTCATGCTTAATATGCGAGCCCAGTGATAGCAAAAGGGTTTTGTGTCCTGCCTGAGGCTGAGCAACCACTTATAAACCCTCCTGTGCATGCCAGGATGCTGGGCATGGAGAGCAAAGCATTCCCAGCATAGCGCGGGTTGGCATTTTGCAGCATCCTCGGATGCTTCGGATGTGCTTTCTGGCTCATGTTACAGCACAATACAATTAAGGGTTGGGTCCTGAGTGGGGTTTTTTTGCAGTAACTAATGGACCAGCTTCTTGAAGAGTCACCACTCAACCCAGAGATGAGTTTAATGCGGATAAGAGAGGATGGTCTCTTGTGAGATACTGCCCTTAACAGCATAAACAGGCAGAACATTAAGCCAGAACCTCTTCTGTTGCACCTTTGCTATGGTTTTATGGTCCCTAAAAAGCAAATTATTGTGTTCAGATAAAGATGCTTTTTCTCTCCTACCTCCCCCCCAAAAAATCTGTACTTATGTCAGGAAATGTTTGAATGGGGGTCCTTTAATGTCGGTGTTTTGATTGGGTGCATTAGCAAGAGGCTTAATTAAAAGAGCATCATCCCTTGTGATGGGGAGGAAAGCCAGGCTTGCGCTGCCTGCTCATAGGAGTTTTGGGTACAAAACCCACCCACTTCCAAGCAGGTTTTCTGCTCCTATCTCTCTACAGCAACCACCCGTTGGGAGCCAGGATGCCAAAAGACATGACAAAAACTGGGATGGGCAAAGGCTTTTTGGGCACTCACCAAAAAATATAGGAATAGGGGGAGAAAAAGCAAATCGGCCTTTTTTTGCTGTTTGAGTCCCCGCAGTGAGTAAGGGGGAAAAATGAACCCCTGGATGAAAACGTGTTATGGCAAAGCCCTGGAGGACACTCCAAGCCTGGCAGCACCGACCTGTTCCTCTAATTGTCTTTATAGAGATGAGCCCCGATGAACAGGGCAAAGGCTTATTTGGGTTTGCACTGCTAATGACTGCGCTGAGCTTTGCCCTGGCTAAATGTGGTCACTTATACAAACCCCCTGCTCATGATGGGGTACCAGGGAGCTGCCTCCTGGGGCTCAGAGCTCGGTATTTACAGCGTGATCGTTGTGTTATTATTGAATTCTATTATCAAATGGCTTCGCAGAGGTGTTTTCCCCCATCTCTTTTTAGCTTTCCTCCCCAGTTTTCCCCTCTCTGCAATGAGAAATCGATTCAGGTGATTCATACGGGAGCGATTTATGCCTCGGAGAACCAGGGGAAGGCCAGAGCTCCTTCAGGGCAGAGAGGGAAGCGGAAAATGGAGGGTGCGAGGAGCGATCGCAAGCAGCAATTACGTGCGCAGGGCTGGCAAGGAAGAGGCTTGCGGTTGGGAGGGGAAAACCAGCACCCTGGTGCCAAAATAACAGCGGAAATAACCTTGTTAAGGTGCCCGGGGAAGGGGGAGAAATGAAGGGAAGGTGGGAAGATGCTCGGGAATGGGGGCATCCAGACCCTCCTGGTGATGCTGGGAAGCTCCGGGCTTATGGGGGGTGAGAAATCGGGGCTGGGGCTATGGGGAAAGGGGGTGCGGGCTGGCACATTTCTCGGCTTTAAAAATCCACATCCTCTCTTGTTATTTAACCCCTTAATAACGGGGGGAATGGTTCTGGGCAAGTGGGAGCCATAGGAAAGCACAAACCCCTTCGGATAGCTCTGGGAAAGGCAGCAAGAAGCGAGGTCTCACCAGCGTCAGCTTTGAATCAGCCCTGAGTAAACAAGCCCCAGCAGAGCTCCATCTGTTAAGGAGGACGCTGCCTTCAGAGCCTATATTTAGGCAGCGATGGCAGGGACAGGAGGCAGCCTCCATTCCCTGCGGGGTTAAAACCTCCCTCACCTCCGGATTTATCCCCCCCAAAACCCCCTTTTCCCCGGCACTCACCGGCTGCGAGCCCGTTGCTTGCTCGGGTCGGGATGATTCAGCCTCAGCCACAGGGCTACGGGGAGGAATAAATAGCGAGAGGGAGGAGCTGGGTTCTGCGCAGCCCAGCGCTGCACGGCGCGGGCAGCATCCGTCCGCCTTCCCTAGGGAATACCGCAGCTGGCGTTGGGGTTCACCCCACATCAGCCCTCCCGGCAGGTATGGGCAGGGGAGGCAATGCCGGCGACCAAAGGGGTGGCTGGAAAACGGAAAACCGCGTGGATGGTTTATCCAAGGAATATCAATGGGATCAAGAGGGTTTGGGGGTGGTTTGGAAACCTCTGGGTGGAGGCTTTGGGAGAGGAAAGGATGCAGTTGGCAACTGCAGCTCCAGATGTGTTATGCTGTGAAATAGATGCTCTGTGTGTTGGTGGATAGGAAATTCGACCAGGTTCAGCCATACAGGGGAAAGGATGGATCTGCCTTCCATGTTTGTGTCACTCCAGGGGAGTAAAACTCCCTCCTGTGTAAACTGGTTGTGCTTTATGTTGGGGTGCCCCAATATTTAATGGGGGGAACACCACAGAAAGCAATTAATAATGATATGGGATGTTCACGGCAAGCTGGGGGGTTCTAGCACCCTGTTCTGGAGGGTGTGTGTGGCTGCAGAGACCTAAAGGGGATGGGGAGTTTTCCCATCCTTTAGGGTTAGGATGGGCTATAGGAAACAGGTCCATGGTGGTTGGGAGATGCAAATAAAGCTTGAAACTAATTGCATTGGGACTCACTTTTGCCTGGCCATGCAATATAGCCAAAAATTCCTCCTGAGGTTTTGCTGCCTGGAATAGCCAGGTACCAATGTCCTGGTGATGCTCCCATCCTTGGACCACAGAGCACATCTGGCCATAAAGAGGATTTCCACCCTGCTGCTCCATGTGCTTGTTTATCCATCTGGCTGGATTATGTTAACATCATCGTCACAACAGTATCTGTCTGGTAGGGAAATGGGTTGTGAATATTCATTTCTGGTGGGGAACATGAACTAAAAAGCAGGATTAAGGTCAGCAAGTCTGGAGAAGCCCTTCCCTACAACACAGGCATGTTTATTCCCATGGGCAGATGGCTCCTGATTCCTTGGTTTTGGTTTAAATACTCTCCAGTGGGTTAGTTAAAATCCAAAGCTAGGAAAAGGAAAGAACACAGCACTGGGAATGGGATGGTTCAGGATTAATTCGTCCATGGCTTCTAAAAATCAGGACTTTTTTCCATAATAATGTATTTCAGAGGAAGTTTTGGTCTTGTTTGGAGCAATACTGAAGCTCTGTTGGATCTCAGCTGCAAATGGAGCAGGAAAAGCCTATTGACTATTAAGTCTTAATTCCTTGTGGAAGTTAGCAGTGCTAAAACCACCCAAACCAGTAGATCCACAGCATCCATTTCACGTATCCACGTGCATCTCAGGGTAAAGCTTCTCCCAGCAGCAAGACAAGAGCTGCATTGATCTCCAAGGGAGGTTTGGCCTTTCTCCATCCTCAGCCCAAGCAGCGGCAGGGGACAGAGGAAATAATGCACCATTAAGTGCAATGGGGGCTCGTGCCAGGTTAGAAAGCATTAATGGGATGGGGTTTTCTCGTAACAGTTGGGAAGTGCTGACTTTGGTTTCACGATGGGCAGGGAAAGGACCCAGCTTCGCCTGACCCCACTTCATTGTTCCTCATTGATTTTGGTTTGCTTTAATTCATGCTAAATGCTTTTATTCACAGAGCTCTGGGCTTGGAGAGTTCACTGCAGCTCGCAAAGGCAAGGCAAGGCATTGAAATGGTTTGGGGGGGGATTCAGTGCAGTTTTGGGGTAAGTTGGGGGGGTTTGGAGGTAGGGATGAAGTCCCACAGCCCGTCCCCATCCTGCTGTCACTCCCTGGGGCTGGCAAAACCTGGGCTCCAGGGACAGCTACCACTCCATCAGGCTCTATTGTCCAGTGTCAGGGTGTCATTAACAACCTGAAGCCTTATCAGGGTATTTCTCATTTCCTTGGCTGACAAGGGCTTTGTTACAGTCATTACATGTGATAAAGCCAGGCTGGGGCTCGCAGCACTGCCCATTTTGGGTAGCAGAAGGGGTTTACATGTGTTTTCCAGAGAAATCTTCACCCACACACCATTATTCTGTGTTAAAATGCACCATCACGCAGCCATCGGTAGCATTTCTCCTTCGCTCTTAACAATTGTGAGGTTTCCTGTAAAAAGGGAAAGATAAAGGAGATAAAAAAGACTCTATAAACCTTTAGCCTTTTGCTGTGGATGGAAACAGGCCAGGAGGCAAAACTGACAGCAGCAGGACATTAAATACATGCACTTCCAGAGTCTCACCAGCTACACAGCCCACACTAGCAGGGAGAAGTCCCAGCAGTTCCTTAATCCTGGAGGCACAGTGTGCCAGGAGAGCAACCATCCCAGGGGGAAAAGCAAGCAACCCCAGCTTTCCATGCTCCATCCCATGCTGCTTCCAAGAGGGATTTGCTTTTGGGCCAGAGGGAAGTTCTAAAGCCAAAGGGTGGAAAGCTGGCATGGAAAAATGAAATCAGTGTGTGGCTGCTCTAGGAAATGGGGCTCATTGCAGCCATGGTGCTGGGGATGAGCTTGTCCTCGCCCCTTATTCATCTGCTTTCCTCAATAGAGATGTCTTTGATGTATGGGCAGATGTGACACTGGGTCCTGCACACATCTGTCTGATCCAGTGAGGGACAACTGAAAGGTGGCTTTGGGGAGAGAAAGCAGTGAACAAGACAAGTGTTTTTCTTGTGTTTCAAAGACAGAGCTAGAGCCTTGAGGAAGGATATTCACCATGGGAATTCAATGTGAACTTGAATCCAAAGGAGCGTGGGTCACGGAGGGAACCCCTGCAGTCCTGATCCAGCTCTGGGGCAGCAGCACAAGAGGGATGTGGAGCTGTTGGAGTGAGGCCAGAGGAGGCCATGGAGATGCTGTGAGGCTGGAGCAGCTCTGCTCTGGAGCCAGGCTGAGAGAGCTGGGCTGGGTCAGCCTGGAGAAGAGAAGGCTCCTGAAGCGGAGACCTGAGAGCAGCTCCAGTGCCTGAAGGGTCTGCAGGAAAGCTGGAGAGGGGCTTTGGGATATAAGGATATAGGGACAGGCCAAGGGGAATGGCTTTAACCTGCCAGAGGGGAGCTTTAAGCTCCCTTCCAACACAAACCAGTCTGGGATTCTATGATTTTATGAACTTCTGCAGAGAGCAGCACCTGATCTATAAAACACTGGAGGCTGCACGCACCCTCCTTCCCTTCACTATTAGGCAGCCGTCCTAAAAAGGCTATAAATGTTCATCCAGCTGCTGCAATCTGATTAGCAGTGTAATAACCTCTGCTCGTGTGCTAGCTGCTATTCCAGGCAGGGACATACGTAAGCTCCTTAGGGATGGGAGGGGAGGGACCCTCCCTGGCCTCAGGCTGATGACTTCCCAATGATGCACTGTGACTTTGGAAGATCACCTGCATGGGACAGAGCTCACAAATTTGACCTCTCCCGGGTTGGCAGCATCACTTGGGTGCTAGAAGGCAAAATAACAGCTTTCATTATATATATTATATATATATATATCCTTTTATATATATATAAAGGGAATGAAAGAGGGTAGCAGATAGGGAAGACTCCATCTGGGATCAGTCAATGGGCTGAACCTGTCTTCTCCCCCATAGGGATGCCCATTGGGTAAGAGCTTTGTCTTCTGTGCACTCAATGACCAGCTCACAGTAGCTATTAGTGGTTATAGTCTGGTTGTGCATCTCTTCAAATTTGGTTTTTCAAACAGCCGATATATATATATATATATATATATATATATATATATATAGGCTCTTTTGGAAGTACTTTTCCATTTTGGAATAAGCACTGGTAATAAAAATGCTTGGAAAGGAGGAAAACAAATCAAATTTGGCTATTTCAACCTGCTCAAGTGGAAGGTGTCCCTGCCCATGGCAGGGGGTTGCAACTGGATGAGCTTTAAAGTCCCTTCCAACACAAACCATTCCATGACTCAGTTTGAGCCTTCCCCCTGCCAGCTGGATGATGGGAAACGGGAGCAGTAAGTCATGCTTGTTCAAGGAAGACGTTTGCTCTCTGATCCTGCTTCATTCCAGCTCTTGGTTTAAAAATAACCTGCTTGGGAGCAGCCGCTGCGGGACACGCTGGGTCTGTGCCTCTGGGCTGAACAATTCCCTTCTGTGTGCTGGGGAATGAGCAATGGGAAGAGCCGTAACCCTGCACAGAAAGGGTTTGTTATGTCCTTTCGTGTCAATAAACCCCCTGGTTTCCAGGCAGGAAAAGCCAGCTCCGAATGGGGGCTCTTTTACACCACGGTGCCCTTCCATAAGGCTGGAGGAGCCCTCACTTCCCCAGCGAGGCTCTAATGCAGCTTCCCATCAACTTCCCCAATAGCCAGGAGCTGGCTCCTGCGCAGGAAAAGCTGAATACAGCTCTTTTCCTTCGGCAGCAGGGTTTGTGCTCTGTGACTCACCACGAGGCTTCCCTTTGCCTCTCTGCCATGTATTTTTAACCTGTGATCCCCTTGGAAGACTTTCCGAGCTCGGAGCATGACACAACACGGCTGGGCTGAGGTCACCTCCTTCGAAATAAACCGGAGCACAGCTGGGATGGGCGAAGGTGCTCCCATTGTCATTGCTTTGACATCAGTCACCCGTGCCAGCCTCCCATCCTGCTCTGGGGAACGGCTCCTACCCCGGGGATGCCTCAGCCGTGTGCCAAGAGCTTGTAGGAACGTGCTGAAGGCCCAGCTGGTGTGTTTAAATGTGTTCACCAAGTGGAGCCGGAGGCAGGAGCATCCTCTTTTGGAGGTGTCATGGGTGGAAGGATCATGCTGCAATCCTTGGGGCTCCCTGTGGAGTCCTGGCTGGGTTGCATTGGGAAAGGGGGAGGAGAAATCAGTTTTCCCAGTGGGAAAAGGGGGAGATGGGGGAGATGGGGAGAGCTGAACCCCAGGAAACGGAGAGAATTGTTTGATTTTTCAATTAAAAACCAAAACCAAGTCAAACAATAGACAGAAACAGGGACCAGATTGGAGACTGGCATA